ACTTTTCTGATAACTTTCTACAAAGTTTCACTTATCAATTTCTGATTGCTTGTTGCCATATTTTTCTTTTCTTCAAGACATTTTGGCCTTAGCAGCAACGGGAAGTTTAAGTTTAATATTTATATATAGTTTTGACTTGGAGACTGGAAAAATCAGAGCAAGTTTGACTGATCTGTTTTGTCCAAAATGGTTAATAGGAATGACCTTGCAAACATTGTCAGACGGAGAGGATATAAACTTATAAGAAAGCTTCTTGCGGACTCAACAAAAACAGATATAAATGGTAATGTGGATAATGGCGTGGCTGGAATACAGGATGCAACCAATGATCCTAAAGTAATAATAACAGGTCAATATATTGTTTCTTTTATTTGAGCGTGAAATGCGTTATTAATTTATTATGCAGTATATGCAACTGTTACTGATAGCCTCTTAAAAATTTAAAAGGTCAGGATCAAGAGGTGAATGATGTCATTGAGGATTTCTCGTTGTTGAGTGAAGTTTCAACATTGGAAATCAGTTCTGGTAGTTTGATTACTGATCCAGATCCAAACCATGATGACAGTGGTCATGCACCTGTGGAATCTTCAGTCGATTCGGATAATTTAGAAGGTCATAGTGAGCAGGTGAATAATGTGGATGGATATGTTTACGTGTCAACCAGTGTTCCAGTTATGGAAAATCATAGTAATATGCCTTTAGGAATTTCCTCCGATTCATCCTTGCCAGCCACTGTTCCTGTCAAAGAAAATGATTCTTTTGGTTCAGATGTTGGTTGGAATCTGAACTCTGGTGGACATCCTAGCATGCCTGTAGAATCTGTGGCTGGTTTGTCATCGGATGGAAAGGTCAGAGGTCAGGATGTGAAGCTTGATAATATGGCTGAAGAATATTCCTCGTTGACCGAAGTTTCAGTTGCAGAAGACCATTCTAGTTGTTCAAATATTGAACCAACTCACAACTCTGATCACCATAGTGATGCACCTTTAGAATCTCCAAGCAATTCGTCCTTGGATGAAAAGGTGGCAAAATTTATGCAGAATGGAGACCTGGATACAGTTGAAGGTAACTTACCTTAAGGGACCTTGTTTTCAAAGTTAAACACATTTAATATTGTTCGGCAACATATGTCATTCCTTTTTTACTTCAGGTGCACTGTAAATGTATGCTTATCTTTCATACTGTTTGTTACTACACAAATGCTTACCTTTCATGATGTCTTTTACCATACATGTATGCTTACTTTTCATTATTTCACCTTTATTTTTATTTTTTTGTTTCTTTGAAATTTATGAGCTGCTTGATGCCAGATAAAACCTATGGCGTATTAATTGGTAATGAGGCTGAAAATATCAATGAAGAGAGTAAATTTGGAAACACTGAAGAGGTTCAAATAAGAATTCCTGCTTCAGAGCACTCAAAATCTGCACTTGATGGAAGTGATGCAACTTTGGCATTGAATCAGAGGACATCAGCATCCAAGCAACTTTTGCCTTCTACGACAGTCGATGCCTCTCTTAGGTTGGTAGTTTGTACATCTGCTCAAAGTTTCCTGTTGTTTTCTCTACTGTTCAATTTTTCTTTCCATTATGCATGTTGTTACTATTTAACCTAATTCAATGATTTAAATCTCGTTCTCGACAGTACATTATTTCATTTTTCATTTCATAATTTAAACCATGATTCTAGTCATTCCTTTGCTATAAGTGGAAGTGGACATCAACATTGCAAGCTCTCTCTCTCTCTCTCTCTCTCTCTCTCTCTCTCTCCCTCTCTCTCTGTATGCACGTTTGTGGAGAGAGAGAGAGAGAGATGCATTTTATACCATTTTATTTGTTTTTCCCCTGTAATAATTACTTTGATAATCCATTTGCTTGGTGAAAAGGTAAAGAAGGGAGGATGTGGAGATCTATGATCATTTTTTTGTGATATTCCAAAGAGTTACATTGTCAGAATCACCTATTTTTATATTATGCTCTTATGGAACTGGAGCTCAAATTGTGATGCATGACTGGAAAATATCCTGCATAGTTTTCCACTACTGTAGGCTATTTCACTACTATGGTTTTCTGGTACATCAATGTAACTTTTTTAATATTTATAAAGTAGGGATGACAGTTCATCAGCTGAAGGGATAAGTTCTCTATCTGGAAAGGATTCAGATGTTAAGGTCATTACTTATCCCAAAATTATGTTACTTCAAACATCAATCTTGATTGGTTTGTTTTGATGACAGTATTACTTGTGATTCTGTTTTACAGACAAGTGAACGGGAGGATCAACTTGATATTAGTAATCTCAAATTCATGCTGGTAATAGTATTTGTCTTAAAGTTCTGCTTATGCATGGACCTTTCTTTGCGCGAACTGCTGATTATATTTTTGGTTATAATCTTTTTCTTAGCATCAGAAGGAGATGGAATTGTGTCGGTTGAAAGAACAGATTGAGAAGGAAAAGGTATATTAGCTATTTCTGAAGGCTCCTTTTAGTTTTTATGGCAAGACCTTTTGCAAGTATCTACATAGAAATATGTATGTCAGTTTGCCTCTGTTTGCTTAAAAATTCTTTTCTGTCGGAAGTTCATAATTTTATGACCAATATGATAACTCATCTGATTTCTTATGCATTTTATTTTTTGCTTTAGCTTGCTTTGTCAAAGTTGCAAACCAATGCTGAAACGGCAATCAGCAAAGCGCAAAAGCTTGTCTCCGATAAAGATGCAGAGTTACTAGCTGCTGAAGAAAGCCTTTCAGGACTAGTGGAGGTATAACAACCACCATTTCTTTTGGATGTATTTTGTATAAATTAGCTATGCTATTAGAGCATCTTGGCTTTAAGTAGGATGTTCTGACCAATGAGGTCTATTAATCATTCCCTGATTTTTCATTATTCATACATACTTTCGCATGGCATAGTAATTTCCTTTGGAAAAAAGATATGATCACAGTTCCTTTGAGTTTTATCAATGTTTTGTGTACCCTTTAAAAGATTCCATGTATTGACAAAGCGAAACTAGTGACAGAATCTTTGGTTGTAATTATATATGTCAACACCTGCTGACTCCAATTTCCTTATTTTATTAGGTTGAGATACAGTACCGTGGGGATGGTGAGATTGTGGAGGTGACTGGTAGCTTCAATGGTTGGCATCATCAGATTGAAATGGATCCACAACCATCATCTAGTATCATAGGCCCCACTGGATCAAGGTCTTAACAGTCTCTTTATTTTCAAAACTGTGTATAATTTGGCATCAGAACTTTATTTTGTTTAGTTCTGTTGTGCCTAATTACATTTATGTTTCCTGAAGAATCATCGTAATCAGTTTGACATATTATTGTTGGTTATCGTCTCGCTATTCCTTCATTTAAAATTCTGAAGTTGTCGTGTTTTTTTATCTACTTGGCGCTAAAATAATTGTGGAAAAATGAGCTTACTGATCAATAGGATGACATGTTCTTCCAGGAAAACCAGACTTTGGTCAACAAGGCTATGGCTTTATCCAGGGATATATGAGGTATGCAGATCTAGCAGCTAAAAGATATGAACTTTTTTCTCTTTTGGCAAGGAGAATACATACTTGAATAACTGTGCCTAAATGTGACATGTTATTAACTGCAGATAAAATTCATTGTTGATGGCCAATGGAAGATTGATCCTCAAAGAGAGTCGGTTACCAGGGGTACCATATGTAACAACATTCTCCAAGTCGACAGATGAAGGATTTGGCAGGGGGGGGCGACTACCTATCACTGGTACGTCTCACAAGAAACCAGTTTCCACATTAAAAATTAAATGCATGAAACCATGTAGTTTCACTTTTCCTATGATGGAGATTCCTGCATTGGATCAACTGGTTCTTCTATTTGCAAGCCTTTGCTAATATTCAGATTGAAATTTCTCGCTTGATCAACTTAGCTGGTGCAAAATTATTGCTTGTGTTTGTTAACATCTTCCTGGTGCCCTAATTTTGACTTGTGTATGTTGAATGTGTTGCAGACAAGGAGCAAAAGTATCTACCAATTATTCGGCCTGTTGTTAGGTTAAAGAGGCAAAATTGAAGTTGAAGCAGTCTGAGCCTATGCCATCGGGCCAAGAAAGTGAATTGAAGACCACGTACACGCAGGAGACGAGGCAGGCAAAATCAAGAGTCCATTCCGCACATTGTATATATCTGCTACTCACCACAGCTCTTTTTTCCTAATAATAATATTTTTTTCGGAGGATTTTCCTAATAATATTAGTTGGCTAAAATCCAGCATTCATGGTTGGTTGCAATAACTATCGCCCCGGTTAAAAATTGAGATGAAACAATAGTTGAGATGTAAATATGTAAAATTGTTTACGTTGTTGCATGAATGGCTACTTCACACCCGTCTGTACATAGAATAAAATTTGAAGTGTAATCAGTTGTATATAAATAGACAATTGTTCTTACTGTTTAGTAAATTAGGTTCATGTACAGAAGTTCGTCTACGATATATTCACGTACTTAATACGAGCATATGAAAATACCATATTTATTGGGTATACCGTATATCACAGCTGATTAAGTGATACATTTGACTTATTAAATGAATGTACCTTAAAAATACAGTATTTCATGTCTTCCTAGTGAATACATGAAACAGTCTGCTGACTGTTAAGTGCTGAGCCTGAGTGCATTGTGAATATGCTATAGCATGCGGCCTCCCCATCACAGAACCAGTCAATGGAAAGTGTACCGGAAGAGATTAGTTTTTTTGTTCTTCTCTTTTTTGGTCGGGAAAAGAGAGATTGGTTTTGTGCCTCGTAGGCGTTCGTGTTGAAACCACGTGGAAAGGTCATTACCATACCAAATCATTTAACTTTTGTGTGTGCAAGTCGTGTCTCTTTCTGCCTCTCCGCCTCTTTCTATCTTCTTCAACTTAAAATTCCTTTGGTGGATTCTTCTATCTTCTCTCATTCTCTCACTTTCTCACTCTCTGTGAATCAAACCCAGTCTACTCTGATATCTATCAAATGGCTATTGTTACTGCTTCTGCTCATCTTTCTCTGAATCTCTCTTCCCCTCTGCTGCGTGCCTCTGTAGCTTCCTCCAAATGCTTCCCTATGGAAATGTCGCCTGCAATATCATCAGCAAACAAAAGAAGAGCTCTCCCATGTCCTCTTGTGATCAAGAACACCAGAATTTCTAGTGTAGATGTTGTTGATGAGGCTGACCAGCAAAAAGAATTAGGGATGGAGAAGAAGCCCAACGAGACCCTTTTGTATTCCCTCAGTCCTTTGCCTCTGCTGCTTGTGGCTGCTCTTCCTGGAGGTATGTACTTTTTTGTATAGCAATTAAGCCTTTCAAATTTATTCAATATTTCTCTCACTTGAATTTGTTGTTGGGTTCAGAGATATTGAGATTTAATAAAAGAGTGACAGTGAGGGCCTAACATTAGCAAGCTGAACTCTAGGGATATATAGCACATCTTGCAATCTTCATTTTCTAAATTCTTGTGATATTTTGGATATTTAGTAGATTTATATACTTCCCATGCCTAGTTTTTCTGAGTTGCTGATATTTTTCTCCTTCTAAAGTATAAACAGTCCTTTCATCACATCACAGATCACAGCAGCTAAATCCTATCACAAACTAGTAATGTTACTGATTTTGTACTCATAATGTACCTGAAAATTTTGATGATAGCTGGAGCTGTGACATCTCTGTTCGAGCCTTTCGTTGAGCTCGTCAAATCATTTGGTCTTCCTGGCTGGCTTGTGCATTGGGGTCACCCAGGAAACATGGTATAATGATTTAACCCCTCTCTGTAAAAGAGTTCTTAATTACATATCGTAGTTGTGTTTATCTAAAGCTGTCTATGATTTCTTTCATTCTGTAGGCTGTGGTGCTTTTTGCCATGGGAGGCTATGGAACATATCTTGGTTACCGGATACGGTATTCTGACGATGTGGTATGAAACCCGGCATGGCATGTACTGTGATTCAAACAACAATGCCAGACATTTTAGGTAGTATCTTGATCAATGATCATGATGTGTTGTTATTGTTTCAGGAGGAGAAGGCCAATGCCAAAGACTTGCACCCTAAGCTTCTAGCTGGCATGTTTTTCTTTTTTGCTCTTGGAGCAACTGGTGGAGTAACTTCTCTTCTCACTTCAGACAAACCCATTTTTGAGAGGTACATTTAGAAAATTATGTTCTTTGAATTTCCCTTTTCTTTGGAATGAATATATATTGTGCTTTGTACTGAGGTTGGAAATTATCTGTACCTATGTTTGCAGCTCTCATGCTGTCACAGGGCTTATTGGCCTTGGCCTCTTGACCATACAAACCATTTTACCTGCTTTGTTTGAGGTAAATCTAGAGAACCTTTCTTGCCATCTATTTCTTTTTTTGTTTATTCTGCAATGTTTCAAGAAACTCAGTCTTTTTTTCTTTCTTTTTTATTTACAGGGCAAACCTCAATTGAGAACTGTTCATGGGGTCCTGGGTACTGGGATCATGACATTGTTTGTTGTCCATGCTGCCCTTGGGCTTCAACTTGGCCTAAGCTACTAATATAATAATTATTTTCCATGCCTAGCTAGTGTTCTTGGATTTTCTACACTTCATTTTAGCTTAATTATTCATACCCTTTTCCACAATTGGTTTCAACTTTAAACTCTCAGGATCAGCAATCTTGTTGAGCAAAAAACACAGCAGCAGGGAGTAAGAAAAAAAAAAGTAGGGAAAATGATGTAATTCTACAGAAGAAGAAGAAATAGAGGACTTTTTTTGTGGAATTGCTAGTTGTCTTCTTGTTTATTTTTTATAATTTTTATTTTTATTTTTATCAAAGGTAAGAACTTCATTGAACTCGCATCAACATATACAACGGAATCAATTGACGGACCGAAGGTTAAGAATGACCTCATTAAAGTCTTGCTTTAAAAAACCCCCAAAAGAGGAAAATAAAGTCAAGAAAAGAGTACCACAGCAACTCCAAAGAAACAAAAAGGAAAAAAAAAAAGCGAAAAGCAGTTAAGACTGCATCCTATCGCTCTCCCGTACTCGCTCCAGCCAAGTTGTCATGTTGTTTATGCAGCTCACAAGTGAGGCATGTGGCACCGATTTGCTCATTCTTGGTTAAAGGCCAAAGATTAACCGCTAGTTATCACATCCGACCTAATTTGTGAAGCATGTCGTTAAGTATATGCCCACCTCTTAGGCTCTTGGGAATATTCAACATAGTATTCTGATTACACGTATGATCGTGAAATTAGGAGTAGGCAATAGTCAATTCATAAGAAAATTTTATACGCGACAATAACACCAAGTGATAACACAGCATATCACATAATCTCATGAAATGAGTTGGCAAGATTTGGTTTGTGGAGCCAAACTCCATGTAGCAAGTAAGTAGGGCCCAATACCACCATGCGGGAAAGTAAATTATGAGCCAATCCAAAACAAGCCAAATGGCGGAGAGAGAGAACGAGTCAGACGTAACTGGCGCCCCGCTGCATATCGATTCTTCACATCTGTATATAAAATCAAACTGCCCTTCACCCCATCTTCTCTTTCATTTTTTCACGTCTCTCATTCTTCCTCCTCCTCCTCCTCCTCCTCTGTCGCTCTCAGGTTCGTTCTTGTTTTTTCTTGTCTCATTTCCTTTCGGCATCTAACTTGGTTTCGTTCAATGTCCATTGGATCTTGATCTCATATTTCTCAATTGCTTTAGACAATCTGGGGCTGATTGATATCTGCTTTTTTGTTAGCATGCCGTCTGTCTGTTTAGATCCAATTCATTCATTGCGTTCTTTGGAATGTGTACGTAACGTTTTGATTTCTCTGTTTAATGCTTTGAGGATTTGGTGTTATGGTTTTGTAGCTGCATGATCTCTCATTTTCGTTGTTAGATCTCATCAAGAATTCTGCTGTTTAATTAGATCTTAGATTTATGGTCACAATTTTTTGGTTTGCCTTGTCTGTTGATAATTCTGTTCATCAATCTCTAGATTTTGTTGAAATCTAAATTCTCATATCATCAGTTAGATATTGTGCATGATTTAACAGGCAATGAGATTGAGTAAGATGGGAATTGTTTGGACATTACATGTGCTTCTCTGTTGCTGAGATTTCAATATCTTAATGTCAAATTGGAGAATTAACACATAATCTGTTGGTTTTTATCAGTTTAGAGATGGAAACCTTCCTCTTCACCTCTGAATCTGTCAATGAGGGTCACCCTGACAAGCTCTGTGACCAAGTCTCGGATGCCGTTCTCGACGCTTGCTTGGAACAAGACCCCGAGAGCAAAGTTGCCTGCGAGACGTGTACGAAAACCAACATGGTCATGGTCTTTGGTGAGATCACAACACAGGCTAAGGTAGATTATGAGAAAATAGTTCGAGACACTTGCAGGGGAATTGGGTTTACATCAGCTGATGTAGGCCTTGATGCTGACAACTGCAAGGTCCTTGTCAACATTGAGAAGCAAAGCCCTGAAATTGCAGAGGGAGTTCATGGCCACCTCACCAAGAAGCCTGAGGAAATTGGAGCTGGTGACCAAGGCCACATGTTTGGTTACGCCACAGATGAAACACCTGAGCTCATGCCATTAACTCATGTCCTTGCCACCAAGATTGGTGCCAGGCTTACTGAGGTCAGAAAGAACAAAACAGTCCCATGGCTCAGGCCTGATGGTAAGACCCAAGTGACTGTTGAGTACCGGAATGAGAACGGGGCCATGGTCCCGATTCGGGTGCACACCATCCTCATCTCAACCCAACACGATGAGACCGTCAAAAATGAGCAGATCGCTAGTGATTTGAAGGAACATGTGATCAAACCTGTCGTCCCAGCCCAATTCATTGATGACAAAACTATTTATCACCTCAATCCTTCGGGTAGATTTGTCATTGGAGGACCCCATGGAGATGCTGGGCTTACGGGCAGGAAGATTATCATTGACACCTATGGTGGTTGGGGTGCTCATGGTGGTGGTGCTTTCTCAGGGAAAGATCCAACCAAGGTGGACCGGAGTGGTGCATACATTGTAAGGCAGGCAGCAAAGAGTGTTGTCGCATCAGGGCTTGCTCGGCGCTGTATTGTGCAGGTTTCTTATGCGATCGGCGTCCCAGAACCCCTATCAGTTTTTGTGGATACCTACAAAACCGGAAAAATTCCAGACAAGGAGATATTGGTTCTCATCAAGGAGAATTTTGACTTTAGGCCTGGAATGATTGCCAACAACCTTGATTTGAAAAGAGGAGGCAACTTCAGGTATCAAAAGACTGCTGCTTATGGTCATTTTGGCCGTGATGATCCGGATTTCACTTGGGAGACCGTAAAGATCCTCAAGCCAAAGGCCTGAGAAAGTGAGCTAGTTTTTGCAAATGGCTACCATCGTCGCCGCCATTATTTATCTTGCTAGAGAAAAATAAAGAAACTTCAATGCACACATCTGATGTTGAGGTCTACATTTTCAAGGCTCAAATTAGAGTTGAGGGTAGGAGATGTGTGCTTTTTAAGTTGAGATAGTAGCAAACTTAGGAGGAGCCTGTAGTATTTGTTGCATTGTCTTTTATCGTTCTGTCATTTTTCATGTTCCATTTTTCTTTCTCTTCCCATTACCCAGCTACTTGATTGTTGAAGGTTCTGGCATTGGACTTGATTGACCAATTTGTGAAATTTATCAGATTGTCTTTTTATATCTCAACGTTGAAGCTCATCGTGAACAATCAAAATCTAGTAATTGCATAATTGTAGGCTCATGGCAAGAAATTCAACAACTTAAGTAATAGCTTGGGTACAAATTATACAAAGCCATACAGATTTTGGGTGCAAACTATACCCACAGCCACAGCTGAAAAATTGTATGAAACAAACAGTTCAGGAGTGCAACCACAACCGATCATGAAGCCGCTCTTCTCCAGCACCAAACATCTCATCCACTCGTTCACCCTCCCGGTAAAAATGGAAGGTCGGCGTGTACCGAATGTGCTGAGTAGTTTCAGGGCATTCATCAATGTCTGCATAGATGAAAGAGAGCTTTGGAAAACTATTACTCAGCTGACAGAATGCAGGAAGGATTTGGCTACACACACGGCACCTGAAAATAAGACCAAAAACAAGCAATTCACTCAATTTGTCATTGAAGCTATACATCAAACACCTTGAGCTCAAAATGAATGTGCACAAAGTTGTAAAAAATAGCCGGAGAATGAGACATACCAAGATGCGCCATAGTTGATAACAGCCTGCAAGGAGTTGAAAAGATAAACAAAACCCAAAACGATTACAATCATAGACACAAACAAGAACCCAGATAAGGGATTAATGGGTTGCAACTTGCAAAGGAAATAGGAGCACAAAATAGAAAACTGAAATGTGGGTTATTGGTGATTTGAGTGCTTACAGGGGATTTGCAGGACTTGATTTGGAGAAGAAGGTCTTTGAGGTTTTGGTCGCTGGAAGCACTTTTTAGGTTTCCATGGCGATTCTCTGGTAATTCCAAGCCCGTGCCCGCTAATCCCTTCTTGGTGGTGTTGGCTTCGTCGCCACTCCAACCAGCCCCTCCTCCCTCCATTTCTCTCTCTCTCTCTCTCTCTCTCTCAGACCAAATCCAGAAGGTTGTGGCTTTAAAAATTGATTTAACATTCGACATTTTAAGAGATGTCGTTTCGGAAGGGAATGTTTTAAACGACGAAAGGTCCTTTGACTCATTTCTTCCCTCCTATTTCTCCCCGTAATGTGGTCTCACATGGCCAAATGGCCATGGCATGAAGCCAACAACCATAAGCGTCATCTTGGATGCAACCATGGTTGATTTTGATTTTGATTTTGATTTTGATTTTCATAAACGAGAAAATGAATATTAACAAGAATGAAGAGGGAATGTTGGAATTAAAAAGGGATTCGAGTGTCGACTATATCAATCCTAACCACATAATTATGTATGGCAAAAAAAAAAACGATATAATTATGTTAATTGTGATTTGACCTACCACATAACTTGTTTACTAATCATATCATGTTCTGATTCACTCACATTTCATAAACCAACAACTTAAGCGTAGAGTCCCCCTAATCTTCAATCTAAACAAATATATTCTACAAAAGTTCATACATGTCACATGATAAGTCAATTTAGAATCGCATCAAGTAATGGTCAACCTTAATCCATTAGTTTTTCATTGGATATGCGTTATTAATCAAGATAAAACTGAATAGTTTAAAAGAACCATCCAGTTTATCACATGGAATAGTATTGTGATGGTAGTGAACTGTGAGATTCAACCTAGTGCAAAGTACATTTGTATTTAACCTAATTGTTCATAATAACGTAATTCTTAACATTTCCCTCCAATTATAGGGGGCTTTGCCCAGTTTCTTTTCCTCATCTCTCTCCCCTTTCAAATTCCATTGCAATGATCTCCTTGTTCCATCCAACAAATACATGGGGAGGATTTCCTCTTGTTCCATCAACATTTTCATAAAAGAGAGGCCGGTTCAAGTGTGGAATAACTCAGCAATTTGAAGCATGAGAAGACCACTTGAGCAATGCTGCCATTAACTGGAGTTGATTTCAATGAAAGCCCCCGGACAGAACTTCTTGTTCAATGCTTCTACGGCTGATTCAATTCGATCTTTGTCCTGCAATCAAAGTTCTCAAAGGGTTAAATTCAGTAGAACAACTTGCATAACTTAATTGCATCTTTGGAACCTGGGAAATGTTCTTGTACCTTGCCCTTGAAATAAAGTATAAGAGGCTCCGTTCTGGATTTGCGATGACAACCTTGATATTTCACATGAAGATCAAAATTGGAATAAGATACTAGATATCACATTCTCCTAGGAATGTACAGTTTTCAAAAGGCACTTACCAATGTAAAGGTCTGGAAATTCAAGGCAAAGTTTTGACAGAGGTTGAGCAATTTCTACCTGCATTGATCAGGTGGCTCATTGTTTAATTGTGTGGTTCAGATTAACACTTAGCAAATAATATGGAGACTTCTGGAAAGAACATTACCCAACATATCAATGTGTGTGTGTGTGTGTGTGTGTGTGTGTGTACACACTCAAAATTTCAAGACTTAGTATATCGACAATATCATGGAAGACAGAATTACATACATCTGTAAGATTTGTTGTCAAATGCTTAGATACAAATGATTGCATCATTAGTAGCACATCATCGGATCTCATTAGTTCAATTAGACAGTTCCACTCCTCATCCAGCTCCAAGGCATTTGTTGCCGTAAGGATTATTACATTTTTACACTTAATCTGCAAGAGACAATCATTAGATGCCATGCTATATAAGATTAGCACTTTATCGATTGAAAGATATCTAAGCACAGATATTGGCCAAGAGAAAGACATTTAAGCAGTTTTTGACAGTGGAAGCTTCAGTACAGTATCATAAATTCTAGCTGACCAGAGATACAAAAAACAAAACTATCATATGTGACCTTCCAAATACATACCAAAGGGACAATCAGCTTTTCATGATGCAACAACTCAGTAATACCTTCAGGCAACAGAGCCATCTGAGAAGGAAAAAAAAACAAGAATAAGATTAAATTCGTGCCGTGAAGACTCTGGCACAGTAAGATATGCAAAATAAAAAAATTTATGGGAACACAGTACGCAGAAATTAACCACCAGGAGATGAAAAAAAAACACAAGAAGACCATATGCTAACTGAGAAATTTCTCGACATCTAAGTACCTCATTCCGGTCGCCAGTGCATTGATCACCTATAAGATGCCTCAGATATTCTTCAAATTCTTCATCAGGAGCCTAAATTAATGAAAATTGACCAACCTTGATCAGTTAGAGACTTTGAGGACAACTAAAAAACTGGCACGAATTGGGACATCTCAATGATCTTCATATGAACACCATTTTACAAGTCCCTGAGGTTGCAGGATTAATAGAGATTTTCCTTTTTCCCAGAATGAAAGACTAATAGATTCAATAAAATATCACTGTTTTGTGATTGAGAAAGTTCAACAAAAACAAACGTACCAGACGAACCCCAAAAGCCTTTGCAACTCCTGCCGTAGTGACATCTGAGTGCAGTGGGCCTACCCCTCCATATATAAATACCTACAGTCATGAAAAGTAAAATTGCATAGAGAATAAGAACCAAGAAAGGCAAATCCCTCATTCATTTCATCACTAAGAAACCACCTAAATAACTCTCAAACAGATTGTAATGATTACCATATCATCAGTTGATTGTCGTCGCTCGACTTCTTCAGCCACAGAATCTATCTGTTGGTTACCAAAAGAATGTCATAGAAGATGAAACAGTAAGGTGATGTGAGTAAATGCATGTTTCAAGTTCCATATGTAACTGCACATCCATCATTGCAGTGACATAAGTTTGCACATAGGTACATTGTAAGTAGGCCAAATTGTGGTTTAACAAAATTTATTCTGCAACGGTAACTCACATCATTCCGAACAACAGCAGTTTGTGATACCAACCAGCCAAAAGAATGGAGCTTTCTACACAATGAAGGCCCTATTTGATCCTCAACAGTGCCAAACCTGAGCTATCAAATAGATACAAAGAAAACAATAAACTTCAGTAATAAGTTAATACTAATAACACTGGGTTGAGAACTAAAAGGCTACGACATTTGAAGCTCATTTCATTCCACAACACTTACTTGTCCTTTATTTTTTGAAGTTACCTGATACTATGTCAGTCCCCTACACTACTGACTGTTTCCGTTTTCTTTTTGCATACGTGATAATTAAAAATAAAAGAAAAAAATGATCATGTAACGTGGCTTGATCACTACAAAAGTTAACTCGAAGTGCTAAAATCCAATTTCGCAAGGGTAAAACCATAATTTTGAAACAATTTGTGATTGTTTAGCCTTAAACCACGAGATAATGAAAGATATTTACACGTAAGAATCATGAATCCAGGAAAAATACAACAAAAAACAATAAATCTGAAGATATTGAACAAAAGCACCAAAAAGAAAGGACAAAACCTAAATGGCTGGCTAATGAAACTAAACCACCCTGCCCCCCTTTTCTTCAAGAAGAAAGACCCTTTTTTTTTCTTCTAGATGAAGGTTACTAAATACAAAAGAAGATCAAGAGTTGAAGAAATGGTTTCTATTGAAAGTCTAAAAAAAGGCCTGAAATTTAAACGAGTAATCACTCATCATTGATATCATGGCACATTCAATGTATACAGGACCATTACACTCAGAACAATACAATTATGGATATGATTGCAATAAAAGTAAGTAATACCAACAATGACTTACAAAATCTCATCTCCCACAGCAATGGCCGAGGCCGTGAGTAGGCTACTCTTATGCAAGTCCACATTGTCAAGGCCATTGATAACAGCAGGGTTATGCCCACTAACTGACAAAGGAAGTTTTTTAACTCTCCCAGCTCTCTCTAATCTTCCATCAGAAAGCAAATATGCAGGTCTAAATACTTTTTTGCTGCCGGAGGACTTGTTAATGCACAATAATGCATTTGGAACTGTGTCATAGATGCTTCCAATTGAAGTGTAACTGTGAGAACAAAGAAAATAACAGAAACCAATTAGCCGAACATGACTAAACGAGTATAACAGGAGTGAAATCAAATGACATGTGACAATATCTGCATCAATAACCAACTTGTAACAGTCAAAAGTCTTGTGAGCACTGAGAAAAGCCAAGAACCAAAGCAACAGTTCAAGCCACATAGAGAAAGTATTACCCTTGATCATATAGACTGCAGTAGGGAATTTTGCAAGTTAAGAGAAAAGCCCACACATCTCTGCAATGAAACACATGGAAGTCAAACCCCTCAAAGTTCAGATTAAGTGGATCAACCATTTCCTCTCCATTACAATCAGCATTAACACTCATAGAGATATAAAACCAAACAAAGTAGTCCAGTGCAAAAGGATCAATCTTAGCATGGAATTTAGGCAAAAAGTTAGGAATGATGCGCTCAGAAGCTGAAGGAATTTGACAGATATATGGTATTAGAAACACTTTTAAAGCCCCATTCTGATTGTCATGAAGAGATGACGATTCCTCCAGCCATATTGAAAACGACAGAAATGCACTTTTCAAGTAGAAATGAACTTTTTCTCTAACAGCCCTTACCATTTGCCAAAAATAAAGAAAATAGAGGACAGAGCGTATGGTAAATGAATACCTGTATGACCAATCCAATATAGGATTCACCCTCATGAAAGGTGGCCATCCAAGTGAACTAGGAGAGAACTGTTCTTGACCAACCTACAAGATTGTAAATCTCACAAAAGTTTAGGCATCTTTGTCACAAAACTCTGGAAGCTAATCTGATAGCCAGAGATATGTCTACGATATGATTGTGACTTTGCTGATATAGAAAATCAAAGTACCGCAGTAGGATCACCCATTCGGACACCAAGGAAAATAGCTTTGATTGGTTTCGCATTAAGTAAAGCCTCCAAGCCAGACTTGAAATCTGAGCGAATGATATCCAGTTGCAAACCATAGCTGCTTAAATAAGAATGTCAATTGAAGGCCACAACATTTCATAGGCTTAAAAGTTAATAAATTTAAACAAATGCATTCTTATAATCTTGCTAAAACTAGAAATTTTATGATCATACAATGACATTTATAGACAGAAATAAACAAAAAGGGAAAAAAAAGGTAAGAATGGGAGCATCTCTCACGTAGTGGCCGTATCATAAGTAAAAGAGTTGATCTCGGGGAAAGCAGATGGGGACTCAAAATATATTGTTCGGATTGGAAAGTCTTTTACATCACCATTAGAACAGCTTTTCTCCCCCTTATGCAAAAAGTAGCCAGCCCTAAGCAGGTGCAGCAAAACCTACAGAACGAAGTTATTAATATTTATCAATGACACAGAAGGTAACTGATAGATAAGCCACGAAAAATCACTTAAAAACTTACAGTTGAATCCTTTCCCCCATTAAAGCTGAAGGCGACCTCCTCAATTCTGTTGATGAAAACAATTTAGTACTTGCATGCAGACTAAGGAGCATAACTAGTCAAATCTCAATGTTTCAACAGCAGAGTTCGAATGTGAAATTCCAAACTCTAAGGTATCAAGAGAGCAGGAGCACCTCAAGTGCATTTACTTATTTGATTTATTATATTATTATTCTCCCACAATGTTTCATTTGAACCATCTTGTATCTAATAATGAATAATCTAATGGTCTTTAAATTAATGTTTGTCGTCAAGCTAGGAAAGAGTATTTTGCACAAAGAAAAATTCAAGGGTGGTGTAATTTAAGACCTTTTGGTAGGAATATCTTTCCAGATAAGAATGACATATATGCTAAATCCATAAAGAAATTTGCAAGCCTAGTCTGGCTCATAGTGCCCAGATCGCCATCAACACGTGGTGTATACATCTAAAGAATCTTAAAGGGATAGCGACAAACCGGACAAGTACCGACAAGGAAAAGCAGAGTACCGTTAACTGAGATTCAAATCCATCACTCAGATTCAAATAAGTATTTTACAAGATACTTCCACACATCAATATCTAAGTATTTGCCAATCAAGACAGTATCAGGAATCAACTAATCAACCAATTTGATTTTGTCTTTTACTATTTTAGGTTTAAAGCACCTCACAGTAAGAACATTACATGATGCAAACCTAAACATGTTAAAAATCAGAAACAACACTTCAGTAACTGCATTAAGTTCAAAATGAAATATATACAGGGGAGAGTAAACCAATTATAGCAAACTTGAGAAGGAGCAGAAATATTGTCACAGTGTAATTGATACAGTGGTTTTAGCTCAATTCATTTAATGTCTGAGAAAATGTAGTAAAAATAAGAACAAAAAATGATTTTGATCAGGTTCGTTTATATGGAAGATGAAAATGAACAAAACCCACCGTTAAGCTGGTCCTGCTTACAACTAATTGATTCAGTTTGAACGGCCTACATATTACTTAAAATCTAAACAACCCGAAGCATAAAATTCAAAACTCCATCTCCTTTTCTAATCCCTACATATTAAGCTATTAAGATGAAGGCATTGACCCAAAAAACCACCGCATCCAGTTTAGAACAAATGCCAGAAGCTGGAAAAGTTACAAAAACAAACAATGCCCAGAAGGGAACACAGAAGAACTTACGAGTACAGCGCAAGAGTTCTCTGAATAACGTAGATAGCGTTGCTGTACTTCGTCTTGAGCCTTCGATCATCACACTCTGTGATTGCCTTGTCAATCTCCATCTGCCCTGAGACACAAAATCAAGTACAAAATTATCAAACACTTAAACCAAACAAATGGGCTTTCACAGATTTAATAAATTTCGCTTCTTTCTGCAAAACCAAATAAATGGGTGCTCTCAAATACCAGAAATTTGGCTTCTTTAACTAAATTTAGCAAAAGGGTTCACAGAAATTTAACAAGAATTTGCTGTATTTGCTTAGCAATCAAGAAATCTGACCTGAGAAGACTAGTCTCAAAAGAAATGGAAATCTAGGAGGAGAAAGCTAGTTACAAAGCTGAAGCTCAATGAGACTAGATGTTATTAAATATTGAAGCTGTTTTGCATCAAAACAATTTTGTGTTTTGGGAGTATTACGTGTTTGATGGATGCCACAAGTTGTTTATCTTTGAAACGGGTTTTGGTTTGGTCTATTTGCATATCAATATAAACGCTACGCGCACTTCCAAGGCAGCTGTTGAAACCGAAATCGGTGAACCGGATCGGGACGTTACTGTAATTATAATATTCCTTGACGCCATTGCCCTACTAAAACGCAACTTTTGGAGGAGGCATAGATCCCTATATTCATTTGATTAGGGGGAAAAAAGAGACGAAAAATCTATATTGTGAAAAATGCCAAGGAAGATGTAAATTTTTTGAGTGAGTCAAAGAAATTTATGATTTACCAATAAAAGTTTCAAATCTTTTTGTTTTTGCTTTGTTTTAGTCAAATTAGTCATGGACACAGCCACCCAATTGGCATCAAGCATAATCCATGGTACTATGTTATTAAACAAAAGGTAGAAATTCGATAGTTATATGCAATTTCCTGTCTTCAACCGTGTAAATAAAAGAAACCTTGGGTGGGAAAAATTCTTTGAGTCCAACAGTTGGATCAACTCATCCATCCAACTATACTCACAAGTACATAGATTTCTATATTTGAGTCTTATATGTGCTTGTGAATATGGTCACACAGATGAATTGGTCGGACCGTCGGACCCAAGAACCACTCCTTAGGCGGAGCACCAAATAAAAAGGTATAAAATGCAGTAACCTATTGTTGTCAACAGCCGTTGTTATTCATGGGATGATTGTGTGTATAATATTCTTGCTTTGAAAATAGGGGCTTGGAGGCGGCATAAGACAATAGCCAAACGTTTCCACATAAGCTTTGACTAGGGCCTCTTGAAATTTCCAAAACGTAACACAAGGTTTGCTGATTGCTTAGCACATCATAGCAATTATTCTTATTCTTTTTTTTGTTCATTTTCTTCTCCACGTTCTTTATTTCTCAAGGGAAAGATTAAAATCTCTATTTTACTATTACATATCAATTCCAACAAGCATTAAAATTTGTAGTTTATTCTTCTAATATATCATGCAAATGGTGGGTTAATAGGTGAAACAGGATAGATAAAGCATGAAAAGGGAATCATATCACACTATTTGTTATTCCCCAATTGTTCACAAGGAAGTAATTGAACCTGCACACACACTAAGATATAAGCATAACTAACCAAAACTGAAACAAAACAAAATAGCCAGACTACGGCGAACAACCTTCCTCGGAACATGTAAAAGTGATCACCACCATAACCAACGATGTTGAGGGAGGACACTGCCAGATAAAATGAAGCACCAATTGGCCTCCTCTCTATCAAGAACATGAATGCTCAATCTTCCAATTCCTATGAGAATAGGAACTAATAATAACGCACCAAAAAACTTAACACGCCATCTGGTTGCCTCTATGTGAAAAAAAATAATCTAGAAGAGAATGTCCAATAAGATCTAAAAAAAGTCCAGTAACATGTGCTCCATAGTAAAAGCAGACCAATTTCAGGACAACAACAAGTACTTTATTTTTAGGAACTAAGTCCCCAAAACCAACGGAGGTTAGCGTGATAACGGCAAAATAGGCCCCATCTATAAGGCCTCTATTCTCTCTGGTTGTGTTTGAAGCCGTATTGTGGTCACTATTACTGCATTTTGATCGTTTTTACAAGCCGAAGATATCTGACCACAATACGACTTCAAAGACAACCAAGGAGAATAGAGGCCTTATAGACGGGGCCTATTTTGCCATTATCACAATAACCTCTGTTGGTTTTGGGGACTTAGTTCCTAAAAATAAAGTACTTGCTATTGTCCTGATACTGCTCTGTTTTTACTATGGAGCACCCGTTACTGGACCTTTTTTAAATATTGTCGGACATTCTCTTTTAGATTATTTTTTTTCACACAAAGGCAACCAGATGGCGTGTTAAGTTTTTTGGTGCATTATTGTCAGTTCTCATTCTCACAGGAATTGGAGGATTGGGCATTCATGTTCTTGATAGAGAGGAGGCCATTTGGTGCTTCATTTTATCTAGCAGTGTCCTCCCTCAGCACTGTTGGTTACAGTGATGATCACTTCTACACGTTCCAAGGAAGGTTGTTGACAAGACCAGCTCCGAATCCCATGAAAGTTTTGATATCCTTCCGATGCCGGGCTCACTTACTAAAGACTGAGACTTTCTGCCGAAAATTCGACAGTCTCCTCGCTAAATTGAACTTTTCCCAAAATTTCAACCTGTTAAAAAATAAACACAATTTAATATCACCAACCAATAGCATGCACAAGATAAATTCATGTAGTTTACAAAGATGGTCGTCGGCCTCACAATCATACCCTAGTACAGGTAATGACAGAGAATTTCTAAAAACTCATACCAGGATCAAACATCCATTCTAATGGGTTTCGAACTCAACAAGACTACAAACACCTTTTAACCACAACTATTCAGTAATACTGAAATATAACCAATCATTTAATCCCACCTCGACTAGGCTTCGGGCTCCCCGACAAAATCCGAACCAAGCTCAATTAAACTATTAAATAGGATATGACCTTAGTGACCAAAGTAAAGTTCAAAAAAATATACTTGATCTTGCGGCTGCACCTAGGTAAGGCCCCAGGCTACCTACGTGTCCTTACTGAGGGGTCAAGCCATACGTAGTTCTACAATCCACAATCACGAACCAGATAATATACAATTATTTTCAGTAATACCAACAAGTTAATTCTTTTAAACATTAATCTTTTCCCTTTTAATAAAATCACAATATGCTAAGCACAATTCTTTAAACATTGCTCCAATTTCTCGATATAATAATATAATCCTTTGTCCTTTCCTCGTTACTTTACTACACGTTGGAGAATCCAACGTCACGCATAGTAAAGTAACAGTGATCACAATGTTCGGATCCTTTACCACACGCCAGAATAATCCAATGCCACGTGTGGTATAATAACTAGTATCTAAGTGAGCACACACGCCGAAAGATCCAACGTCATGTGTGGCCCAACCAAACCATATTCCATGTGTGCAGACTGCTATATCACACGCTGGATAATCCAACGCCACGTGTGGGTACCAAAATCAAAGGAGGGTACTTAACATGATATAATCTCATATTCACATAGCCAAACAATAAAGTACCCCAACTCATATTTATCTCTTGCCCAATCATTTAATGATAGAGAGAATAACAATTCCTCAACACATATAATCCACATCAAATTAAATATAAGTCTCATTAACCGAAATGACTATTCCCAAGCCTAAGTAAACCATTTCGATTTTTATTAACATTCAAGATACTACTCAAATACTTGGGAACAAACAATCTCTGAAAATCCCCCATGACAAGATAATAAAATCCAAAACTCATTATGTAAGAAATTCCATATTAGAAGCACGAAGCACGCTTAAAAACAAACATCCATTTATTTACTAATGATCATAGCCAAGACCCAAGACTCGTTTTCATAACCCATCAATTAAGTATCTCATATTCATCCATTCTACAACTTCAATTATCAAACTCAAAATCTAAGAATTTCATAGATATTATAAAACCATCTCAAAAATCACAACATAGTCAAAATAACTCAAATAACGATCAAGACAAGTTAATAAGGTCGTTCTAGTACTCTTCGAAGGGGTGAAACTACCTCGGAGGACTCACGGTTAACCGAGGGGTCAAACTGCCCAAACTTGGTCAACCGAGCCCAAGACCTCTATTTTACGATCCAAAAGTTCCTATGGGTTCCGCAAAGTTTAGGATGCACGTCCTACAAGTTTGGTTTGGATCGGACTGTCAGATCGCTCGCGTTCGAACGATCGAACGGTTATCGTCTAATATAAACTTTAAGCTATTGAATCGGAACATTCGGGGCCCCGATTCATGATCCGCGAATTTCTACACAATCCTAGAAATGCCTAAATCAACATATACTAAATTGGAGTCGATCCAATGGCTCGAACATATTGAACCCGAATAATATCTAATATGCGATATCTGTTCGACGATCAAACGGTAATCAAATTCATATCCGAGCATACCTCGTGCTCGGGACGGCATGAGAATGATTTTAGGACTCAAGGACCGGCCAAAAAGTAGTCCACGCACCACCCCATGCGTCGCCGGCATGTGGGTGTCCTCATTAATTTCTGGCGATCGAAAAAACTCCAAACCACCAGCCAAGACTTACACTATAGGATCAGCACATTGAGTGGAGCAACTTTTATTCTTGGACATACCCCGAAATGTCGACGGAAGTGGCCGAAATTGGAGGCCAAAACCTGCCAAAACTTTAATCGCTTAAATTCGTTTCAAAACACAGAAATTAATTCTAAACAACCCAACCAGAAGCTAGATCACATTGAGAGGATGAGAAAACATACCAAGTTCGAAGAATTTGGTTGCCGGAATCACCCGAACGAGCTCCTTCAAGTTATGAGTAAAACCGGCGACTTTTCTGCAATTTCCAGCGACCACAGACAGTGGTGGCGGTGGTGAAGGGTCGGGATAGGAAGAGGGAAGTGAACTTGACGTTTTGGCACCAATATCATGAAGTTTGGTGGCCAGTGGAGGAGATGGCGGAGGAAATACTGTTTGGATGAACAGTAACAGATGAGAGGGAGGGGGTTGTTTCGCCGGGGAGGTGAAATTATAGGATAGTACGGTACTACCACGTCAGCATATGATACTTTCATTCAAAATTTGCCATGTGTCATATTTAAAAGAAAATTAAAACTATTTATACAAATGGAGTTTGACTTCCAATTTTACCCTTTGGAATAAAATTAGAAAATAAGAAAATAAGAAATAAAAAATCCTTCGGGAGTCCTCCTCCACCCCCAATCTCCCTTTATTCCTCCCTTTTCCTTTTCAGCTTCCTCTGCTTTTCTACAATGAAGGAAACAAACCCACATCTCAAACCTCTTATCCTGCTTTTACCACATGCAATTCTCTGTCCACAAATAGCACAAATTTATCCATTGGCCGAGCTCTTTACAAGTCCAAGATCCCCACCAAGGCACCAAACTCTTCGTATGTGTGTATCGTTTCTCAACTTCTTTCATCTTCTCCCAATCCTTCAATTTCTCCATGGAGTCATCTTCTTCACCTCAAAACCTCATGTTCCAATTTCTTATTACTATGTATTCTAACCATCACACTCTGAGGATTACCACGAGGGAAAAAGTCTACAGAAAAGCAAACTAAAGTAAAAACCCTAAGAAGTTCTTTTGGATGTGAATTTAAAATTAACTATAAAATAAAGGGGTAGCTGATGAGGGAGAGGGAGAGAGAGATGAAGGGTGGACTGTACAAAAGGAAGATGGATAGAAGAAGACTTCAATTGGCAAAGATAAGGGAAAAAGACGGTGGAGGAGGCAGGGTAGGGTTACCACCGAGATTGGCTGGAGTATTATTTTATTTTATTTTTTTTCTAATGTTATTTAAAGGGTAAAATTGGAGGTCAAAGTCCAGCTGTACAAGTATTTTTAATTTTCTTTTAAATGGGACACATGACAAATTTTGAATGGGAGTATGGTAGTACCGTATTACTCTATAATCTCTCGTGGAGGAGGACCCCCTATGGATTTTTTATTTGTTATTTTCTTATTTTCTAATTTTATTCCAAAGGGTAAAATTGGAAGTCAAACTCTATTTGTATAAATAGTTTTAATTTTCTTTTAAACATGACACATGGCAAATTTTGTGACGTGGAACGAATTTTGTCAGTGGTCTTATCAATGCTGGATAAATCGTGTTGGGTTGCCCCGACCGCCCGCACAACAGCTGCTCACCCTGAACACTATAACAGACCTGGAAGCTCAATCGATACAGAATGGGTCCAACGGCTCAGGGTCAGTTCTAGAAGCAACCTCCAATCAGCAGCTACCAAACAAGGTCATCAGCCCCTCAGATCAGCAAGGCCTTCCACCACAAATCAGCCGGATAAGCCCCCTCCCCACAAAACAACAGCCCCCACTTCAGAAGAAACAAAAGAACAGAATGGGTCCAACAGCTCAAGCTCAGTTCCAAAAGTAACCTCCACTCAGCTGCTACCGAACAATGCCATCAGTGCCTCAAAACAGCAAGAGCCCCTGCAGCACTGCAGCAGTGCTAGCAGCCGCAGAAGGTCCTTCACCACAGAACAGCTGGAGAAGTTTCCCCCCTACAGAACAGCAACCCCCAGTTCAGAAGCAACGGCTAGCAGCAGCTCAGGGTCAGTTTCAGGAGCACTGGCTAGCAGCAGCTCAGGGTCAGTTCCAGAAGCACCGGCTAGCAGCAGCAGCAGCAGCAGTGCTGGCAATGAATGTGTGGTACGCAAGCTGTGCATGCGACATGTGTAGTCCTTTTGAAGAATTGTGAAGCGAACTGAAGTGCTAAAAACATGTGATACAATTTAGTTGTATTTCTTTAGTGTAAGTATAGACTCACACAGATACTGAAAATGAAGTCATGTGGTCTCATGGCTTGAATTTTAGTATAATGCAAATTTACATCTTGCTAACAGTAGGTTGTCTCTTGAATTGATTCTTTCTTTTTTATCATCCCAGGGAATTTTGTTTTCTATATATGAGTGAGTAATGCTGTCCAAAGCATGGCATGGTTGAATTCATAAACACAGAGATGCTGGCCATTAGTTTTCGATTAATTACAAGACTCTTCCATGTGCCTGTTTTTACGTAAAGTTTGTAACAAGTGTTTATTTGGAAGTCGTAATTTTTTCCGTTTCAATCTCTCTCTCTCTCTCTCTCTCTCTCTCTCTCTATAGCAGTAAAACGGTTACTGAGCTAATTTTACTCAATTATTTTCCCTATACATACTGTCTTTGTCCTATTCTTTTCAGCTTTTAAATGTTGGTGTCAGGCTGTTTGGCAATATAGTCTTGATATCACCTCTGGATGGTGACCTCATGTGTGATCAAGTTTTTGTTGTTCGTAGTATTACATTTTCTTCAGTCCTGGTTCCTTATTTTTCGTGTGCTCGTTTCATATTTTATGTCTAAATAACTAAAAACTGCACGTCATTTCTGAATTCTGTTTTGAGCTTTTGTTGAGAGTTTGGGCGGCTTCACAGGATCTAAAGGTTTGAAAAGTATTTTTGCTCTATTTCTTATTGTAATATCTCACTATTTTCCATTGCAATTCTGTTTTGTTTATCTCCATTGCTATTTATTTTCTTTTTTTCTCTGGATCTATGGCATGCTTTTTTCGTTCTTTTCTCTTTTTGATAAGAGAACCCATTGCATCATTTTATTGACATGATCTGGTTTTGATTAAACTCTTTTTTTAGTGGGTTCACATATCTTCTGTAGAAGCATTAGGTCAGATGGTTGGCCTTATTACCCGGACACAATTGAAGGCAGCTTTACCCAGACTTGTCCCTACAATATTGGAATTGTAAGACTGATTTATCATACATTACTTCTTCGTCCTGGCTGTATATTTCTATGATTCTGCAGTATACATGTATGTTTTATGTACAAGTCTTTGTTAAAATAGTTTCTTTCTGGTAGTGTGCTTATATATTTTCAAGGACAAACATGGATACACACATCCTCACTAATTTCACATCCATACACATCAATAAGGGTCTTACCTTTTTTCTTTTTCCTGTCAATCAGGTATAAAAGAGATCAAGATATTGCCTTTTTGGCAACATGCAGTCTTCACAATCTCTTACATGCTTTGGTACTGTCAGAAAGTGGTCCTGCCTTTTGCTTCATGGTCTTTGTCCACATAGGTTTCTGTGGTTTTGTGCTGATGTCGATGGCTAACAGTTTCAGTAGTCAATAATTATGTTACTTCTTTTCAATGTTTGAGTTCTTCTTTTTCTTGTGGGTAGACATATAATGAAGTTCAACGTTGCTTCCTGACAGTTGGTTTGGTATTCCCTGAGGATTTATTTGTGTTCCTTATTAATGTGAGTATCATTTTCTTCCCCCAAGTGTTTATTCTTATTGCTAAGGATTTATCTAACGTACAAATGAAGTTGGTGTTCTTTTTCTGTATTAGTTTTCAAAGTATAACTAAAATTTTGGTGGTGTCTTTTGTTTTGTGCATGTCTGATACCAGAAATGCAGATTGAAGGAAGAACCTTTGACGTTTGGTCCGCTATGTGTTCTAAAACATCTATTGCCAAGGTTTCGTTACCTTCTGTTGCTTTGTCAGTTGCCTATATTTTGATTCTCTTACATGATCTGACATCCTTATGATTTTATTTGGAGGCTATCTGAAGCTTGGCACAGTAAACGGCATAATCTTGTTGAAGCTGTACAATTCTTGCTAGATGAGCAAGATTTAGGTGCCCGAAAGGTGCTTTCAGAGGTATGTCGTATGAATTGATTGTTGTAAGCCCCAAGGCACTTTTTTGGTTTTTCTTTTCTGCAAGACTTTCAGTAAAACACTTATGTCATTCCTGTCTCCTAATTTCAGATTGCTTTGCTTTGGTGTAGTTGATTGTCGTTATGGCTTCACATTGTTAATTTTGACAGTAAACATATCATAATCATATTCCTTTTTAGCGTGTTTTTAGGCCTGGCAATGAGCTGTTCTTAAGCTTTTGTCTTAAATTAGAAGGTTTGGAGGAATTTCACGTTATTGTTTATGCTATTTCTTTTCGAAAAATAAATAAATGATATTGGTAATGCTCTGGCGACCATTCACCTTATATTGGAATAGTCTGTTCATATATTGCCTTGCAGGTTCTTTGCTATCTGGCACCTCTCTTTCCAAAAAATATCAACTTGTTTTGGCAAGATGAGGTATATCATCATCATCATGCAGCTAAAAAATTACGTCTTTGATTTACATTTGGAAGGTTTTATGTTTGAATTGATGTACTGTCATCTTCTCATAAACTTCATTGCGTTTAAAGGTGGTAATTACGTTACCCTCGTGACAAAATCTTTTCAGAAAGAGACGAAAAAGTAGTATCTGATGATGATCCGATTTTTCTTCTGTTCTCTCATCATATCTTTCATGTGAAACCATGGGTGGACAAATGTAAAACTACGGAAATCTTTTGGTTCTTCCAAATTCCCAGGATGCTTCTATAGATCCATCTGAGGTTTTCAACAGAATTGTTTCCTCTGTGTGCATATTACTGACAAAGAACGAGGTCATTGCTTTTTTGATGAATATGTATTTAAAATTTGAAACCAATAGTCCAACAACTTCATCTTATTCTCGAGGAATCCTTGCAGCTTGTAGCTACTCTGCATGGTTGCACATCAGCTATATGTGATAAGATCAAGCAATCAGTTGAAGGGGCCATTCAAGCTGTAATTGAGTTTGTCACAAGAAGAGGGAATGAACTGAGTCTGAGTGAAGCTGAAGTTTCAAGGTTACCAAATAATGAAATTTTAATTTAGTAACATATTTCAAAAGGGGGATAGCAAAACAGTGTTATCTCCAGTCGGTCAATAATGTAATGACATGTGAAAAAATTATCCTGTATGTCATTGCTTTATTGGTCGAAAATTGCAAAAAGTGAAATCCCCGTTGCATGAAAGTCTCTTGTTAAAGACACCCCAGCCAACCTAGTTATGTGCCATGGTTATGGAAGGAAAAAGAAAGGAGAAGGAAAATGCTAGAAAATGAAAATTTGATTGCCCTCCTAATTGTATTTGTTTTGGTTCTATGAAGATCTTATGATTAATTGTTTAAAAGGTAAAGCAATAATTTTTCTTCATTGGAATGGAATTGAGTAGAAAGACATTTTGGATATGCAAATAAAAACTAAAAAGATAACAGACAAATATATTTGTGGCATTGAGACTTGTGGTTTTCTTGAAAGGCCTCTCAGAAGTCAGAACCACTGCATTTCAAGACTCCCAAATGGCATCAAGCATCATGATCAAAATATATTGCAACTTTTTAAGTTTATGTTGGATATTAATTTTTAAGGGCATTTGTGTTTAGGTAAGTTTTTTGTTATATTTAAAAGATTTTATAAAAACTGACATTTTTGAAAGTATGGGGTAAATTTTAACTATTTTTTTAAATAAAAACTCACGCGTAAGCTGGAGTTTGATCCGCTTGAATGTACACATTTATCATAATAAACAAGATCTCAAGGACTTCCACTAATATATTCCTGGCTGGGCCTAAATATTTGAAAACGGAATTTGTAATGTCATATCGATACCATATGAGCTCTTGGACACATTTTCTTGTAAGCTGGTTTCATAAGAAGTTCTGCATGTGGACCATAACATTTGGAATGAGATGGATTCAACGAACTATACCAGCAGTAGGAATTGAACCCCAAAACCCGAAACGTTGTATTAACAGAAGGGACGGAAGGGACGAGAACTGGCGGTGGTAGCACAGGACATCAATTATAATCACACTACACTTCCAGTCCACAACTTTCATATATTATTGCAGTAAGAAGAGTAGTCAAAAGGTAAAAAGTTAAATGATCCAATCCAATATCGAAAGTGAAATACAGAATTTGATTAGTTGATTACGCAAATTCTTCGCTGTCATTACGAAATATGCTAAGATTAATGGATCTCTACATGTAATCTATATCTCCACTGCAAAGACTACGGTTTAAGCAATCAGGAACGAGAAAACCAACTCTACCTTGAATGACAAATTTTAAGCACAAACAAAACTACGCAAAATTCTTACTGTGCAGAAAGAGCACAGGATATCCATCACTTAGTCATAAAGGCCTTCTTCATGCCAGATGTCAACTAAAAAATCCACCATCTCCTGCATAACCCACCAATTTAAATTGTTCACATCAACACCATCTAAAAAAGGAAAGAGAAGGAAACTAATCAGGGAAACTTACAGCTAAAGGTATGGACTCCTGAAAAGGTTCAGTAGATAAAAGAAGATCCTCATACGTTGTGGTCCAGCTGAAAAAGAAGATCCCTTCATTACTTTCGTCCGGAACAGGAACTAAAAATTTGCACACCCACTACAAGAGGGATATCACAGAAGCACACATAGCCAATAAATCTAGCACCCACCAACTGCAACTCTAGGAGCATATGATTCTTTCACTTACATTGCAAATTCATTTATTTCAGATATTAGCATACAAGTGAACTGTCTTCAGTTTTTTTTATTTTTTTTATTTATAAAAATATCATTTTTGCTTCTTCATGAGCACAAATATTGTCAAGTAGAGATGCTAATTTAATCTCCTCAGGATCCATCCTTTACATAAAATCATGTCAAAAAAAACGCATACTGCAACTCCCATGCCAGATTTGGAATTCAATTGTAGAACAGCTTACGAAAATAAAAAATAAAAAAAAGCTAACAGCAAGACAAAAATAGGCTTCAAATGAGACCATGGTAGTCAACACTTCAAAACATTAGTGATAGGAAAGTCCCCTACCACTGGCCTTCTCTTATTTAAAATCAAAGGCGGTACCATATGTGGGCACCCCTGGGCTGTAGCCCAGTGCAAAGTTTGGCACAAAACTTTTTTACCTCAATAAATTCATATTTTTTTCACATTTAAGCCTTTCCCTATTTAGCCCATATAAAACATAGTTCACCCATTTATAGGCAAAAAAAGCCCAAAATGCAGCTTTAAAACTACAGACTTATTTTCTTGGTTACTTCAGACCACAAACTTAGTTGTGTAAATATATATTGTACTAGTTTTTGGTTCCACAAAAACTCGGCTAATATTTTTTATGTCAATGGTAGCCCACCCCTCCAAAAATCCTGGTTCCACCATTGTTTAGAGGATTCCCAGGTCAACACACAGAGACACAAATGTAGATGACTGCTTCACTTTTCCCCTAGATTATTGGCTAATAACTTATTACTCAACTGGACTCCAAATAAACAAGGAGTACTTTTTGGTAGAGCTAGTTAACAAGTGACCAGAAGAAGTTATGCAGCCTATTAGTATCTAGACCATCTGTGTGACAGTAAGTGTACAAAAATGTACCTCATAATTGGTTCTCTTGGCGCTCTTCTCAATTTCTGAGACTCATCACCAACCCATTCTCTTCTCCTCTCATGCCAAGCTATCTCAGCTGCACCGTAAGGTCATCCATGTTATTGATAGAATAAGATACTACTTCACAAGATTCTTATCATCCAAGGGGAGAAAGAAAGAAAAACAAGTCATAGAGTACCCAAACGTAGATTAGATAACTTTCAAGCAGCAGTCAGTGTCTGAATCTCGATGATATTAATAATTTACTGAATAAAATTCTTCAACTAATTGATATAATGACTTCTTTCAAGTGTGGAGAAAAGATATTACCTTTCATGCTTCTAAAATGTCATATATCATGCACCACATTAATAACACCAATTGAAACATCCACTCTTATTCACACCACAATTCAGAGAAAGACTTGGGAAAAAAGAAAGAGTTCTGTTATAAGGTTTGGCCACACTTATACCAACCTGTACCGACACTAGACTCATTATTGGCCAGGAAATTAAATTTGGTTTTCGTAATTTTAAAAAAAAACAGCTCCTTTTATTTTTCTGGCTGGGGTTGATTCTGGAGAAAGAGGCATACCGTGATTAATAAAGACTTCTTTCTCAGTACGCTTCTCCCTACCAACAATATTTGAAGCATCTGAAGGTTGCTTTTCTTGGAAATTAGAATTGCTACCATTAGTTTCCATTCTCCCTAGACTGAACAACCATAGCCTTCTAAACCACTGCTCCAAAAAAGAAAGTAAAGATGGAGAAGTAATCTCCAGCGAGAAACATCATCAGCTTCACAGGAGTAAAGAGAAAGAAGGAAAAGAAAAAAAGAAAGGAAGCAACCCATGAAATCAGATGAACTTTTAGCACATTTTTCAATCTTATCATATTCACCACAACATACAGAATTCATAGCTTCTACTGTTCTACATGTTGTATTGAAATTATGAATGCACAAACAGTACTCATGAAACCCTTATATCCACTATATGAGTTGTCCAGCTAGGCCCCTTCTCCTTTTCTGTGTGATTCTGTTCTGAGACGTCAAGAGCATGTCTTGGGCCCTCCCCTGTCCATATGACATTCACTCCCAACTGAAGCTTCTTTGCATTTTTTTTTTCAGAGTATATTACTCCCTAATAGTGGAGGCAACAGCCTTTAGAATTATAACATTATTGTTTACATACACAACTCAAAACTATGCTTCATCAGAAGATGGATAAAGAATCCAAAATTTTAAATCACACCAAAAATTGGGATTTTGCAACAGGTTTTAACTTTTAACCACCACAAATTCAGACATTAGCTGGTCATGGCAGGGATGGATGGACCGAGACGGTAGCTAGCTTAATATGTCTCTCTTCTCGCATCCTGGACTCAGCAGCTATTACGTTATCAAATTTGCTATCATCACGCACAACATTCAACAGTGCATGTTTCACAATTTTTAACTCATTCCAAGAATCCCCATTCTTTTACAATTACCAAACATTTTCTTTATGTCTAAAAGAGTCTATTTTTTAAACTAATCTTATGTATTGTTGTAGCCCACAGTAACCCCATGTCTAGCATTCAAGATTTCTAAAATAAATTGCAACACTTCAAGCAATCTAATCACCTCACAGTCATTCAAATTCACAATCACATTCATCAGTTTGCTTAATCACATACTACCCCAATCCTAGTAAGGCATAAACCAGAAAACCAACTTCAATCAAAGACTCTTAACATGATTAAAAATGCATTTTTCCAGATTTCAAGCTAAGTACTTTAAAACAATCAAAGCTTCAAATAAGATAATATACAAATAAATAAACAAACCCACCAAAAAGAAACAGAACAAGATTAGGAGGTAGGTGGAGGGAAGGCCATACCTGGGCTTCTGGGACTATGAAGTCTGTGACTGTAGTTGGCGCAGTGTGAAGGGAAGCGTTTTGCGTTGGGGTTATGAGTAACAACGAAGAAAACGAGGGGCCTCAGAAGATTCAAGAGTTTGGTTGGTAAGACAACACAAAAATATATGACATGAATTCTTATGATAATTCCAAGGTGGAGACTTGGACTTGGAGAATATCAAATTTTTTTTTTTCTCTTTCTTCTGATAACGAAGTTGGTGTGGCTTGAAAACTTGGACTTGGACTTGGGACTTGGATCTGAAGCATCCATTTTGAGACCCCAACCCATATTTAACGGAATTGATCTTGGACACGTGGATGAAAGAGAAACGCATCAGAGCAGAGCCATTCAATCGTGGTCGTGGAATTCACCAAGGCTTGGATTTGCAACGTTTAATGGATGCCGCGGCTAATGTTTGGTTTTTTTGGTCGGATAAAATGTCTTTTTCTTTTGCTTTTAGGAACGAAAAATACCTATCATGAATTATTCTTGTTTTTTCGCCTATCGTAATTTAACAACAACAAAAAGGTGATGGTATGACTGGGTGAAGTTGAGTAGAAATTATTTTTAAAGTTGGAAAAAAATAAAAAATAAAGTCATTTTCTTTTCAATATCAAATAATATTAGGAAGCGGGGTTCGAATTTGCGATTTATTCTAACATTGTGAAGAAAATTACTAGACTAAGAGGTAGTAGGTGATCATACAAAAAGTTAAAAAGATAACATTCTTGACAAAAATGTGTGATAAATGCAAAGGAGTTTAATTGAAGCACATTTCTTGCACAAATGTCTCTAAACAAGTATTGCATCTTATACAAATTGTTGGAGATAAAAATTGGGCTTGGATGCTTTTCTCTCAGCTTTTGGGCTTTTATATGTGAGGCTGATTTAGTCTAAATGGACCAAAGTCAAGCTCGGCCTTCACTGGTCATTGCTTCTCATTTTATATTTTCTTCCTAACCAATCATCATTTGTCAACCTGCTAAATTAGTAGGAAAAGAAATTGATAAAACAGTCGGGCTTAAGACAACCACTTATCACCTCAAATTTTGATTAATATGAAAATTTCTTATTTATTGTGAATAAATAAGATTCAGAGTAAGGATCAATTTGGCATTTCTGTACTATGGAAATAATCGCTGTCAGATTTGCTGTGAGATAAAGCAGTTTGGAGTTTGATAAACTTTTTGTTAAAAGTGTTGTTAGTATTGATTCCTACATAATCAGAAAATGATTCCCGCATAATCATTAAACCCAGTGCCTCTTTGAAACTGATTCCTGCATAATCAAAAAATGAAAACACATCATTAGTTACTTTCCTTTATAGCTCTCTCTCACATCAATTTTTAACAATAAGTGATTTTCTCATAGTTTACCAAAACGGGCTAGGCTTCTCAAATTTTTTTTTTAAATCACTTATCACCCCAAATAAGTAACGCCAAACCGGCACTAAGTCCACACAAAAACAAATGAAACACCGTCACATCAATTAGGATTTTAAAGTTTATGTCTTTAATACTACCTTATTTCTCTCCGAAAGTCGAAAGATGAAGTAACGTGTACATGGACAACATATGTAGATACAAGAGGAACACATTGCGTTTATGTACTAGAAGTGTAGGGCTCATAATTTTTGTGGTAAAACACTTATTCCTTCTTGATAACAAGACAAGTATGATTATAAAAGAATAGAAAAGAAATTGAAGGGTTGAAAATTGGATACAATTTTTATATACTCATGTTATAGGTAGCCTAATTTGCATGCATCTTGTCCCTAGTGAACAAATTTTTTTTGGATAGCATCGGCTTGTAGCCCTTCCAAAGCTCACCGAAGTGTCGGTGGGGCAAAGCATAAATGCATGGCCGTCTCAAAATTTGGAATTGTTTTGTTCATATATACCGTCCTCAATCAATTCAAAGCTTTATGCAAAGGTTCCTTGTCCTATATGCATGATGTATTTAGCATCTAATGACATGATTATTATTAATTATTAATGTGTCCCATTTGTATTATCTCTGCTTTTAACCTTTCGATTTCATCAGTTCCACACACAATCTATAGCGGTTCTGGATTATTTTGCAATATCCTTTTGCACTATCACCCTATAATTAATATTTGGTCTATTATTATTAGACCGACAAGCTTTTATTCGATAGCAACTTAATGATAACAACAAAGTCAAATAATAACGTCGCTATATATACATATGAATAAATCCGTGTCACTACAAATTTGACATAAATTTTCAACTATTACAATAATTCGATAGCAACTTAATTATAACAAGAAGTCAAATAATAAGAGCGCTAGATATATATATATATATATATGTGTGTGTGTGTGTGCATATCTTTTATTTTCTTCTTTGCGCAATTATTGTATTGTTGTTTGAGTGAGAATTGAAGCGTGGGCCATGCCTAACAAACCCCATACTCAGAAGCTCTTAGTTTCGAAGTTACTATTTGTTCGAGTACTGCAATCTCTGACTTACTTGATCTTTAAGTTTCAGTTTTTTTTAGCAGTGTTTCGACTTTTTTTTTCCTTTTCCTGTTTTTGGTCTGGACATGCATACCTTTGATTGCTATTCAAGCAAAGCACCCTTAGCATATAGACTAGGTGCCTACCACACAACACAATCAATTGTATAGAAGTTAGATACAGTTGCAGGTTATGTCACTTGCATTTCTATTCCAATCCCGCACTAAAAAAATGACTGCTAAAACTTTGTCAAACGTCGACATATAATTTCGTTTTAGCTATGCTTCGCGTGAAGAATTGCCAAAAAGGAAACTCATCATGTACATGATTGAATGTTCAAACAAAAAGCAGACTTGACAAATGATTCGGATATATAACGTCGACAACCTAAAATGGAGGATTTCTTGTTTGTTTTTGCGTGTGAAACACTATGTATATGGAAAGAAAGTAGAGCCCAGACTTTAAGATGGCATGATAAATCACGAATCTAGTCTCGATGGATTGACCAATTAACTAAAATTCGTTTTTAATCGAGACATTGACGTGACCCGTGACCTATATTTCTGGAAAGGAAGAAGCATATGTACAATTTACCCGAAGCAAAAGGTACGTGTGTGTACAGAATACAGATCATGTACGTACGTCCAAGTTTCATGAGCTTCTTGATTTGTCGGTCAACTGGGCCCCACCTTAATCTTTGGCCGACAAAATAGTGCGAACCTACAGGAGAGAGAGTGAGAGAGAGAGAGAGAGGCAGCACAAAATCAACATGTATTAATCAGAAGAATGTGGTTTAAGTTAAATTGCAGCCTAAAATTCATGTTGTTTTATTGAAGTGTGCCTTTCAGCCCCGTATGCATGTCTTTGAAGTTTCAAATTTTGTGGCTGCCTGCTAAGATTTTGGGTCGTACGTACCATTTTCTGGGGCCATCTAGACTTCAAGTTACATGTATATATTTGTGTAGAAGATTAAGATGCAGCGTTGGTTTGTGTTGGGGTTGTATCTTCTGAGATGGTCCACAGAATCAAATGTTTGATTCTGAGAGAGAAGGGTTAGGGTTATAGTATTATTATGCAAGACAAGGAAAGATATGTGCAGGGTTGGTCAGCATCTTTGAAGGAAAATGGTACAGAAAGGATCGAGCTCCTTGGGGTATTTAAATGGTGGGTGGATCCCTAAGCTTACTGGTCAATCCAGCCATTAAAAGCTCCAACATTTCTGTCTAGGAAAGTAAATGAAAGCAGCCTTATAAATTATATTTCTGTCAAAATGTAACAGGACGTACGATTAGCGGAGGAAGAAAGGAAATTATTCTATATGCTTGAATGCCTTTTAGCTACATATTAAATGACTCGAAACTAGTTTGCTTCACCTTATCAACTAATAATATTGTTGTCATCAGGCCTCCCCCGTGATGAGGGATTCTTAACCACTATAGTTTACAAGGAGGGAGATTCGAACTCGAGTGCAAGAGAACTCAATGACCTAATTCAATAAACACTCTGCCTAAAGTGCATGTTTATTCCTCGGATGACTGGCATTTAATTAAAGGACTGCATGCAGTTTTTTAAAGGTTAATGCAGTTTAAAGTCCCTTCAGTCATTGCTAATTTCATGACTAAACAGATAGGCTGTCTAGACCAAATGTGTTGTATCAATCAAATTGTTACAAGGATCACCAAAAAAAGAGAATCAAATTACGCGTTTTGCAGAAGAATTGGTGTATGAAATTTGATTGGGCACGATATATGGCATCTGGACTATTTTGGTTTTAGGGGTTACAGTAAATTGGAAAAAAAATTCGACAAAATGATACAAAAAATAAGTATAAAAATTTAAATAAATTAATGATAAATAATTATAAAATAAAAAAAAAACTAGATATGCATAGTACATATCACACAGTGTGTGCCTTAGCCCTAATAATGTTATATCATTTGTGCAACTTTTATGGAAGAAATTTTGTTGTTTGGGCAATCAATCAACATATGAATAAAATATGAAGAACCGTACAGTAGCTCACTTCATGAGTCAAAATCAATCGATCTAATGCCTTGTAATCAAATCATGCATTGGTCCCATCTTGCATAGCCCCATGCCCCACTACATTGATGAACTTCACACGTTCAAATCCATCTCTGTATTCAGACAGAACCCCAAAAAATAAAGGAAAAAAAAACTCATCTCTCTCCATTCATATATATTATCCCAAGCTGGCCGATAATGATCAGGATGCTTCTATCTGTGCCCATATATTTTTTTTTTTTTTTTTTTTTTTTTTTTTTTTTTTAACTTATTATTATACAAATATTCTTCTCTTCCCATCTTGATGATTATAGCTACTGTCGGCTTTGATTATGAAGAGGGGGAGAGAAGAATAAAATATTTTATTTTACTTCGATAAATTTTTTTTTTTAAAGTAAATTTATTTTACTTCTATATCCACATCGAAAAAGTGAAGTCTTGTCTTTCGATATATAAAATTTTGGGTAAAAAACACATAAGATTATGAATAAATTTTGTGTAAGATCTATTATTGGCACTAACAAACATTTGACACTACTCCACAGTCTACTGCATGGGAGCTGACACACTGGCAAGAGAAGGGAAAAGGTAAAAAGAAGACACAATATGGGTAATCCAACAAGGTTTGTTGAATCCTACCCAAAAAAACAAGGTTTGCTTTAAAGGCAGGGACAGAAATTGCATGTAGCTTTCCGATTTTATCCCAAGTTCGTTCCTGTGGAATCACAAAACTACATATGCACAGCACAGAGAAAGGGGAAAGAAAAAAGGGCACATTTAAGAGACACCCAGCTACCCATTCTGCATCACATCCTCTTTTCCTAGCTTTCCAACCTTGCAACCAAAGCAAACATGTTTCCTCATTAAGGGTAGGATAGAAAGTAGTTGTGTGAATTGGGATGAGAGAGAGAGAGAGAGAGAGAAAATAGTAAGTATGGTTTATATCATACAAAGTTTTGATGGTTAATTCTAGTAATAATGTTCTTATAATATATATAATATATGTATACATATCAAACTGCACTACCATACTCTTCCTATATATACACTCGGTCTTCAGCTACCTCTTTCTCTCTCTCTCTCTCTCTCTCTCTCTCTCTCTCTCTCTCTCTCTGTGCCCTGCATTTATACAGAGCCAATTATTCCATCTTCACTATACATTTTCCTCATCTTCCCATTCATATTTCATGGCTCTCTTGCTCTTCCTCCTAATTCTTTTGGTCCCTGCAAGCAATGCTGATTGGCCACCATCACCTGGCTACTGGCCAAGTTCTAAATTCAGGTCTATGAGCTTTTATAAAGGGTTTAGAACTCTCTGGGGTCCTCAGCATCAAAGCTTAGACCAACATGCATTAACAATCTGGCTTGACAGGACCTCAGGTCTCTCTCACCTCACCTCACCCACTTTCTAGTTCACATATTTATGTTAATGCTTCCTTAATTAATTACAGTGCACCTGTTAATTAAAATTTCTTCATCATTGTCTCCATTTGATTGCAACAGGAAGTGGATTCAAGTCAGTTCGTCCATTTAGGTCCGGCTACTTTGGTGCCTCCATTAAACTTCAAACTGGTTACACAGCAGGAGTTATAACAGCTTTCTATGTGAGAAATTAATGAACCCCACATTTTTAGCTTAATTATTTTCTCAAATTCTATGTATAATTGTGTCTGCTAAATGCCTTGATTAACTGATCAGTATTATATTTATTCTTCTTGCAGCTTTCAAACAGTGAAGCTCATCCGGGGTACCATGACGAAGTCGACATTGAGTTTCTGGGAACTACATTTGGGAAGCCTTACACTTTACAAACAAATGTTTACATCAGAGGAAGTGGGGATGGAAAAATCATTGGCAGAGAGATGAAGTTTCATTTGTGGTTTGATCCCACTAAGGCTTTTCATCACTATGCTATATTGTGGAGCCCAAAGGAGATCATGTAAGTTTTTTGTGATCATAGTTTTTAGCTGTGCTTGAAATCAAAGATTAACTTAGAACTTTTCATGTGAGTAATTATTTCTTACTTGCAAAAACTTTACAGGAAAGAAACCTATCCATCCATTGTCTACTGAGCTTTAATGATTGATTGATATTTTGAAATGCTTGTATTTCTGCCATTTTCTAGTTTTCAAGTTGAGTAATAACCTGATCATGCCAAATAATTCTTTCTCTGAAATTAAGGAAAAGCCAAGCGATATGACAGTGGCAATAATAAATTGAGAGAGAGAGAGAGAGAGAGAGAGAGAGAGAGAGAGAGAGAGAGAGAGAGAGAGAGTAAAGAGATGAGATTTGGAATGGTAAAAAGCCTATATATCCTCATTGAGTTGAGACCCTTTGTCAATGATGTGGAGTTTTAAGACCCCATTCTCAAATATGATATGCAGCAAATGAAGGGATGCCATTTGGGAAAGAAAAAGCTGTCTCCATTATATTAGTCTCTATCTATTGATTGACAAAATAAAAAAACAGAGGGAAAATAAAAGATAATAAATCCAAATCTAATAGTACAAAGCTATTGGTTCCTCTTGCTGGCCACTGAGTCAATAATATAATATTTAATCTCTGTTTTGATTATATGCCATATCTATCTTGTTGTCAGGTTAATTGTCTTATAGTTAAAATTTATGCCACATTCATTATTGTTACAGATTTTTGGTGGATGATGTGCCCATAAGGAGGTACCCTAGGAAAAGTGTAGCAACCTTTCCCTTGAGGCCAATGTGGTTGTATGGCTCAATATGGGATGCCTCATCTTGGGCAACTGAAGATGGGAAATACAAAGCGGATTACAGATATCAACCATTTGTTGCAAAGTATACCAATTTCAAAGCCGGTGGTTGCAGCGCCTATTCCCCGGCCCGGTGCCGCCCGGTATCTGCCTCCCCGTTCCAGTCGGGCGGGCTGACGCAACAGCAGTACAGGGTCATGAGGTGGGTTCAAAACCACCATTTGGTATATGACTATTGCAAGGACTACAAGAGGGACCATTCCCTAACACCTGAGTGTTGGCACTAAAAGTGAAAGTGTCACGCCATATGCTTCATATTGGAAAGTTCCCCTCAATTTTCACTTCATTTAAGTGCTTTTTTATGATGGTTTTTTGTTTAAAGAGGAAAAAGCTTGTGTGTGAGATTGCTAAGAGATGGGTCATTACTTTGCCAAAAACAGAATGCAAGGAAATATGAACATCCAAGGCTCCAAAAGAAGAAAGAAAATTTGTGTGCTCCATTTTTGTTATGCAACATTTGGTGTACATTGTATGTTTTCCATTTTTGTTTGATGGAGCATTTGGTGTACATTGGCAATTCACAAAAAAGAAGAAGGAAAAGGCCTTGGATTCATGGCCCTGAGTCATGAATCCAAAGAATGGAGGATATGGGTTTTGAGCAAGTGTATGTGTGCAGCCAAGCACTTGTCATTTTTAAATAATGCAAAATAATTTCTTTCTGTTTTTCTATTTTTCTGGTATTGTTCTGTGTCCCAGTGACTGCTACAGAAACTGGGGCACTTTATGATTGGTCATCTTCTCAACTCTGAAGCTCCAGCAGTGTGATTTAAATTAAAACAAATAGAGAGAAGGGCAAGCAGCAATAGTCAGTGAGCACATTTCCCAAGAACAATTTTCCAATTGTGTGGTGGATCAAGTATTCTCATATGAAGGCCAGTATAAATTGTTCTCAGAAAAAAAAGAAAGAAAGAGGAAGGCCATTATAAGTCTTGTTGCATGTGAAGACCACTTGAAATAATGGCAGAGAGTGAACAAGGATAACTGCAAATTAAAAACCAGGGGAATTCAGAGTGAGATGTAAAAAGCAGAAAGAGCATTGCAGCAGCAGCAGCATGCTGCATGTGGAATTGTCTTGCACCAGATGTGTCAGAGATTAGTTGTTTGATTTAATTTCCATGAAATTTGACATGATATGCTAACTAAAAATGACATGACCTGCATCTAAATTCTAAACCAACCAAAAATATGAACCCTAGAATTGTTTTATCATCCAAATATTTATAAGCAGATTTGTTTTTTTCCTTGAACATGACCTGCATCACACAGTTGTAAGTAAAACCAAAATGAAGGGGGCTCATATAATGCTTGGGAAACATGTTTCTTTCTCGCAATCAAGACGACATTTGAAAATGATTAAGATGATTTGAGCAACAATAATGCAGAAGGCATAAGAGGCCCAAAAGATGCCCAAATGAAGTAGATGGTGGGAGCTTTTGAAGCTTTAATATGGTTGAAGCAGAGGTCCATATCCTCCTCTTCCCCTCAAGCCCTTCTTCTTTTGGCATCTTATGAACAATCTGATGATGAAAACATGTCTGGTTTGAGAGCAGCTACAAAGATGATGTCCACCCAACACCATGATTCATAAAGCATATAATTCATTGTGATGAGTTTTCTTGATTAAACAATTTTTTGCAACTTACAATTAAATTATTTTTGAGAAATATTATTGGGCACTGAAATTCCCATTTCACTCATTGATGTTAACAGAAAATTATTAACATTATTATTATGTATTCTTTTAACTATTATTAAAGAAACATTGGAAGACGTTTTCTGGGGTCCATGAGAAAGCATACAATATAAATAGTGGAGTTTTGTTGTTTGATGGGTTTGATGAGTTTTGTTTTTGCTATGATATTATTATGACCCCCTAATAATGCTCTGATAATTGCCACCTACTATGGGGTTGTAATTAATCTGATATATTCATGTTGATTGCTGTAGTGGGAGAAGAAAAATCACTATTCTTATCCCATCGTTTCTGATTGATATGCCATTTTCCATTCAGAAACGATGGGATTATTATTATTTTATTTTATTTGGATATGTCAGCAGTAACTTGAATTTTTGAAACACTTTTTTTAAAAAATTATAAATTTCCCTTTTATACAAAATAGTTGTTTGTGCTCAATTTTAATAGGTTGCAGTTTGGATGGTGATAAATAAATTTCGCACGCGTTAATTTAACAAGCCGACCTTAGCTCAGTTGGTAGAGCGGAGGACTGTAGTTGGAGTATCCATCGGTTATCCTTAGGTCGCTGGTTCGAATCCGGCAGGTCGGAATTTGTTTTTGTTTTTGTTTTCTCCTTTTTTTTAAAGAATCCTGAGGGGGAAGGGAAAGGAGTGTACGGCAATTTTCTCTAAATAAAAGCCCAGAATGTGGGACCTTTCAAATTTATTTGAGTTTTTCTTCCCCTCTATTTCTGGTTGTGAATGTTTATTTTTTATTTTACTTTTTCCTCTAAGGGAAGGAATTATATTTAGATGAAGTTGGATATTGTTTGGACCAAAATTAGCATGGATCAAAATTAGCATGGACCAAATTACTTAGTTATTTTGGCCAGTTCTGTGGTTTAAATGACTAAACTCACCAAAAACAAGCCAGTTTAAATGACTAGGTGTTTACCAGCAATTAACTATTTTTTAGGCCCAAAGCTTGTGGGACAAAAATAAATTCAACTGAAAAATTTAGTAGTAATATTTATCTTCTCCATGTTAAAAAGTCATTCCAAAAGAATATTAATAATAATAATGGAAGTGGATAATGAATTGATGATATAGTTGTATTGATATCATCAATACAAAGCACTATAGAACCTATATATAAACCTTTGCACTTCAATTGTCAATATAAGGGCACAACTGCTTCACAGGATAAATGCAGGCAAAGATATGTAAAACCTAAACACTATAAAGGCATTAAAATATATTATACAGTACAATTACAGCATCGGTACTTCAAAAAAAAACATACATAAATTGAGCAATTACATAACTGCAAATGATCTATTTCATGAAAGCCTGGTACTGAAGAGTTGCAGTATGTCACCGCTTAAACAACCAAGCAGACCTTTCTTCAAAGCAGGAGTGTACTTGAGATCGCGAACAGGATCTTTATGCAACTTAAGGCTCTGGAAGGTAGTAAAAGATGGCAACTCTTCTAAAACCAATTTGGAACTTAACTTATCCTCTGATGCAAACAATGTGCGATGATTTCCTAAGTCGATGATTGCAGATTTTGGCAGTCCGATATCACAGACGTTGGTGCATGCAGATCCCAACCTTTTAAAACAGTTGCTGCTGTCTGCTCTCTTTAGTAAAACAAGGGAACCCACTGTTCCTTGTCCAATGCCACCACGGGAAGGAGTAAGCGGTGGTTGAGAGAAGATTGTGTCATCGGACATTTCCACTTTGGGACGATAGGAAGCGACAATGTTGTCACTGCTAGGACAATAAGCAAGAGATATGCAAACTCCTTGATTCTCCGTTTGAGGAACCAATATCGGCCTTCATAAAGTTTAAATTCTGTTAGAACAGAGCCATGCAGTAGTTGACCAACTATTTGGAACATATTTAAAATGAAAAAGCAAGAGAATTTCATTTGTTGCGATCCAAAATATCATCCCTTTACAAGAGGAAATACATGGATAAAGAAAATACAGCATCCAATCAACAGAGCAAAGCGTATTCTTTTTTTCTTTCTTGATTAGACTGCAATAATCAACTTAGATAGGAGAAAATGAACCAGGGAAAAAAACATTCTTGTGTATTCTGGCCTTTTAGTTGTGACTTGCTCTAAAAGGTCATTACAAACATGCAAACAGACCATTGGTTTATCAAAAGCAAGCAAACAAACCAGACTAACATGTTAAATGGCATCACTCACAGTACAAATTGAATTCTTCTTTTTTCTTTCTTTAAAAACAATATGGATAAAATCAGACGGGGTAATCAAGAATATTTGAGATCCATATGATTTCATAGCTGTGCAAGAAAGAACAGGACACATATTTGAACTCACCCTTCTTCAGCATTATCAACGTTCCACAGACATAAGCCAATTGAAGAAGCGGACAGCACTGTTCTAGCACCAGCAGGGAGAGCTGAATTATTTGGAAGGGAATGTACAGTATGAATTGGGTTGTTTGTCAGCCCCTTTTTCGTTGCAACAGGCCCTGCAGTTCGGCGCAAGTCAAACACCAAAAGAGAGCCATTCTGCAAGAATAAGAGAAATGAAATTAAAGCAGAGGATATACAAGTAACACCTTCCAAAATACTTAAAATGGAAAGTAGGGTCAGACCTGTAATCCAGCATATACATAATTCGAGTCATTGAGATCCCAGGAACATGTCCAAGCAGCAGCCTGCAAGCAAAAATGTCAACATGAAGAACAAACAATAGAAGAGTAAAACAGACAGATTAACACATATTATGCCAAGCATATATAACTTTAACAGTATGTCATGCTGAGTGGCTTTAACCACTCCCATACATAACCTGAACGCACGTAGATAATCATGTGAAAAAGTTCTTTAACACTGCATAATACAGGAAACACGAGTTTTTGAAGTTAGTACAAAACAATATAAACAACAGATCAAGATTTTACCGGTAGATCATAGGCAAGGATGACATTGTTGCTTTCCATACTGTAACAAATAACACAAGTGTCAACCAGGCGAAATATATGAAGAACGTACTAAAATAACAGTTGAGGAAGTTAACCACAATGCAACCTGAGAACTGACAACTTCTTCCCTAGGCAAGCAAACAGTGCAAGGTCACTGTTCGTAGGGCAAATGTGTAGGTCCCTAATGACTTTTATAGATCTAGGAAGGAGAATATCATCTCTGTCATACGGAGGTATCAAACTCAACTGCAGAACCATATTTAAGAAAGATCAAGAGCAGTTCCTGTGTTATAAATATATACAAATATAATGCAACAGAAGCACAAACTTTATCCAACCCCAGAAACTTTACTTTGGTAAGCGCTTGTGTCCCACCTATCCCAGCAAGCCTTCGTGAAATTAACACAATTTGGTTAGATGCATCAACATCAAATAAACGAGCACCATCTACCTGCAACTCCTTCTGCAAAGTTCACTATCATGAGGTTAACATTATGTGGAACAATAAAATAATATAACTTCTTCCTTTTCACCAATTACTAGAGTGGATTTCCAGCGAATATCACACAAAATCTGGACGTAGTGCCCTACGTATCAAGACCACCATATATGTCTTTTTTGCTGATATAGAGATGATATCTGTAGGTCCAGTTCACACACAATGATGTGTACGTTTGTGTATTTACCTCCATCTCCATGTAAACGATGAAAGAGAAGAGGAAAGGAATATGATGAAAGAACAAAGCATAAGAGAAAGGAACCATGCCATACATCTAATATGAAATTGCAAGAATACTCTTGTCCACAGAGCTTTGAGTCAAAGTTCCACCCTAGGAGACAAAGAAAGCATGGTTTCATACAATTATGATAAACTTAACTGCCATTGAAAATGAATATCTTAAGCTTTAAAGATGCTAAAATATGAACATGAATACACTAACCATAAGATTTTTTGTCTAAGATTGTGTTACCAGATGCAAATCTTCCTTCAACGGCCCCATGAGCATTGACTTGTCCAGATGTTCTGCTATGCGTGTCTCCTAATAAACGCTCCAAATATGTTGTCCTCTACAACGGCAAAAATTTTAAAACCAAACGTAATAGAGAAATACACTCCTAAAATAATATATAGAACATTTTATTTTTCTACAGAAAACAATCCAATCATATTTAATGTACAAAGACATTTTTTTCCTAACAGTCATTCGAAAATGCTGCAGGGTTTTTCTTTGCATACTCTTTACACATTTGGAGATATCTGCACAAGTCATGGATGCTTAGAGATGCTCTAAAGCAGGAACCAGCCCAATATAAAGCACTAGAGAATATATAATCATTTGCACTTCAATTGTCAATATAAAGGCATAACTGCTTCACAGGATAAATGCACACAAAGACATGTAAAACTAAATACTATAAAGGCATTAAAATGTAATACGAAAACAGTAACAGTTTTGGAGGCTGAGAGAAAGAACTACTGCTGATACAGAGGGCTATATGACCAGAAAATAAATAAATAAATAAAAAGCCATTAAAAACCATAGATTATGTAGAATCACAAGATCAAATGCATTGCAAATAAGCATACCTCTGTAAGCTTCTGAACTTTAAGCTGCAGTTCAGCCTCTAACTTTTGCCATTGAGCTTCTTTCTTACACCAACCAGCTCCCTACAAATACAAGGAAAAACCATTGACTTGATAAACAAACTAACGAATGAATAAGGGAAGGTAGCCCTCACAATATAATATAAGTTGAATATGTCTGAGTGTGTATCCACATGCCTCTATCTATAATTTACTAAACCAGAAAAATGAAGGCATGTATATGGAAGAAACAAAGAATTTACTATACTATGTACTGGACAAAATATGATTGGAACAAAACAAATTATGAGAGATATATATTAATTCAGTCAGAAGATATCCCTACCTTCTTCTCAAGAGAATCACATTTAGCCTCAAGTGACCGAATCATCTACAAACAAGAAGAACCTATCTTTCAAAATAAGTTAACTTTGCATAAGTTTTAGCGGAATGTATCAGCCTTGTGAGATTGGATATGACCTTTTGCGATTCTTCGTCAACAGAAACAATTCGTGAAGCAAAAAGTTTCCTAACATCCTTTAACGCGCATTTCTTGTTGCATTGAGGGCACTAAAAAGAAGGACAGGAATGTCAACAACAAAGAAGAACAACCAAACTAACTTCAAATTTCAACGAAATTGAAAACCAGGGGATTGTTAGACAAATCATTACCTTCCCTGAATTTTTACGCTGCTGTAGCCATTTTCTTATGCAGGACATACCATATATGTGCCCACAAGGAAGGCAACTGCAATCCGAAAACCAAAATTACAGAAATAAATCATCTGCAACAATTTAGACTGAAGAAAAAGTTATATAAAATCACAAAGAATTGAGGTTTGAATTCGAACCAGATGTGATGATCACCGTCGTTGGTCCAAGCCTCCAAGCAAATAGGGCAAAATAGCCCATCGATTTCATTCCGAGTCCAGTGGCTGCCTTGGGAACTCTCTGCACTGCCAATTCCATCGCGCGACGCCGTTTTGCCTTCTCCAGCTCTTCTCCGCTTACGCCCCCATTCCTCAGCCCCATTGCTCGCCACTGTTTCATGAGAATTTCCGGCGCCGTTATGAGAAACACCAGAATGATGTAGTGATGCAATGTACACAGCATAATCCGTGTCAATTAAGTCTTCGTCTTCTTCTTCGTCTTCATCGTCTTCATCTTCTTCATCATCATTGAATCCCGGTGCTGCGTTTTGGTCCTCTTGGAGTTCCTCGTCGTCAAGAAGTAAGATCGGGGAAGGGGGGTGAGGGCTTGCCATGAGTGAGTGAGAATTGGGGAACAGTTGCTAGGGCTCCACAGTGAGTGAGGGCGAGAGAACTGTTGAAAATTTTCGGTTTCTTGAAGATTAATTTTTGGTGGGAAATCGAAACACTTAGGCGGTTGGGTAACTTCCCGTTTTCATTTTCTATGAAAAAAAGTACGTCATTTTCATTTTCATTGGAATTGTTTTTTTGAAAACAAATTCAAACTCATGTATAAAAACAGAAAACACAAAATTATCGTTTTTATTTTTTACCCAATGTATTAGTCTGATTTCTTTCTTTTTTCTTATTTTTGGTTGCTTTATTTTTTTTTCCCTTTTTAAATTTTTTTTTCCTTTTCCAATTTTCAGTTTTTTCGTTCCATTTCATTATTCTATTTTGCTACACCAATGTATATTAATTTTATTATATAACCATCATATATTATTTAATTTCATATTTATTTTAAATTAAAGATAATATTATTTTATTATCTAGGTTTTTCTAAAACTATAATTTTTTTATCATTATTTTAATTATACATTATCATTTTCAAAGTATATATTTTTCATTGTTTGTTATAATTTTAGCCTTTAAAAAATATATATATAATTTTTAGGATAGAGAAACGTGTATACCATGAAGGTCATAAGCTTAAACGTATTTCAATTAAAATATATACTTAAACGTATTTCAATTAGAAATTAATTTACAGATGTATATAATATGTGATATAACAGGAGTCAAAAGTATAGCTGTAGCAACCCGATAAAGAAACGTGCATACCATGAAGGTCATAAGCAAATGGCTAAGGATAAACTGAGCCAATAAGAAAGTGACTAGAAACCATCCATAAGCAACAGATTAACAGAACAACGAAGTTGTCATTCAAAACATCCACAAAGATAAACCAACATAAGCATGAGCCTAATTAACAAGATCAAGGTACCAAATTCATCAAAAGAATAGCAATATCTCTCAAGCTACAAACCCAAGATCCAAAATGACAAACTACCAGCTAAATATCCAGAGAACGAAATCAACGCAAGTGTGAGGATCATCATCCTCTGGACTTTGTTGATCCAATTGCTCCAAAGTCGCTTCAATTCTCAACCAAAATGATCTGCTTCATGCTCCTCCCTTGCTGCATCTGGAGCAATTTGCCCATTCCAGAAAGTTAACCCATCAATTCCAAAGTGCGACCACCACTGTGTCCATCACTATGGCATGACACTTTCACTTAATTGTTTTGTACAATATATGTATTAATTGCAGCTCAAGGTCTTTCTTCTTTTTATAAACTGCTGTGTTGGTATATTATTTAATTGTTTTCTACAGTATATGTATTAATCTGTGCAACATACATGTATATGTTATTGTATATCATTTTCCAAACTCAAATGTAGGTTGTATAACATAGAATATTGCATAATACATCAAATTTTTTGTTTATATTTATTTTACAGATATGCCGAAGGGTCGTAAAAACCAGCATAAACGTAATTCTGCAACCCAACTAGTTGTTGGTGGGAGTGATATTATAGGAGTGGCTGGTGGGAATGCGGTTCTTGTTGTTAACCAACATAGACCAATAACTTAGATTATAGGAAGTTTGATATTGCATAGTCTGGGGCTTGGAATTATTATGGGTTTATGGTATATATTTTTCAAACATTGAGGGATATAATAGGTTAGATGCATTTTATGCAGCAATTGTCACCATTGTTGTTATGGTGACAATTGCTGCATAAAATGCATCTAACCTATCATATCCCTCAAATATTTGAAAAATACATACCATTAAACCCATAATAATTCCAAGCCCCACACTATGCAATATCAAACTTCCTATAATCTGAGTTATTGGTCTATGTTGGTTAACAACAACAACCGCATTCCCACCAGCCACTCCTATAACATCACCCCCACCAACAGCCAGTTGGGTTGAAGCATTATGTTTATGCTGATTTTTACGACCCTTCGGCATATTTGCAAAATAAACATAAACCAAAAATTTGATGTATAATGCAATATTCTATGTTATACAACCTACAATTGAGTTTGGAAAATGATATACAGTAACATATATACCTATGTTGCACGGATTAATAAATATCCTATAGAAAATAATTAAATAATATAACAACACAGCAGTTTATAAAAAGAATAAGAAGAAAGACCTTGAGTTGCAACTAATACATATACTGTACAAAACAATTAAGTGAAAGTATCATGCCATATGCTTCATATTGGAAGTTCTCCTCAATTTTCACTTCATTTAAGTGCTTTTTTATGATGGTTTTTTGTTTAAAAACGAAAAAGCTTGTGCCATGTATTCATGGCCCTATGTTGATGAATCCAAAGAAAGGAGGATACGGGTTCTGAGCAAGTGTATGTGTGCAGCCAAGCACTTGTCATTTTTCAATAATGCGAAATAATTTCTCTGTTTTTCTATTTTTTTTGGTATTGTTCTATGTGTCCCAGTGACTGCCACAGAAACTGGGGCACTTTATGATTGGTCATCTTCTCAACTCTGAAGCACCTGCAGTGTGATTTAAATTAAATCAAATAGAGAGAATGGCAAGCAGCAATAGTCAGTGAGCACATTTCCCAAGACCAATTTTCCAATTGTGTGGTGGATAAAGTATTCGCATATGAAGGCCAGCATAAATTGTTCTCAGAAAAAAATGACAGAAAAAAATGAAAGATAAGTCTTGTTGAATGTTAAGGCCACTTGAAATAATGGCAGAGTGAACAAGGATAATTGCAAATTAAAAACCAGGGGAATTCAGAGTGAGATGTAAAAAGCAGAAAGAGCATTGCAGCAGCAGCAGCATGTGGAATTGTTTTGCACCAGATGTGTCAGAGATTAGTGGTTTGATTTAATTTCCATGAAATTTGACATGATATGCTAACAAAAAATGACATGACCTGCATCTAAATTCTAAACCAACCAAAAATATGAACCCTAGAATTGTTTTATCATACAAATATTTATAAGCAGATTTTTTTTTTCTTGAACATGACATCACACAGTTGTTAGTAAAACCAAAATGAAGGGAGCTCATATAATGCTTGGGAAACATGTTTCTTTCCTGCAATCAACATGACCTTTGAAAATGATTAAGATGATTTGAGCTTATTAAAAGAATAAGAAGACCGACCTTGAGCTGGTGAGTTCTTCTTCCTTCTTCCTTGGTTGCTGTCTGAATCACCCAAAAGACTGGTCTCTCGACATGTGAAATTCTAAGTTTTAATTTTACAATGAGAAAGCAGCAATGAGCTGGGGTGGGAGAACCCTAAAAGGCTGGGGTAGTAAAGCCTTAAATCCCCAAAGATGCCTAATTTTTTATTTTTTCAAAGCTGGATACGATACATTTTCAGGGAAAAAGTGGCTTCAAAAACCAAGATTTATACAATTTTCAGGTTGAATAAAATTCTGAAAAATCAATTCAAACAGGCCCAGCCCGACAGCACAACACACCTACCAAAAGCAGGCCGAGCCCGCCAACGCAGCACCACTTACCAAAAGCAGGCAGCAGGCAGCCCTGGATTTCACCGTGGCACGACAGCCTCCTTCATCAGGTTTCTGCGTTCCTTGCATTGCGAGATTGATTCTTCGTTGTCTATTCTCCCAGATCTACCCTCTGGTATCATCTATGTGATAAAACCAGATCTATCACATTAAGAGGACAAGCAAAGAGCCCTCTCCCAGGTAGGTAGGCATGGCAACCACGTCTTTTGTTCTTCGTGCGGGCAAAATCAATTTTCCGGCAAAAGAGGACCGGTGGATGGGATCTCACCGCCACCACTACAGAAAGCCAGCCAGCCAGCCTTTATTTTTTTTATCTCAGACTCAAATGGTAGATCTCTCAAATAGATGATACCAAATACTGATGGGAGGCCATAGATATTGATTGGGGGTTTGAGGCCCTGCGGCCATCGTGTGAGAGAGAAAGAGAGAGATCTGTAAGCGGATGGATTTGGATTGGGGGGTTTGAAGGCGAGCGAGGAGAGGGAGGGCCTGCGGCCATTTTGATAGAGATTTGTAAGCAGAAGGATATGGATGGAGAGAGAGAGAGAGAGAGAGAGAGAGTGGTGATATTATTGATTGAGACTGATCGAACCGCCAGAATAAAACGTGTAGTACGCAACAGCTGTATTAGTGCGGGATATTATTGTGTTGGGGTAAACTTTATGCTTGATATTTCAATGAACCGCTTCGACCCAATCATGTTCTCTGTACTTGCGGTTTTTCACTTCTTACTGTTGTTCCTTTTTTAACTTGTTGTACTTCTCTCTTCTGACCTTTTTATTTTATTATTCTTTTAAACCGTGGAGTCAATGTGTTTTTGTGTTTTTTAATTGCGCAATTCCACACAATATTCTTGAGTTTGGGTCTGAAAAATTACATTTCCTCACACAACAAGAACAACAACATTCCCTCACTCCCTCACAAGAACATTTATTCTTCGTGAATTCACATTAATTTTATTTATAGTGAGTCAAAAATATCAAATTGAAGAAATCTCGTAATCTCAACAATAGTGGGGTTTTATTTTCTTCTTTTTTTTCACTTTCTTTTTTTAAATTTAGTTAGATTGAATCTTGTTAAAGTTGAGTAAATAACCCCTTTAAAAAAAAACATCCCCAAGGAAAGGAAGTTGGATATATACTTAAATATAGAATGAGTGAAGTTCAGCGAAGGTAGAATCCGAGTTTAACTTTAAGACCTCCTTGAAAAGATCAAATCAAACTTTATGATGTGGCTTTAAGAAGAGCCACAAGGCAGCCACCTGTGTTAATAACCGATTTTGAAATAGTTTTGGATTTGGATTACAATATTATTCTGAAAGCCAGCCGAGTCCAAAGGAGAGGAGAGTTCCTTTCATTTCTGGTGCAGTTACGCGCATGCATGCATATTAGAAAAATCATAAACCACAGTGAATCAAATAAGGCTATGGGTAGCAGGAGTTCTACGGTTCATCCGCATCCGCTTGATGCATCCGGAGCCCAACAAGAAGACACCATGATCTTAATCCCCGATTCTGATGAACCATCTCTTCTCGACCAAAATGATCTGCTTGATGCTCCTCCCCTTTCTGCATCCGGAGCCCAACAAGACGACACCAAGTTCTTAATCCCCAATACTAGTAATACGGAAAGATGTCTTGCCGGATTCTGTTTTTTCAGCGAATTTGCACTTTGTCTTACAGCGTTTTTATTAATCATGATGACGGACGCGCCCCCGAAAGCGTTGGACCCTGAGTTTCGAGTCCAATCAGCGGTGTTGTGGTACCCACACAATGCGACTCGCTCCTCCGACTTAACGGCCACGTGGGATCTGACCCTCCTCGCCACAAACCCCAACGACAAGTGGGACATCTTTTGCCACACCATCCATGCCTCGCTCTTCTACGGTCCAGGGTACCAACATCTTAAGGAGCTGTGGCAGATGTACCAACTCACGGTGTTCGCAGCAACGTCGTTGCATCCCTTGTTTTTAACATCGTCAAACCAGACAAGTGTGAGTTTCAAACTCCCCATGCTCAACGCTTACATAGGCGATGATTTGTCGAAAGAAATCTTTAATGACAACACTACAGCTATGTCGCTCAGGTTCGGGCTCAAGCTTTCGCTTTCTTATAGGTATATGGGGCACTTGAGCGACATGAAAACTCCCCGTCCCGATGCCGGGACCTCCTTTTGCAATAGGATTCAAGTCCGAGTTTTCTCGGACAATAGTCATATTAATGAAACTGAGAGAATGACGATGGCTGAGAAGTCAATAGCTTGCGAACAGAATAACGTGCGAATGAATTGAGTTTTATTTATTTATTTTTATAATCATATTTTCTGTGTTTTTAATAATATTACTTAGTTGCAAAGTCTTCCTTTGACAACCCCATGAGCAAATCTTCCTAAAATAATATATAGAACATTTTATTTTTCTACAGGAAACATTCCAATCATATCAAAGTACACAGACATTTTTCCCTAACAGTCATTCAAAAATGCTGCAGGGATTTTCTTTTCAAACTCTTTACACACTTGGAGATATCTTTGGAGGCTAAGAGAAGCCTATATGACCAGAAATAAAAATAATAAATAAAAATCCATTAAAAAGTGGTCACTAGTCACAACCTAAGTAATATTTGTTAAAATGGTGATTCAATATTATACCAAATATAAAAGCCCAAATTATAAAATAAAAAACTCTATATGTAATAGACTTTGGAAACATACTCAAAGCCCAACAAAATTTTTTTTAACTTTTTTTAAATTACTCTAGTGTGAGTAATATTATTGGCTATACTTCTATCATATCATAGTTATAGGAGCTTGTTTCTATACCTATGGTATGATTCATGCTTTAATTTGGAGATAATCTCTATTTTCGAATCGGGGTGTGACAATTTTTATTTATATATGTAGTTTATTTTTATGAATATTTTAGCCTAAAAAATTTTGTCCTTAAACAAAAAAATGAACGTATGGTGTAATTTTTCCTAGAGTGTGTGATAATTTTAGGAATTGATCTTATTTTGATCAATTAATATTAACATTTTTTATGTAGATTATTTTACCGCCATATATTACTCATTTTAAGTTATGATCGCCGGACATGAGGTAGTCGTTAGGTTTTCATTTTAATCAAAATCAAATTCATAATATGCGGTTGTTGGATGGCAATGACCATATCATCTCAGTCATTAAACAAAGTTGAAGATGCCTTGCTAGTAGTGGCCAAGAAAAAATTATACCATCGATAAGAGACTTGAAATTTAAGTTGTTAAGAGCATTTACTTTCGCATTTGAGGTCATAGGTTCGATTTCCCCCTCTATTGCTTGTATCAAAACAATAATGTTGGAAATGACCCACTTTTCTATCTCCCTTTCACATGGGTTCAACTAATATTGAATAGGATCCACCATTTAGGTATAACTAAAATGAGATATGCTGTTTGGCCCCATAATTTTAGCTTAGCTCCTCCACCGAAGATGGTCTAATCTAATCGATTCATAGTGAGAATTTGAAATTAAAAAGGTGAAAGTTAGGTTGTTTTATAACAATAATACTACATACACAAACTTTTGCTTATCAATTGATGTAAATAGATGAAGTTCAAGGAGCCCAAATATAAAATACAATCACATCATTTGGTAACTAAAAATTTGTGTAATAAGTTGGTGTCTCTGATACTATTTCATTAAGGAGAAAAAGTAGAAGAAAATATCAAATCAAACTTTATGATGTGGCTTTAAGAAGAGCCAGAAGGCAGCCACCTGTGTTAATAACCGATTTTGAAATAGTTTTGGATTTGGATTACAATATTATTCTGAAAGCCAGCCGAGTCCAAAGGAGAGGAGAGTTCCTTTCATTTATGGTGCAGTTACGCGCATGCGTGCATATTAGAAAAATCATAAACAGTGAGTCAATTAAGGCTATGGGTAGCAGGAGTTCTACGGTTCATCCTCTTGATGCATCCGGAGCCCAACAAGAAGACACCATGATCTTAATCCCCAATACTAATGAACCATCTCTGCTCGACCAAAATGATCTGCTTGATGCTCCTCCCCTTTCTGCATCCGGAGCCCAACAAGACGACACCAAGTTCTTAATCCCCAATTCTTATAATAGGAGGGATACATGTCTTGGCGCATTGTGTTTTTTCAGCCAATTTGGAAGTTGTCTCGCAGTGTATTTATTCATCACGATTATGGGCGTGCCCCCGCCAGGGTTGGACCCTGAGTTTCGAGTCCAATCAGCGGTGTTGTGGTACCCACACAATGCGACTCGCTCCTCCGATTTAACGGCCACGTGGGATCTGACCCTCCTCGCCACAAACCCCAACGACAATTGGGACATCTATTGCCACACCATCCATGCCTCGCTCTTCTACGGTCCAGGGTACCAACATCTTAAGGAGCTGAGGCAGATGTACCAACTCACGGTGTTCGCATCAACGTCGTTGCATCCCTTGTTTTTAACATCGTCAAACCAGACAAGTGTGAGTTTCAAACTCCCCATGCTCAACGCTTACATAGGCGATGATTTGTCAAAAGAAATCTTTAATGACAACACCACAGCTCTATCGCTCAGGTTCGGGCTCAAGCTTTCGCTTTCTTATAGTTATATGGGGCACTCGAGCGACATGATAACTCCCACTCGCGATGCCGGGACCTCCTTTTGCAACAGGATTCAAGTCCGAGTTTTCTCAGACAATAGTCATATTAATGAAACTGAGAGAATGACGATGGCTGAGAAGTCAATAGCATGCGAGAGGAATAACGTGCGAATGAAATGAGTTTTATTTATTTATTATTATTATTATTTAATTTATAACATGTAGAAGATTTGATTTTGCACCCTCATTTTGACTTAAGAATCTAGTACTTGGTGTTGAGATTGCATCTTATAATGTTCACATTGGAATTGGAAACATACCTGCGTTTTGGTCCGCTTAAAGATGCTCTAAAGCAGGAACCAGCCCAACATAATTCACTATATAATTTATGAACATTTGCACTTCAGTTGTCAATATAAAGGCATAACTGCTTCACAGGATAAATAAATGCACGCAAAAAATATGTAAAACTAAATACTATAAAGGCATTAAAATGTAATGTGAAACCAATAATAGTTTTGGAGGCTAAGAGAAGCCTATATGACCAGAAATAAAAATAATAAATAAAAATCCATTAAAAAGTGGCCACTAGTCATAACCTAAGTAATATTTGTTAAAATGGTGATTCAATATTATACCCAATATAAAAGTCCAAATTATAAAATAAAAAACTCTATATGTAATGGACTTTGGAAACATACTCAAAGCCCATTTATAATATTTAAATTACAAAACTGTCGTTGATTTTTTAAAAACAAATCCAAAACGCTCAATAGGGCATCAAAGTAATTTAATAATCAAAATTAAATTCAATATGACCAATTGTCATTTTTTGTGTTTTTTTTAGTGCTGCTAAACGAACCCTAAAATTAACTGAGTACACCCTATGATCTAAGTACACCCTAATATTTAAATCAAAATGTAAAATTAACTAAGTACATCCAATTTAACTACCAAAAATACCCCTGGTACACCTTTATACATATCACACAACACCATAACCAATCCTAAGTCAGATTTCTCTTTTTATATGAATTCGTGCTTTATTTTCCGATTTTGGGTTTGCAGTACTTTTGAGAGAAATTGGTAAGGACTGGATTTGTGCGTGAATGAAATTTTCTGTTGATTTGTCAAATTGCATTGGCTCATCCAAAATTTCAACTGCAGCTATGGGTAAAGATGGGAGCTGGTCGATCGAGATGGTGTACATATTGATGATGGTTGTCATGTCAACAGTTGAAACTAGTGTAACACCCCATGATACAACAGGTGGAATCCTAACCAAGATATCTGAAGCCGATTGTGAAACTCGGAATCGATGTATAAATTGTAAATAGTTGAGGGCCTTGAGTGGAGAATTGAACGGCAACCTTCCTCATAACTGGCTTGAAACCGCAATCCGGTTTTCCAATAAATGGATTACGATTGCTCTAACAGAGGAGGGAGAGAGAGATGGAGACGAGGAGCAATAAAACGGAAATAGAAAAGTCTTCTCCTAGCTAACAGAGGTATCGAAAGTATGCATTTGGATAACACCAATAAAGGCATTTGGAGATGATGCTCAACCCAGCAAGATTAGAAAACTGATTGTTAGACGTAGAATAAAATTTTCAAATTCTACGACAGGCGGATGAAACTCATCATTTGTGTATGTACAGATAGAAAATACATTTGTGTTATTATTAACATATGGTCAATATGTTCTTTTTGGTCATTTTATATTAGGGTAAATTAGTAATTCAATAAATAATTTGGTAATAGGGTGTGCTCAATTAATTTTAGGATTCATTTAGCAGCACTCTTTTTTTCTTTTTTTTAATAGAAATTAAATGGTGTAAGATTTATCTATATTATTAGTGCCAAGAATAGGTATATGACTAAATATCTCTTGTTAAAATGCATGTAATTGGTTATGTAGAACATTTTAAGGTTAATTACACTAACAACTGGGAGACATTGAAATGTCTGCCAACATTTTCTATTTAGTAAACCGAATTGGCAAGTTTGTCCGGCAAAGCTCGTCAAGATAGATTTTGACGAAATGGATTCCTCAGTGAAATATTTCCAGAGCAATTGTGTCCAGCCAGGTGCTCTGCCGGTGAACAAGCTTCTTTCGCGACTGTATGAGCTTAGTTTGTTTTTAATGAATATTTTATTTTACTTATATTGTAATCTAAGTCTTAATAAGTTTTGTTCAAATTAATGCCACAGTAACAAAAAGGGGCGCTCATACGATAAATGAAAAGACAAATGAATTAACCCAAAGAGGTATGTCCCTCATCCTTGCCAGCATATTGATCGGACTGCACCACTGGTGGCGGTAGAAACGGGCAAGCTTTGTCGCTGGTGGTGTTACAAACAAGGCGGGCTGTGTCGCTGATGGTAGTACAAATGGGCCAGGAGGTATTGTGAATGCAGGGATAGAAGTATGTATCTGTTGCATAGTCTGATTCCAAGACAGCTGAAAAGGCTCCAACATGTGCTCAGCCTCTGCCGCAGAGGGTCAACTCCTCCAATTGCCACATGATGGACGCCGATGCCTGAGAAGGAGCCTCGAGGTCACAAACCCACCTAGATCCCAACTCAAGAACCTGTTGCCCGGAATTAAGACCCAATGCCGACGTCATGATATGCCCCTTCACCAATCCTGCACGATAGTCATTCTTGTTGGTGAGCATCTCATCCTTTAAATATAAAATAAACTTAAACGTATTTCAATTAGAAATTAATTTACAGATGTATATAATATGTGATATAACAAGAGTCAAAAGTGTAGGTGTAGCAACCCGATAAAGAAACGTGCATACCGTGAAGGTCATAAGCAAATGGCTAAGGATAAACTGAGCCAATAAGAAAGTGACTAGAAACCATCCATAAGCAACAGATTAACAGAACAACGAAGTTGTCATTCAAAACATCCACAAAGATAAACCAACATAAGCATGAGCCTAATTCACAAGATCAAGGATTACCAAATTCATCTGAAGAATAGCAATATCTCTCAAGCTACAAATCCAAGATCCAAAATGACAAACTACCATAAAGTCTACAGTCACCACAAGCAATAAGAAGCCCTAAGCTAATATCCAGAGAACGAAATCAACTCAAGTGTGAGGATCATCATCCTCTGGACTTTGGTGATCCAATCACTCCAAAGTCGCTTCAATACCATCACTTCTGTTCTCCAAATTCACTCCCATACCATCAATTCGGTGCCCTAATCCGGTAAAATGCTCATCCAAACACTTAAAGTATGTCATTGCACTGAGCTGTGATTGACTGCATATTCTTAGCAGAGTCCATCGATGGCTGAGAGGAAAACAACACTGACCTCAGAAACTATGAGTACTAAGACACCCAAAGGGCAATAACTAATTCCCATGATAAAAGTGAGCAAAGAGGTGGATCACCTAAAACTATAGAGACAATAAAATGTAAAGTGAAACGAAGAATATTTTCAGGGGCTGAGAGAAAACATGACTGCTGATATTTTTTGCAAAAGCATGAGGCCAGAGGGATATATATGACCAGAAACAAAATAAATCAAATACAGTGTAAACGACAGATTCAATAAACACAGTTATACACAATCAGAAGAATGTTACCCTTCGACGTGCATACGAAGGTTATATACAATCAAAATGTAGCAAATTAAACATACCTCTGTACACTGTTGAACTTTTTGCTGCAGTTCACCCTCTCGCTTTAGCCATTCAGCTTCTTTCTTAGAAAGATCAGCAACCTATACATACAAGAAAGACCATATACTTGCTAAAAAGGCTAACCAATGAATAATGTAAAATATACATTCATCATGCGCATACGTTTGTGTACATATATGACATGCATGTACCCTGCTTCTATATCTATGATTAACTAAATCAGCAAGATGAACCACTTCAGTCAAAATGTGAAGGGAACAAAACAAATTATAAGACATCCAAATCACTTCAGTCACAAAATATCCTTACCTTCTCCTCAAGAGAAGCACACTTATCCTCAAGTACCCGAATCCTCTACAAACAAGAAGAACCCATCATTCCAAATAAATTAACTGAACCAAAATTTTAATTGACGCTCATGAGGTCTAATAATACCTTTTGTGATTCTTCATCAACAGAAAGAACCTGTGATACGAAAAGTTTCCTAACATCCTTCAACTTGCATTTCTGGTTGCATTGAGGACACTGGGAAGAAGGGAAATGTACAACCATGAATGTCAAAATAAAAAAATAAAATATTTTCAAACAGTTTGAAAATCATGGGATTGCTAGATAAGCCACTACCTTTCCCGAATTTCTACGCTGTAGCCATTTTGTTATGCAAGACATGCCGTATATGTGGCCGCAGGGAAGACAGCTGAAATCGTCAAACCAAAATTAAATCACAAATAATTGGAAATTTTGACGAGATCACAAGGAATTGAGGGTTCAATTCGAACCAGATGCGATGACCGCCGTCATTGGTCCAAGCGTCCAAGCAGATAGGGCAAAATAGGCCATCGATTCCACTCCGATTCCACTCATTGCCTTGGGAGCCTTCTGCACTTCCAATTCCACCCAATGACAACGTTCCCGGTCCTCTGATTCTTCTCCGCTTCTCTCCACCTTTCTCTGCCCCATCTCTCGATTCTGTTTCACCAGAAATCCCGCCAGCGTGGTGACCAAAACTAGAGGGTAATAGTTCTGAAAGGTAAGCAGCATAATCCGCATCAATGAAGTCTTCCTCTTCGTCTTCTTCTTCGAATTCTTCTACTTCTTCGTCTTCATCATAGTGATTTTCGTTGTCTCGATCGCCATTGTTTTGCATCTCTGCGTCTTGGTCCCGTTGAAGTTCCTCGTCTTCGCTGATTTCGATGTACGAAGGATGAGGGTTTGCCGTGAGCTAGTTTAGAGCCTACTGTGACTGATGGATCCGCGCCTTAGCGTCGGTATACGTATTCAAAAAAACTCTATCGGCGCCTTGCTAATTAGATTCATTAGTTTTAATCGGTAAAATAAAACTCTTCATAACTGTAGTTTGCTGTTGTTGGGATCTTCATAATTGTATTTGAACTCGCATTTTGTTCTTATGGCATCCGAATTCTCTATCCAGTACCATTTCCTTTCCTTTGGACACTGCTTCCCTCCTTTCAATACATTTTTTTCATGAATTTTATTTAATTAACAATTGTTTTAACCCTATGTCTCTAAGTTCATTTTTCACAAGTGAATTTTGTCACACCCCAATTCGAAAATGAGTAATATTATTGGCTCTACTTCTATCATATCATAGTTATAGGAGTTTGTTTATATAACTATGGTATGATTCATGCCTTAATTCGGAGATAATCCCTATTTTCAAATCGAGGCGTGACAATTTTTATTTATATATGTAGTTTATTTTTATGAATATTTTAGCCTAAAAAATTTTGTCCTTAAACAAAAAAATGAATGTATGGTGTAATTTTTCCTAGAGTGTGTGATAATTTTAGGAATTGATCTTATTTTGATCAATTAATATTAACATTTTTTATGCAGATTATTTTACCGCCATATATTACTCATTTTAAGTTATGATCATCGGACATGAGGCAGTCGTTAGGTTTTCATTTTAATCAAAATCGAATTCATAATATGTGGTTGTGGATGGCAATGACCATATCATCTCAGTCATTAAACAAAGTTGAAGATGCCTTGCTAGTAGTGGCCAAGAAAAAAATGATATTAGCGATAAGAGACTTGTAGTTTAAGTTGTTAAAAGTATTTACTTTCGCACTCGTGGTCATAGGTTCGATTTCCCCCTCTATTGCTTGTATCAAAACAATAATGTTGGAAATGGCCCACTTTTCTATCTATCTCCCTTTCACATGGGTTCGACTAATATTGAATAGGATCCACCATTTAGGTATAACTAAAATGAGATATGCTATTTAGCCCAAGAATTTTAGCTTAGCTCCTCCACCGAAGATGGTCTAATCTAATCGATTCAGAGTGAGAATTTGAAATTAAAAAGGTGAAAGTTAGGTTTTTTTTTATAACAATAATACTAAATACACAAACTTTTGCTTCTCAATTGATGTAAATAGATGAAGTACAAGGAGCCCAAATATAAAACACAATCACATCATTTGGTAACTAAAAATTTGTGTAATAAGTTGGTGTCTCTTATACTATTTCATTAAGGAGAAAAATAAGAAGAAAATTGTATTAGAAAAAGCAAAAGATTAACAGAAAATTCAGAATTATTTTTACTTTAAATCGTTAAATTTTTATTTTTCTATTTAGAAAACATAGATCATAACAGACAGAATGAGGTACAAACTGAGTGAACCAGCAACTGATTAGTGTTGTCTTCAGGGACGGACCCAGGATTTCAAAATGACGTGGGCTAAATTAACCTTACATACAAACCTATTGAAAACTCAATGATACGAGTAAATTTCATTGATAACAAAAAAATACACGGGAGACATAATGAGTCTTACCCCTCAAATAACACTTATTATATAAGTTGCACCATTCAAGTCTTCACAACATTAAAATCACTAATTATTGATTCATTATCTATATTATCATCAAATTCTCTTTCAATATGAAGTAGCATACAATTAGCAAGAAACTCATCACCTATCTTATTCCAAAGTCGATTTTTAATGAGTCTCATACATGAAAATGCTCATTTTTGTTGTTGTTGTAGACACATGAAGAGTTAGCACCAAACGAATCAATCTATCAATCAAGTAGTATGTTTCTGCTAATTTTGTTCTTTTTATTTATTTGTTGGTCAGCCTAGTCCTAATAGGATTAGTTAATAATATTTTATTTAGGTGGTTAGCCTAGTCCTAATGAGATTAATTAATAATTTTTTATTTAGGTGACCTAGGCTAGAATATTAATTTAGTCTATAAAAAAAACAAGCTGCCTAGGCTTTAGCTCAGGTTAGCATGTTAGGTACGTGCCTGGTTGTCTTCCTAGTTCAATCTCTCTTCTTACCGGAATGAGTCTTTCTTTCATTTTGTCAAGAAAATGGAAATAGGCATGTCTCCAAGACCTCTTTATCACCAAATTGCCAAAAATAACCCAAAATCTAACAATGAATCCCAGTTCCATGCTTACATAGAACCATATCTCGTCAGAACAATTGTCATCTTCAAATCCGTCTTGTTTAACTTGTGCATCCCCGTCATTGGAAGTCAAACACTCGATTGGCAATGGAGTGGAATTGGCCCGGATAGATTGTTGTATGCAAGTTCAATGTGCTGAGCAAAGTCATAGAGGTCATGCTTAAAGGAATTGGACCTGAAAGATGGTTACTTGATAGGTCAAGAGATTCCAATTGTTGCAAGCTTCCAATACTCGCTGGTATTCTTCCTATCAGTTGGTTCCAGAAGAGGTTTAAGGCAAACAAGTTTGATAGATTTGTTATCTCTCTTTCGGAATTTCTCCCCATAAATTATTGCTCGAAGGATTTATTGGCCTCGTTTGGTTCATGAGAAAGGAGGCTTGGGGATGGGAAATCAATTGCTTTCCCATGTTTGGTAAGTCCAGGCATGAGAAATTATTGTCTTGCACATGGGAAAATAGAGGGGAAAATGAAGCCCTCCTCCCCCTTTGGGTTTTGGTTTCCTCCTTATGGAAAAGTTTGGCAAAATGAGCCAGCATTAAATACACAAATTTCATGATCATATTGTCCCCATTTTTTTTGTTAAGAAAATATGGTATTTCATTAAACCGAAATGAACATTACATGGTAAGATCTAACATGTTAACAGCGGTCTCGTTAAAACCTTCCCAGATAAACAAAATCCCGGAGTAGGAAAGAGTACCACCCATGCTATTGACTAAACAGAAGAGTCAAACAACTTATACAAAACAAACCAAACTAAACCCCAACCACAAAACCCTTAAAATAACATCCCATCACTACATAGGTACTGTCAAAGAAGTCCTCCTATGATCTAGAAAAAGCATCATAGTTCTTCGTACAAAGTCAAAAACATACTATGGGTATCACAATAGATCTAGCCAATCACCCAACTGCAAAACCATTGAAACACATCACATCACTACGCAGATATTGCCAAAGAAAGTCTCCTATGATCTAAATAATTTAGAATTACAATATACCACTAAATGCATTCTTTTTTTATTTGATTTCATATGGGTATAATTGGAAAATTAAACAAACTTTGTTTTATATTCCTACACAAACTAAACATATGAAAAGAAATAAAGTGGTATTTCTTAATTACTTTTCGAGGATTACCAAACATGAGAAAGGAATCTCAATTTATCATCCCTTGGAAAATGAAATGTGAAGTGATTTCCTCTCAAATTCATTCATATTTAGCACATTTAATCAATCACTATATTCGTATTGTCTTCCCTTCACATTTAAATCCATGTAAGCTGCTATTAATGCACTGAGACAAAGAATCAAGAAATTGCTTTATCTCCCCACTCACAGAATTGCTTGATATATCTAAACTCTGCAAGCTGTAAAGATTTCCCCATACCATTTTTGGAATAGGGCCAGTAACTTGACAATCATAGAGATCTATTGTGTCACAACACTGAGGTAACGAAGAGTTGAAGTTGTTAAATGAGAGGTCAATGACCATGTGTGATGTGAAATTTACATATGGAAGAAATTGAGCCCTTTGGTGAATGGGTACACCAAAGGATATGGGCCCTTAGATTGAGATTAGTGGGACTTTTTGAACTAATCTACACTCTTGGTATGGAAACCGGGAAACCTGGTATTTGGGGTAAAAAGGTTTATTAAATATTAAAATATGTTACAGTTCAATTGTCAAGTCGATACCCATTAATTTGATACCCATCATTTGTCAAAACGATACCCACTAAATTGCCAGAGTCACTTGGCGTTGTAATCACGGTGCAAAAGCTCGGAAATTCCAACTCAAATCTTGTAATCTATAAGATTTGAGGAAGAAAGAAGAGGTGGGCACAGATTCGTCTTTAGAGAATTTGCTTATCCATGGCTCGGAGTATCTCCTACGTAACAGGCGCTCAGCTAGTCTCTCTCAAACGCCGCCCAAACATCGCCATCATAGATGTCAGGTTTACAAGTCTTTCACTTGCTCTCTCTCGTTCTCTCTCTGTGCTTCTTCCATGTAGTTTATTTGAAAGTCGTATGCTGAAATTGCTAATGGGTTTTCTTTTTCTGGTTTTATTTGTTGAAGGGATGACGAAAGGAGTCACGATGGGCACATAGCAGGGTCTTTGCACTACGCCAGTGGCAATTTCTATGAGAAGATCTCCAATCTCGTTCAAGATGTCAAAGGCAAAGACACCCTCGTTTTCCACTGCGTTCTTAGCCAGGTTCTTTGATCTCATCTCATCTGTCCTTTTCATCTGTGAGATTATTGCATAACCCAATTGAAATTTCTGTTATAAAAAAAATTCTTTTGATTTTGTGCTGAAGATTGTACACTTAGGTTGCCCAGAAACAGACTGATTTGATAAATGTTGTTTAGTTTTGATTTCTTAATTGCATGATCAGAGTGTTAAAGGCATAAAGCAAGCTCTAATATGCTTTTTAACATGCATTTCTTGGCGTGTTTTGAAAGTGAAGACAAGCATCTTGAAAAAGGATTTGTTGGGTCAAATTCTATTTTCGCTTCAAACCAGCAAAGTGCAAGCCCTATATGAAACTTGCTGATCAGCTTGCTATGCTCTTGAAAGTGGAAACCTTGTTTGATATATTTTGTACCTGTAACTCTGTATGTACTTGGAAGTTGGATGAGGAGTCAGCTAATTGTTCTAGTAGAAAGATTTAGTCTTTTCCAAGTTTGAGATTTTTCTAATTCTATATATCTCATAAATTACTGAATCAAGACTGTTTCTTGAATTTTAGAAAAGCCAATGTGATTCCCTTTTATACCACAGAGCCTCTGAAGACTGAACTGCTTTCATACAATTAAAGTCTGCCCCTTAGACTTAGTTTATTGAAGGTCTTAACTGCTTCTACTTCCCTTTTCTGTTATTGGGTTAAGGAAATGAGTTAAGGGCTTTCTTGATACTGATTTCTCTCTCATGCTCACTCTATCATGCTTGAAGGTGTTCTTGAAAGATATATGTAATGCTGCAAGTGTTGTGATGTTTTTGTAGGTCCGTGGCCCATCTTGTGCACGAAAGTTCGCCAATTATCTTGAGGAGGCGAAGGAAGACACTGGAATCAAAGACATTTTGATTTTGGAGCGTGGCTTCAGTGGCTGGGAATCTTCTGGCAGACCTGTTTGTCACTGCACCAGCGTCCCCTGTAAGGGTGAGACTGGGAGTGCGTAATGCTTGATCAAAGGACATAGCTGTCGGGGAGGAAGCATGCTGTTTGCCCATTGCCCCATTGCCCCATTGCCCCAGGATATCTGCTTATAAAATGCATATATAGACAACTGTATTGACATAATAAATTAAGATATGCGACTGTCATTGCTGCTTCAGCTCTGTTCAGTCTCCCTTTTATTACATAATGTTTTTGAAGATGAACAAGGAAACCCATTAATGGACAGCATATTTTACCACTTAATTGCAAGCTAAATTGTTAAGATGTAGTTTGTCAAAAGGCGGGCGGGAAATGGTAACAGAGAAAGATGGCCCTAACCTTAACTAGATTGACTATGGCTGGAGATGTGGGTTGGAGTTAGACACGCTCATTCTTGAGCCTATATGCACTTCTTGTCCTCCTCATGGATCATATGGTGGTTGGGATTTCTGAAATTGATGCATGGACATCTGTTGCATCCGGTTCAAGTAAAGGGGTGTGGCCTATCTCCTGCTTAGTTTCCCTGTGTCCACATGAATTTCTCGCATGAAATCTCTCAATTTAAATTGCATTCACTGCTATCCAGGCCCAAAAAAGAGGGAAAAAATACGTATGGTTAAACATGGAATGTCAACGTCTCTATGCCATCATGGTTAAACCAGTGAGAGCAATCAATCTGTTGAACATTGTGTGGATTAAGTAGATTTCAACGAACGTATAATAGGGTTACTAAATTTTGAGGTGAATTCATTCAGATGTATTCATAGAAATTTTGAGGGTGACTTGTGCTGTGAAAGTGATGAAATGAAGGAAATTATTTTGGGCTTGTATATATAAATAAATAAATTCGCTCCAAATTGAACAACAAGGCCTATTAGCTCAGCTGGTTAGAGCGTCGTGCTAATAACGCGAAGGTCGCAGGTTCGAGACCTGCATGGGCCAAATTTTCTTTTTCTTCTCATTTTATTTTATTTTATTTTAGAAAACAAATAAAAAATAATTTTTAAATTTCATTTACTAAATTACTATACGAGAGCTGGCTGGAAATCCCCTTCAACTCTGTAAACAACGACGAACATAAATCACAACAAGAAGAAGAACCCGTTCGATCAAAATCGTGTTTGAAGATGGTAAAATTTCTCTCAAATCCTCATCCAAATTCCATTTAATTTTCACTTCTAATTCTGTTTTCCTCTTTCATTAGGTTTGCGTGGCGTGTCTCTTACCACTTTTCCTCGTCCCAATAGTCAATTTTTTGCCCCTTCTCTTCTACTACATCGTGGTAATTTCATCAGGCCCTGTTTGGTTTCCGAGAAATTTAGGTCACCGAACAGGATTGAAATTGATTTGGGTTACCATCGAATTGTCCAAATTATGGTGATTTTTAATCAGAAGTTGAATTTTGTGTTCGTTTTCAGGGAAAAATTTATAGGCTTCTCGGGTGGGAGTACAGGAAGCCAGAAATTGCTCCTCCGGCATGTCCTTACAAGCCTGTAGCTAAACAGGACAGCAAAGTGAGACGAATTTTCAGTTCTCTTCAGTTTTTTTTGTTGTTGTTGAAAAAGTATAAATGCTTATATCTTTTACCTGCTTTAATTGTCCCACATTTATATTCTGTTCAATTTGGATGTTTGTTGGGTTTTCTTCAATGGATTGATGTGGTACTGAATGGGATGCAGGATTTCTAGAACACTAGTTTATGCAATTTTTGTTATTGTTTTGTTGTGTAGAATGGTTTAATGGTGATTTTTTTACATTTTGAGATATCCACTTGTAGCAGCCTTTCATCCTATACTTGAAAAAACAAACAGAAATAAAATGCCATATCAAACATAACTGCTGCGTTGGTTGCAGTCCGCTATATTAGTTCAGGTGGATTGAAACTGGGTTTGGTCCTATTCATCCATTGTTTTTACCCTTTTCTTGGTTTTTGTAAGTCAATCACTCAGCACATAATGCCATCTCATATAAATACGAGGATCGTGATAATGGAAGCTCCATACGTGATGAATAACTTATTCTTTTTATGGATAAATGTTGCACCAGGAAAAGTAGTGGAGAACTGGTGACAATGAAGTTTGCTTAATTTTGAGATTATTTAGGGTGTTAATTACATCGGATTTATACCAGCTGGGTTATGTTTCTCTGTGACAAGGAATTCAATAATTAATTGACTTTGCCTATTGTCCCTTCTAGTCAGACTAAGTATATTATCGATGGTTGATATATGAGTTGTGCATGGTATGTAGCTCTTCAGGAACTAAGATCTTAGTTCGTATTTGTTTTCTATGTGTTGGTAGATTACAGTTTATTACTCTGTTTTTTGGGGATTTGAGGTAATGGTGATATCTTTATCCAGTTGAAAGAAAAGATATATAATTTAGTGTGAGTTCGTGGGAGTGAAGGGAGGGATGGATAATGGGTAAAATTAACATTTCAAGAAAAGAAATTCCCTCTCTCAGCCAAACTTTTTTTTTTTTTTTTTTTTTTTTTTTTTTTTTTTTCAAAAGTTTCACTCACTGATTTATTACTGAATATAAGAATATGCTGGAATCCCAATCAGTTGCATGTTGATTTATAGACTTTCATTTGCTTCTTCTTCGTTTTAAGAGGGAGTTACTTGTTTCCAGCAGTGTGTTAGAATGTATGTAACCTAATGAGAGTTCATATTATCCAACTAATTTTGATTTGATTGCTTGCATTATTAATCTGTGAATGCATTACTCTTTTCTGGTTATTCTTTGTGCTTGATTCCTTCTTTGTTATGAAATTTACAGAAAACTAAACATTTTGAAATGTAATTGTTGCTCCGACACCACTCATTGCTGGCTGGTACAATCATTACGTGTACTATGTTCAGCAGAGCTGGCCTCATTACAGGCACACCATCCATTATTGACCCTGTACTGCTGCTGCTGATATTTTTCTTGCATCGTTGGCTGCTATGATTGCTTTAATATTTTCAAGGCTGCTTTGAGTGTTGCTAAATTTTCATTTCCATTTATTTCAGGTAAGTGAAAAAGCTGAACCTGCGCAACCAGACTCTGTTCCCGAATTTGCTGGAGCTGTAGGTTTGAAGCAAGAATGACCCTCGACTTTTCTGGCATTGTAGGCATGAACCTTACATATGTATAAGCTTAAGACTCTCTCTCGCTATTTTCTTTTTATTCAAAAAACATCTTCCTTCGTCAGCTGGGGTGACACAGATATGATGCTGTAAAATATGTAGTTGGTTTCAACCACGTCCTTAAAAATCTAGTTGGAAGCTTTCTTGTTTGAACACCTTTACTTCCGTCAAAAGTACATTGGCAATTGTTGTCCTCAGTTGATTATGCAATGAGAAATGGTGAAGTACTCATAAACCTGTCTGAATTTGTTTTCAATGCTTTTTATTCTTAGATACTTATATAGCCCAAAATAAAGCCCAATCTCTCAACTGGTACACTATTTCAAGAATTCTATAGTGAGGACCTTGTATATGGCCCTTAGGTGAGGCCCTATTGGTTAACTGTTGGATCAAATTGGTTAGTATGATCCAACGGTTAAGAGATGGTCTCACCTAAAGGGGGCCATATATAAGGCGCTCACTATAAAATGACTCGACTGTATTTAGGCTTTTGGGCCTTGGGCTCCTATTTGGGCTTTGGGGCTCATGCAGTATTTTATTGGTACGACTTAGAAATATTGGACAAAATGGCATTAACAAATGAAACTGGAGATAGCGATGTCATATTATAAACTCCAAAATCTTCTCCAACCTTAAAAATAGTATATGAATAGTCGCTGAAAGACACAGGAAAAATCACGACCTTTGCTCGTTCTAATTAATTAAACGAAGTAACATATATTATCTGCTCTGCCAACATTTTAATCACATAAAAAATTCTGCGGACCTCTGATCGAATTTAAGTGCCTGTTTTCCTTAGACTTGAGGAATCTACAGCAACGAATCTACAGAGATACTTAGAGCCAGTGCACGACAGATCAGCAGGAATCAGGACCACCGTCCGATTGAAAACGACATGGACATTTACAGTGATTAATTACAATAACTTATATAAGCTTCTTGACTTGATCCAGCAGACATGGAAAGCCGTTTGGGTTCATGGGTCATGCTCCATTGTTGTAAAAATTAAATATATTATATATAAAAATATTGAGAAGTTGGGGAATATATTTTTATTTAAGTGGGTAGGTGGGCAGCTGAGTGTGTTAGAAAATGGAGATGACTTTGCTGTAAAGTAGTTTAAGGGACAGTCAAGTATTGGCCAATGGCATCCATGGATGGTTCAGTTGAACCCCAAGTGTTCAGCCACAGCTGTTAAAAATTCTTTACGGTTTTGCTTGGGTTTGGTGTGATTCTTTCTTACTCGCTTGCCTGCCAAGGAAGACCAAAGATTTATGGCCCAGTCTTGATGGTGAATTTTGAATGTGGGGAGGGTTTATTTTATTGATTAGGTCACTCTTGACTTGGTTACTTGTGGGAAGGGAAAAGAATGTCATTTACTTATTGAAGAGCTTTGACCAGAAGAAATAGAGGGAAGAAGAAAGCCATGTGTGAGAAGTAGCAGGTAATGATGCATCATGTGAAATATACATGTTCTAGCATGTGCAAAGAAACTTAACCAAGGCAAAGTACTGTTCATGATATGGACCTTATATATAGGATGTGCTAAGCAAGGAAATGCATAAAACAGTTTTATTATCTCCCACTTGCCTCTCGTTTGTACCAAGAAAACAAATGTTAAATTATTTGTGCGAATGTGTTGAGCACGCATGTTAATCTGAATTAAAACAAGTCTGACCAAATAGAAAATCTGAATTAAAAACAGTAACTCACATGTCAGGTTTCGGTTGAGCATCTTTTAACTTGATTCGAATAAGTTTGGTTTCTAATCCCAACTAATTAACAGTCTTGACTTGAACTTGAGTTGGCTGGTTTAGATAAATTGATTTAATTTACGGGGAGAGAAACTCGAACTTAGGTGTAAGGGAATGGACTCACTCCCCTGATTGACTGGCCTAATTCACTTATGCGGAAAAAAAAACAAAACAAACGGATTCAGAATTATTTATAGCCAATAACTCCAATAAGGTAGTAACACCAAGGAAGTAAAGCATAGCTTTTCAACCAAATATGAACCTCTCTCCTTATAAAAATAAAAAATAAAAAAAAAGGAGGGAGAGTATTATGTCATTATACAAAGCCATGCCCACTTGTTTTGTTTTGTGCCATGTACTTTCAGCCGCTCCGATATTTTATTCTCTTCTTTCCCTACAGCATCTCCTTGCATCTTCTTCTTAAGGAATCCTCCACCACCCACTATCTTGAAAGTTCTCCTAGTTCTACCTTTCTACCCCTTTGATTACGTCGGGCCTTAACCCCTCACATCCACAATTTTACTCAACTCTCTCGACTTGCTTTTCATTATTTTCCCACACCACTAATTATACTCAAATGATATGTTTGTGCTTAATTTGTGTTATGTTGAAAAATACACTAGGAAATTTTTGAAATGAGTTTTAAAAGAGCTAAAAGCGCTTTCAGATAACAAAAAGCCTTTTCAAAAAAGTTTGACATAAAAACTTACAAGTGCTTATGAGTCATACAAATATTTTCAGAAACAGTTCCAAGTACTTTGTCATATAGCACTTAATTTTTTAATAAGAACTTCATTATTGCGTTTTCCAACGGTTCTAGCAAAATCACTTTGTATGCATAAACGCTTCCTTATAAAGCAATTTCAATCAGATATGATCTCTAACAAAAATGGACATGAATTTTATTTATAATAAATATGTGATCTAGAATGCTTTTTTTATTTAAATTTTTTAATGTCATGTCTTTGATGGAAACTACTTCCTCATACCATTAATAAAATTGGATGGCTAAACTAGAATGCCAAAGGCTAAAGCTAGCCACCCCCGTGCACACACTTGTACAAGTCATTATCTGAGACCTACATGGTTAGGTCAGGACTCACGCATGCCGCCCGACAACGCAACCGGCCACTGGACCATTTTTTCAACCAGGATCTTTCCCACCATCAATATCCAATATAACATATAAAACCCTAATATGCGAATAAACATAACTCGGAGCTTTGAATCTTCCTCAATTTTCCAATTTTGAGCAGTACCCCACTTAAATTGCCGAAAGTGAAGTGTGTTCATACCACAACAAGAAGCCCCACTACTAATTCTATATTACAACTTGTATCCAATACAAATATACTTGTTTAACCATTAAATTTATGAATTATTAACGCACACACAATGATTCATGCATCAACTATTGAGTAATTATAAATGATTCATATATTAATAGTTGAGAGACACATATGCGAGTGTTTGATTCGTATTGTAACTCTTTAATGATTTCAATTTATATAAGTTGAAATTAACAATGTTTGGAGCAATCATCCACGCTCGCATAGATAACTCGTGAATCAACTACAAATTAACCCTAAACAACTAATGCATCAACTGAAAATCACCAATCATTTTACACAGTTTCAACTATATGTTAACGGCCGCTGGGTTATGTAAACTAGTCACTGATGCAATCATATCACTTGATTGTGATCCACTTAGCCATAAACACATAGGTGGGGGAGATATCTCAAATTCAAGATCCTAGATATGCTTAGCCAACATCGGGAAATATCATGACGCAGCCTATGAATCACTGAGCCACAAGTAGATGAACATGCCAAAAGTAAGTGCTCCCTGCTCGGAAGAAAGCAACCTACCACAGAGCCACTGGTTGGGTTGTCTCCATCTCCTCCCCTAAAGAGGACACGTGCCAATTAGCTATCAACAACACCAACAATGACTTTATTGTAAAACCCTAAACCAAGGCCAAGGGAAGAACTACTGGTCTCTTTCACGTGATTAAAGACTTTTAAGTCTTTACCTCCCGCGCTAGTTAAATTATTGTAAGAAAACATTTTTCTAATGATGGTTGTATTGACTACGTACGATGCAAGATAGTCCAATTTGAGGCATGTAACGTGGGATACTTGGCCACCGTCGACTTTGTTGCCTTTATCTGCGACACACAGGCCTATTTTTGGAGTATTAGAAGGCCTCTATCTCCATGGGAGTATAAGTTAGGGAGTCTTTTCAACCATGTTCACGTGGATATAGGGATATAGTTTATCAAAGCTTAATTCAATGGATGGTGGGGTAAGAAAACCATCTTTTCTGGATTTAGTGTGTTGTGTTGGTAATGATAGCTAAACTAACTCTCTTCTCATCTCCTACCATTCCAACATATTTGCAAGCAAATTCAAACTTTTTAATGGATTGAAGAATGTTTAGAACAGTTGTACGCAATTATTGACGCACATAAATTTATGGTTGACGATTATACACTTTAAATTATGTTGTCGAACATATTTTTATTTTGAGCTAATAATAGAAATTGTAAGTGTAAAAGGAATCATTATTAGATTTTTAAGTTAATAACTTTAACTAGTCTACTCGTGAATAAATTTTTGGTTCCGTTCTTAGAGAGATAGATGATGCCTTGAGTTGGGTTGGTTTAATAAAATTACTCTACCTACCAAGGGGAAAGGAAAAAATAATTAGAAATAAGAATATTCATCTGTGGCAAAAAGATTCCGATACCTACCATGTGCGCACTACAGTATCAATGCAATTTCTGTGCAACTCAATTATAGTAGAAATATTTTCCACAATGCTCTTTTGGTATTTTCAATGCGCAAGCACTTCAGAAAGATTCAAGCCCATCTTGGCCGTCCATTTATTTACTAATCAAATTATTATTATCTCCCAAGATTGATGACATGGTGCACCTGACCTCACTCCTTTCCTCAGGAGGTGTCACCATTTTCTTTTCCAAGTTCAAACCATCTCTATGTAAAGTTCACTTTTTAGTTAAAAGGTATTAAAATATTTTTTCTTTTTTCATTATAAAATAAAATAAAATCAAACTTTTACATATTTTCTTATTTAAATAACTATATGGTGCCTAGTGATGCGGTCCATATATAAGAGTTATTTACACTAATATTCTATGAAGTTTCTTGTGTTTTTACAAAAACCCTTCAGGTCTCAAAAATTACACAAACACCCTTTGAAGTTTTAATTTGTTTTTACAAAACCCCTTTTTGTTGATTTTTTGTTCAAAAATTGATGATTTTATTGAAAAAAAACTTATGCAAATGACAAAATTAACCACAATGAAGTATATGCAATCTAATCTTGAAGGTCAGCTTTGTCATTTGCATAAAAAAAAAATTTTGGGTATAAAATCATCAATCTTTAGATTAAAAAATCAATGAAAATGCGTTTTATGATAATAATTTAAAATTTTAGAGAGCATTTGTGTAATTTCTAAAACCCCAAAGAGTTTTAAGAAAATTTCGAAAACCTCATGGGATGTTAGGGTAAGTAATTTTATATATAATAGCCTTTTTTTTTTATTGTTAAATAGTATTTGGAATATTTCTCCTTTAATAGGTTTGTGAACTACAATTGTTTAAGGGTGTATCGATGATCATGATTCGTTGATTGCTAGATTCTTATTATGATACTCATTTCAAACAACCCTCTATAATTCTTCATACTCACCAGGACACTTAGTAATCACAAACTACTTTGTGGAATTTATAAGTCTAGAACAAGTGTTGGATGCTCGTCTTATCACTATATTCAATAAAAAGATACCAACTTCATTAATTAGAAAGCTACAAAAATTTCCTCAAAAAGGTAATCAGAAAACTAATAAATAAAGCAAATTACATATGATATATGAAACACTAATTAGAGTATCTACAATTATGCTACATATTTTTTAGTTAAAATTTAATTAAAAATACAAAAAAATTATTTTAGGAGCCGTTTATAAAATTTGAATTCCGATCATACTTTTTAGTTTAGGGAATCATAAATACTAGAAATTTTTTTAACTCAATTTAATTAGTCTATTAAAAAAATAAAAAAAATAGTTAACATTAAACAAAATAGCATTTAATTATAGAAAGACATTATGAGTCATTTCTCTTTACTTGGAAAAAATGAACTCTTTGTTATTGGAGGTGGATAAAGAGTACTTTTTTTAAAAACGAAGGTGATTAGGTGGAACTGATTAAAATTAGCAAGTGGGGAAAGATAGCGGGAATTGACAAAGGAAGTTTTCTTGAAGCATCCGCTAAGATAAGCACGTGAGGGGACCGCAACAACTAAAAACTAAGGCACGTGATGATGGCGGCTGACGCTCCGTATGTGCAAGTGTGGCACCGGCACTTTACCCGAGACAAGTCACAAGCGGTGGGTGGTGTTACACTGTTACTTGCATGCCAATTTATCGCCACGCGAGATGATATTTGTTCCACGTTCTCCGTAAATGAGTTGATGGAGTTTGAGGTAGCTAGGCCGACCATTCTCAGTTTAGCAAGGTCCAATGATATTGAACCGTGTCGATGCCACGTCATATTGCTGTTGATTGCTTACGTTTCAGATAAGCTGCAGTGGCACCAAGTTGGCAATGCAATTCCAATTTTTTTAAAGGGTGTTTATAAGAACTCCAACTTGGAAAAAAGAAAAAGAAACAATTCCTCATCTTTTGAGTTGGCATGCAAATTTGAGTGCATTCCAATTATTCAAAAAATTTGTTCCTTCGAAATTACTTGTCCAAATGTTACTTAAGTGCCCCTACTATCTTTGTTTTCTTTATTATTCTCAAATTTCTTTTGAGTTACATATATTTTGTTAGTATGTATAAGTTTCATGCAACAAGTAAAGAAGCGATCGTGGTTTATGATATTTGAAATACAATATCTCTTCAAATAAAATGAAAATTAAATATCATTAGACTAATAGACTTAACGTTGTATTGAGTAAATCTTTGATTCATGTGTTTTATAATGCTGTAAAGTGAAAATGAGTTTGAGTTTGATTGTCTTGGGCTTTCCTATCCTTATTGTTGAAGATAGTTATGATATTACTTACCTTAGAAGCTATGTTGCACGGACACTTCAAAATGCTGGAGTGTCAGACACGCCCCCGACACGGTCAAGACACGGTACGGACCAGATTGAAATTTTAAAAATAAAAATAGGGGTCTAAACGTGATTTTTGAAACTTTAGTGGACTGATTTGAAATTTTTTTTTAAAAGATGGGTTGAAAGTGGAAAAAGACTTTTTTAAACCTAAATGAATCTCACGAAAGTAGCAGCCACTTCACTTCATTTCTTACATTGCAGCAGCTCCTCCACTTCTCCAGTTTTTGCAAAGGTGAGTGTTTTTGCAATTTTTTTTCCTTTGTTTTCAAATGCTTTTATTTATGTTTTCTATTTTCTATTTTTATTTCCCTCCATAACAATAGAAGAGTTGGACTTGGTGGTGAGGTGAAGATTCTTTTCTTATGTTTTTTTTAAGAGAAACACAACAAATAATAAAAGTCTTATGTTTTGATGTGTTTTTTTTTGTGTGTTGGTATTTTAGATGAGTTATTTGTTTTGTTTTATGGAATTATGCGATATTGAAGTATTGAGATTTAATTATTATTTTAATTTCCGTGTTCATGTCCTAATTTTTTGAGATTTTCCGTGTCGCCGTGTTCCCGTATCCGTGTCCGTGCAACATAGCTTAGAAGTTGTCCTAGCAATATTTTTTATAAAATTATTTAGACCTTTAATCCTTTCATATATCTATAATAATAATAATAATTTTCGGACAATATAAAGAGCCCAAATAACCAAAGTATTTTAGACTGAATAGAAAATAAAACAATTTAAACAAATATGAGCATATTTTTAAAGAAAAAAAAATTAGGTTAAGGATGAACTATGTGATGTAGGCAACAACGGGTGGAGCTTCTAACCCGCCAACCCGTCCATGAGTACCCTCCTCCGGAAACAAGTATATCTCGTGGTGAGATTCACAAGACCAGAAACAAAAGACGAGCGAGAGAGAAAAAAAAAAAAAAAAAAAAAAAAAAAAAAAAAGACAAGAAAACAAGAAGAACAAGAGAAGCAGAAGGTGAGAAGTGAGAAGAGAAAAGCCTCAACTCTCTCTCTCTGTTCATCTTCTGCTTTTTATGTGTCTCCACTGTGCTCCTTGCTCAAACCAACAGGCTCACAAACAAGTGAACTCCTCTCACAAAAGCAAAGAATATTGCTCAAAAAAATTAAACATCTCCTTCTTATTCAACAACTAAAGCAGGAAGAAGAGCAAGAAGAAGAAGAAGACATGGGTATTCTACATGATGATGTAGTGATCATAACGCAGGCAGAGAAAGAGGGAGACCCAAGTGTGATTACAATAAATTGTCCTGATAAGACTGGCTTGGGTTGTGACTTGTGCCGCATCATTCTCTTCTTTGGTCTTAGCATTGTCAGGGGAGGTCAGCTAAAATGGGATGTTACTGCTTTTGCATGCTTATTACAATTAATTCATCTTCTGTTTTGTGCTGAGAATATGCAGAGAGAGAAAGGATGAGAAATTTGAATGCTTTGGTTGAGCTAAAAGTTTCAATTTTTGTGTCTTTTTCCTTTCCTCTGCTTTCCTCAGCAACCAAACCGTTTTGATTAGGTTCTTTCTCAAATTTGTTTTAAATTTATTTAGATTTTCTTAAAACCAAGTGTTGGGTTTGTGAGAATTGCCTTATATTTCGCTAAACCAGACATGAGTAAATGAGATTTTCCAGTGAATTTGTGAAACAAATTACGGGTGTTTTGGGTTTTGATAAGATTTTGTGAACCCAACAGAAAAATGGGTACTTGAAGCTGAAAGTGCTTGCTTTTTTATCTGTTTGTGTTTTGAAGATGTATCAACGGATGGGAAATGGTGCTACATAGTGTTTTGGGTTATTGGAAGTCCAGAGACAAGATGGGGTTTGTTGAAGAAGAGGCTAGTGGGGACCTGTCCTTCTTGTTCCTCAGCTTCTGGGATTTCTTTTTACCGGTCTGAATTGCAGCCACCAAAGCCTCCTGATGTGTTCCTTCTCAAGTTCTGTTGTTATGATCGAAGTGGGCTCTTACATGGTAAATTTCTGTTTTTGTATCTGCATGTTTCTTAAATTTTCTAAGTTGTTGAGAGTTGATATGAATGAGGAGCTTTGTCCTTCATTTTATTGCTAATCTGTCTAAAAGATCATCAAATTGAAGGTTATTAATTGGTGCCTTACGTACTTTTGGTTTTTGTGCAGATGTGACAAGGGTTCTCTGTGAACTCGAGCTGACCATCAAGAAAGTTAAGGTATCCACCACGCCAGATGAGAAAGTGATGGACCTGTTTTTCATCACAGACACCAGGTTCTATTTTCTTGATATATTCTGCTAAACATAATATTGGGTATTTTCTGGTTTCCTGTTTTCTTTTTCCTTGTAATTTCTATGGGGTCGTTACGGCTGTAAACAATCCCAATTTGAATTTCAAGTCAATTGACTGCAAAACGATAAATGAGCACAAGTTTGATAGGCATATTTTGCACACACAAAATACTAAATGTTGAATGATTCAAACATTCCAATGCTTTCAGCACTTGCAGATTGGAGCAGCACCATCTCATGTTGCTCTATTAGGAAACTTATTCTTCTTTATACGTGACTTAATCTCTGAATTTGTTTCTTTATCAGGGAACTTCTGCATACAGATAAGAGAAAGGAGGAGGTGTCTGACTACTTAAAAGCAGTCACAGGAGATGCCATGATAAGTTGTGAAATTGAAATGGTTGGTCCTGAGATTACTGCATGTTCACAGGGGTCTTCATTTCTTCCATCTGCAATTACCGAAGACATGTTTGATTTGGAAATGCCCGCTGAACTCCCAAGTGGATCACTCACCTCCAGAAGTGTTTCTGTGACTATGGACAACACTCTGAGTCCTGGTCACACGCTGGTCCAAATCATTTGCAAAGACCACAAGGGTCTTCTTTATGATATAATGAGAACGCTAAAGGATTACAATATTCAGGTAGATATATAAGTAATGTGACATTAGCATAAATAAATATTCTAAGAAAGCAAGAGTGGTCAGTGGATGCTTTTCCATTCTTGACATGGAAGCCCATCACAAAGAATAAGTTTCAGTCTTGCTTTGGTTTTTTTGAGGGTTAAGATTAGTTTATGTATCCATGTGGCTGAGTTGTTAGTTCTTGCGTTCTAGTAGCCAAGGGACATATTTGCTTATTGATTGTAGCATTTCATACTTGGTTGGCATGCATACATTTGGTAATGGAAAATTTTGATAAAACTTTAAGAGGGTTAACAGAATCTTCTGGGGTTACAATATCTAATTTTCTGATGATATCTGAATGCTATGATGAACCAGATCTCTTATGGGCGCTTCTCTATAAAACAAAGAAGACACTGTGAGATTGACTTGTTCATCGTGCAAGCTGATGGAAAGAAGATCGTTGACCCTAGCAAGCAGAATGCATTGAGATCCCGCTTGCAGCTGGAACTGCTTCGTCCTCTCAGAGTAGCTATTGTTAACCGAGGTCCAGACACAGAGCTGCTGGTTGCAAACCCTGTGGAATTATCTGGCAAGGGCCGGCCTCTTGTTTTTTATGACATCACCCTTGCTTTCAAGATGCTGAACACTGGCGTCTTTTCGGTACTTCCTGATCTTCACTTTGTACTTCCAAACAGGGCATATTTGGCTTTCCCTTGTATGATCCAAGGACATTAATATTTGAGACAAAATTGTATGCTCTATTACAATTTGGTTTTCTTCATGTGTTACATGTATAAGCAAACGGAACTAAGGTTTATGGTTCTTACTAAACAGGCTTTCCTATCTTGAACCGTCTTAATGGAATTTATTGTCTTGATCAATTGTTTCTTTGTTTACCTTTCTCTATCTGGCTAAGTAACTTCTGCTCTCCTGATTTTTTTTTTCAGGCTAAGATTGGACGGCATCTAATTGGAGATAGGGAATGGGAAGTTTATAGAGTCTTGATTGATGAAGGGGATGGCTTGTCAGTTCCGAGGAACAAGATTGAAGAACAAGTTTGGAAGATGTTGATGGGTTGGGAGTGATAACAAATGCAAATGCCGTTCCTCTTGGATGCCTGCGTTGTTCTGTACAGCAGAATTCTCCCCATTACCACATCACTAAATGTAATTGACGGGATATATGCCGTTAAAAGGCGAAGCAGGTTGCATATCCTATATTACAGCTTGTCCATACTAACTCTGTATAGTAAGAATGAGAAGAAATCAGTAGTGAGGAGATGGAAAAGGAGAGTGCAGCTCTCATGGCACTTGCACATTGTTGTAAAAAGGTAGATATGGTGCCATTTCTTTGATGTGCTATTATAGTTGAAGAAGTAAGTTCTTGTGATGGATGGATGTGGTTGGTCAGTTGGATCAAATTGTGCAGTTCAACATTTCCGGGCGGCTCTATCTTTATATTTTTGTTGTACATACCTCTGTAGGCTGAACGTTGAATTATAATAGAAATTAAAGAATAACCATTTGTCACTGCCAAAACTCTCTGTCTCTCTCTGTCTCTCTCTCTCAAGTTTTGATCAGATATAAAAAAAAAGAAAAAAAAAAGATTCAAAGCAGATTGTTTTGATGCACCCCAAGTTGGATCAAGTTTGAGTGCCCAAGAATATTGTTCTTTATTTTTATTCAGAAGGGTTGAATGAGTTTTCTTGGCTGTCCTGTCTTCATCCTTTCCAATCAGAGCTGATTAGCCTCAGCATATATAAAAAAATCAGCATACATCAAATTATAAGTCGATTTATTTTGTCGGCAGATTATATTCCATCACAGGAAACATATTCTCTACATGGTCTTTAAGTCAATCAAAGGTGAAGCCAACATGCCCAATAATCTGTACTGATTGAAAATGACTTTCAATCATCACCAGGTAATTTTGTTGTTGCTACAAATATGAACGGTCCGGAATCCAGATCATCATTGTTCTTTCTTAATAGGTTAATGCTGGTAACATTAGGTCTCTGTCATGAACTTTGAGATTGCCTTTTTTTTATTTATGATTTTTTACCTTTAGATGCTTTTTTTTAAGCTCCAATATTTCATGTTGCCCTATTACTTACTTGTCCCTTTCTAGGCTGATTTTAACCCCTTTTTACTCAAATATTTCACCATCAAATTTGGAACATCTTGGTCAGGACAGACAGGGTAGGGTTCCTAGTACCATTGGATCTTATAAGTTTTATTTTATGTATGTTGTCTTGTTGTGGTCATTATTATTGTGGTTGTTTCTTTCAATTTACTAGTTTTTTTTTTCTCATACTCTTTATCAAAAGGTAAAAAGTCTTTGCTGGTAAAGAAGGTGGCTCTAAGGTCACAAAGTTTCCCCAACTTTCACTGGTGCAGATAGGTTCAGCTAGAAAGATTGAAACACTAATTGTGTACATATACACTATTTTCTGTATAATAAGCAAATAAAACAAAAGAACCCATGAAAAATCTATTCACTAGAAAATTTAAAAACAGCAAAAGAAATCCACACTGAAAAAGAACCCATGAAGGGTAAAAGTAAGATATGTCACAAATACAGTAATTGATGGGTCCTCTTTTAATCTTTGTTGCCTTCTGTTTTTCTGCTTCTACAGCTTCCAGTATATTCTGAATTTGTGCAAGATGCCTGCAACTACTCCCCAGAATAAGATCTCACCAAATATGACATATAGGAGGGTTCCTAGCCTCTCTGAGTGCCATACATTGATGAAAACATGTTCCTGGATCCAATGCACCTGTTAACAGTTTGGTTCCTTCACTAAATTAGATTACATTTCCAGACAAATTGTATCAAAGCAGGAAAATTTAGTATGATTTTGATAAAGGGGATTGATTATACTTACAAGTGAGTTGTCTGGAGACTTATAATACCATCCATTTACAAATGCTGCAAAGATGCCCTGAGCTGCCATCACAAACACTAGCATTGCATTCATTCCTATCCATTCTAGGAACAAAAATGGCGTCCGGTAGCCCCAAACATCAATCTGTTTATGTAGATGATAGTCATTAGTTGTCCCTGGATTAATCTTTAATTGAACTAGAAGCGATAGCTCGTATAGGTTTTAACTTGTTTACCAGTAAATAAAATCCAGAAAAAACCAGTCCAGCTGCACCAGCTGTGAAACAAACGTAGCTGAAGCTGTAGAGTTGCTTATTGATGGGAATAGCTGCAAGCAAGTTGACAAATTAAGAAGTTTAATTTTGGAACATAGATTGCTTCAAGATTTATTATCTGAGGCAGATGAAGATAGCCAAGAACTAGGCACAAAAAGGTCAAGGAAGATCACCATCTGTGAAATGTAGAATGATGGCTATGACAATCAAGATAAACCCCATTGAAACCCATTGTTTAAGCCTCTCAGAGTGACCCTGCATGCATGAGAATCCAACTTCACCATCCTAAATGAATTTCGAAATATAACTAAAAAGTGCACTAATCTGTGAGTTTAGAGAGATGGGTAACCTTGAAATGGATCAAAACGTGCCCATAATGGATGCCAATAGTGCCGCTAAGGATAGCTGAAATGGAACTGAGAAAGAAGAACAACCAAATAAATCCATGTCTCTAGCGCATAGTGATTAAAGTTTTATCTTTGTTCCTTATAATTATGTAATTAACATACCTCAGCAAGCCCTCTGGTTCAAATGGACCTCTGCACCAACTTGGAGCTCCCTCTCGAAGAGGACCGTCACTCGGAGAACTAAGAGTGCAGGCCTACAAAATTGTCACAAAAATAACAACAAAAGCTTAACAATTATTCTTCCTCTCAGTTTTTTTTTCCCGCTCATTAAAGCCATGACAATTGAAATATGAAAGCTAATGTAATGCAGAGATGGGTACAAATAGTTTTTCTGATTATACAACTGCATCAAACATATATAGCTATTAAGAGCTAAAACCTTCAAGCGTCTCCAAACAGGTTGTGTGTAGAGATGGTTTATGCCCCAGACCTGTCGATCCACATATCCAACTGCATTGCAAGCAGGTCCTAGATGTCCTCTCATCCCACACTTAACCTGAAAAAAGCAGAAAACAAATTAAGGCATGGTGAAGTGAAAACTTCCTACATTTAGTCATTAAACAAACAAACATACATACCAAGTATTTTTTCGATCTATGATCGTTGTCTACCACGAAACTCCAATCTGGAACATATAATGAAAATGTTGTGATCATGTAGATGAGGAACGCGAGGAACCCTCCAAGCCTGCAGAATGGTATTTTAAATCGATACTAGATATCCACATTGAACAAAGTTACAAAATTTCAAACTGGGATAAATTTGCTAAACTTTGCTTATGTGAGTGTGAAATTCAAGACCTTAGTCTGTTTACTTACCACTGCCATTTATATGCAGTGAAAATAGAGAGGTGGCCAGGCTCAAGGACAGTTGGTCTAAGCTTGGTGGTGAGTGTCTCTATTAGAGCAACAACAAAGTAAACCAATGCTATTCTCTGCTTACCATTTGCCAACACATACAAACCAATAGAAAGAAAAACAATGTCAGGTGAGTTTCATAAATTTGAAAGAAAAAAAAAGGGGGTTTGGGGAAACACCTGGAGGATGCCAAACCATCGAATTTGTTTCATGTCAACTCCGTAAGCGAGATCATCTGGCGCATGGGAGTATCCTCCTGCACTACATGGGAGAGTGAGAGTTCATACACCAGAGCCAAACAATATATATTTTTAGGGTAGAAGATTTGAATTTGGCACATTAATTCTCCTTAGCTAAGCCAAGTCAATGTGTCATTGTTTAAGCAAAGTTTCTTGTCCTCTTGACGAGGAAAGCTACTTCCTTAACACATGACTATTACCTTGCAAAATGATTCCCCAAAACATAAGCTTCAATGTCCTTAAAACAATCTTTTTGATTGCATCATTGATCTTGGGAATTTTCTGCAAAACCAAAATTTTATCATAAAGTGATCAAATTGGCACACAAAGTTAGAAACCTACACACAGAATTTTGGTGAAAGATTATTGTCTTGTGGATTAACCCGATTAAGATGTCGTGCGTTACATAATATATCCAACATATAAAAACAATGAAACATTGAAAAGAGAAGTGTATATTAATGTATTAAACCTTGAGAGCAAGGGCTATGGCGACCCCCACAATGAAGAGGAAGAAGGGCATCACAAAGTCGGCCAATGTGCATCCGTTCCATGGTGAATGGTCAATACGTGCGTATGCTCCTCCAGCATCATCTACCAATATCATCACCTGCATGCACATATACACATGATCTCTTACTTGTCACAATATGCATGCATGCATGTTCAAATTAGCAAGATCAAAGCAATCATACACCATAAGAAAAGGCACTGTGTAAAATATGTTATGTTGTCAGACTGAAAATGAAATGGTTGGTCATGAATATGTACCACTATGGTGAGGCCTCTAAATGCATCCAAAGTAGCAACCCTCTTGCTTTTCTGCTTAACCACTAGTACTGGTTGCTCCTCCCCCTTGATTTGGTCCGCCTCCAGAGGCGCTGCGGCCACCGCCGCTTTGTTCTTCTCCTCATGATGATCCTCATGATCATGGTCAATGGCATCTCCACGACCATTGTGATCAGATGTTGTATTTACTTTCTCACTGATCAAATCATCCTTGTTATGAAGACGGCCTTCTTCCAACTTCTTAGCATCATCCTCCATAACTTTCCCTCTCTATGCACTAAAGTTGCTGGATAAGTTAGGGGGTGATAGTAATAGAAGTGAGAGGAAGGAAGAGCTAGCTAGCTAGGAATCTCAGCAAAGACAATTGTGTAAAGTACAAAAGGCCGGCTTTTAAGTTGGCTTTGACTGGAGCAACTGGGCCATGCATATATATTGAAACTCAAGTATATAGAATGAGAAAATTTTGTACATATATATATGTAGGTGATAATTGTATAAGAATATATGATGAGTCGGACAAATCAACGGACTTTGGCAAGAGAAGACAGAAATGTGGTCTGGATCCCATGGTGGGTGGCAGTAACTGCTATAACATCATTCTTTAAAATGGATGGTTTAGTGACATATATGTGCAAGAGGGTACGTACGTATATGTATAGTGTTTGTGCAACCACTGTTTTGTTTGTTCATGAACTGCATCTTTGGATGTATTAACACATTGCTACGTGCGTTTCGTTGAATGTATATCAATCGTAGTTAGTTGTATGAATATTTTCTTGTCAAACTATGAATCTAAAAAATTAGATGCTTGACGAGATTGATTTTTGTCCAAACGCATGATTCGGATTCATTTTCTGAGTTTGTCAGGTACCACTTGTCTTGACAATAGAAGATTACTTCATGATAAATGTTGAATGTATATAATATACTTGAGCTTGGGGCGGATTGTTTCACCTTAATTTGCTGTAAATGCGCTAAGGCAAACCAAGAAAGGGTCTAATTAACAATTGGACGGCCTATTGGTAATGCTTTTTAAAAGAAAAAAAACACACACACACACATATATATATATATATATAGAAAGGTGACCTATGCTTTGACTAATCGTTTAGGCCTTTCCTGTGTCAGTCTTCAAAATATAAAAAAATTGAAAAAAAAAATCCAACAAACAAGAAAAGCTAGTATTCTACATATCATGGCTATCATGTGATCCAATATAATACTACGTACCTAGGTTTCTAGGCCGTCCAATTGTCAGACTGTTTCTTGGATAGCTTGAGCACATATATAAAAGTTATTGCCGGCCACATTACATATATTTTAAATAAACTTTGTTTTATTTATTTTATTAAAATTTGTCGTCTATCCTCTCCTAACAAAGTAGAGACTGAATGTCACTAGACGAAGAACTAATTGGCATGCATAAACTGCGTCCGCCATGAAGTTGTGAAACTTATACCTTTGTTATGCATATTTCATTAAAAGCTCTAGATTGAGCTCTTCCTTTCCCGACCCAGCCCGCACTTGCCCCTTGGGCCTTTTGAAAATATTATTCTATTTTTGCTTGGGCTACAAGGCTTGAAACTTCCAACCCAGCTGGCCCTTGCCACATGGGCTTTGTGAATCAAATAAGACATAAATCCCCACTAATGGGTACGTGTAGTTGACTAGGCAAGTTATCGACCTTCCTCCAATAATTCACATGTGATGGTATCTTTTCTTTATTTTTTTTGGGTCGGAATTGTGATGGTATCTTTGAATACACAAAACTAATTATTCTTTGTGTGGTCCAACGTGATTGTAGTGTCAAATTCTACGAATGCAATTCAAATCCCATTTGGAATTTGATCACAAAACAACCACGCAGCTTTCCTTGTCCATTTGAATACATGCATGGATTGACTCGGACTGTGTTTGATTCGTGTTATTTTGGGGTTTTCTCCTACTGGTCTAGTACTAATCAACCCTGCTAATTTTGAAGTTTAATAATATGCGTCTTATACCTAAACTAATTGAGACTAACAGAAGAAAATAATAATAAAAAAAGTTCATCGGTTTAATAATTAAAGATTCACAAGATACACGTTTAATAAATTTGTTACATTAAAGTCGAAAGTTTTATATTAAGCAATTGTTAATCCGAATCCACTTTCGTGTTTTGATTCGTATCATATAAATTATAAGATTGTGTAACAAAATCATCAACCCACTCAAATAATATCTCATTTCCCTTATCCAAAGCCGGTAACAGACAAGCTTTGGAACATAAGATAGAGCCAAATCATATGCCATATTGCCATGGTTATCTTGTCATTTTCCCCAAGGACGGGCTTCCATTTTACACTAGAAGTCTTTGCTCTTTAAATGTATGATGCAGTTAGTGAGGTCACCATTAGGCAAAGCCAATTGTTTCCGTGGCCATCAGAAAATTCAGGAGGGTCCATAAATTTGCGCTTTCTTTCTTTTTGGTTTTGGTCAGTTCATGCGCACAATGAGCTTTCAGTATGTGAGGTGAATGTGTTTCTAAGGCAAAACTCTGGACCACAAGTGATAAATACATTATTCATGCACTTGGGAACTGATTTGGGGAATGGGGGATGTTGGTTAGCTTTCATTTCACTCTCCAACTTGTTCTGAAAGGCCCTTGCTTGCTTGAGCTGATTCTGACCTTTGCTTTTAGACTTCCACAAAGTGCATCATCAAATTGAGATAAAAGGGTCAGGTCCAAACCATCTAGAAGCAATATACATGATGAGGAGGATAAATAAGTAAATATGTTTTGTTGTTAGTCGTTGATACATTATAAGATTCACCTATAATCGCGCTATAATCACGTTGAGGTCGTCAACTATCCCTAGCATTACTCTGCCGACATGTCACTCTTCCAAGATGCTAAATTAATTTGTTTTGAAGAATTTTTGGGGGCCTGGATCTGGAGTTGGGAATCTGGAAGAGAACAGCACAAAGCGAAGTAAGTTTGTCTAATATTGAATTTTGACTGACAGTGAAAAGAATATATTCACCTCTCATTTTCCTTGCTCGTGCTATAACAGTTCTAATCATATGATTCTGTTCACAATGGGTGTGATGTAATTACCAAAACTCCTAAATCAGTCATCAAATTCGTATGTTCTTTAATTGGATCAACTAATAAAATAATCATGCGCATCAAATTTGTGTATGTATTTGGTTCGTTTGTGCAAGAAGCGCTTTTTCTAACAGCACACATGTCACAAAGATGGACAGGTTGAACCCAAAGTCTCCACCTTATCTTTTACTCTTCACAGAAAGCCTTTCATCCATTCCTAGTGGCAGGTCAACTATCCAGTCAATGTGAAACTCATTATTCATTTCCCACCTCCCTTTCAGCCAAATCTCTTTTGTTCATGTATATATGTATATATATATATGTGTGTGTGTGTGTACAAATGGAACCAAGTAACCACTAATTAAAGACCCCAACTGTGTTGGAAATTCTTTTGTTTTGAAGAAGAAGAAGAAGAGAAAAAAAAATGGTGGTGGCTGAGTTCGGTTTTGGTGGTGGTGGTTTAGGCCACAAGGAGATGAGGAGCTTTGGCTTGCAAGTTGTCCATGGAAGATGGTTCATGGTTTTTGCTTCAATGTTGATCTTGTCAGTGGCTGGAGCAACATACATGTTTGGCCTCTACTCCAATGACATCAAAACATCTCTAGGCTATGACCAAACAACAGTCAATTTGCTGAGCTTCTTCAAGGACTTGGGGGGCAATGTTGGGATCATAGCCGGCCTCATCAACGAGTTCACAGGTCCGTGGGTGGTCCTGTTAATCGGTGCAGTCATGAACTTTTTCGGGTACTTCATGATATGGCTAGCAGTGACCGGTCGAACGTCGAAGCCCCGGGTGTGGCAGATGTGTTTGTACATTTGCATAGGTGCAAATTCTCAGACATTTTCGAACACTGGTGCTGTAGTGAGTTGTGTTAAGAATTTCCCGGAGAGTAGAGGCAGTGTTTTGGGGCTCTTGAAGGGACTTGTTGGCCTAAGTGGTGCAATTATTACACAGCTCTTCTCTGCTTTCTATGGTGGCGACTCAAAGGCTCTTATCTTGTTAATTGGTTGGCTTCCAGCTTCTGTTTCAATGCTGTTTCTTCCAATAATCCGATTGTTGAAGGTTGTTCGACAACCGAATGAGCTCAGGGTCTTCTACAATCTTCTCTACGTTACTCTTGGCCTAGCTGGGTTTCTCATGTTTTTAATTATCATACAACACAGCCTGAGATTTTCAAGAATTGAGTACATTGGAAGTGCTTCAGTGGTGCTTTTGTTACTCTTTCTTCCGCTCGCCGTTGTTATTTTCGAAGAATTCAAAATCTGGAAGAGCAAAATGAAAGCATTGAATGATCAATCTCAGCTCAAAGTAGTAGCTGAGAATCCAGCTCCTCCTGTTCAAGTAGCCCTGCCACCTGTTGCAGCACCACCATCTCCACAGACCCAGCAGAAGCCAAATTCTTGCTTGCAAAATGTTTTCAGCCCACCAGATAGAGGTGAGGACTACACCATACTGCAAGCAGTTTTCAGCATTGACATGTTGATCTTGTTCATTGCTATAACCTGTGGTGCCGGTGGGACATTAACCGCCATCGACAACTTGGGTCAGATTGGGGGCTCATTAGGCTACCCAACTCACAGCATAAGCACTTTTATATCTCTGGTAAGCATCTGGAATTACCTTGGAAGAGTTACCTCTGGTTTCTCTTCAGAAGTACTTTTGAAAAAGTACAAGTTCCCTCGTCCCCTCTTGCTCACTCTTGTGCTTCTTTTATCATGCGTTGGCCATCTTCTAATCGCATTTGGCGTCCCCAACTCTCTCTACGTTGCTTCTGTGATTATTGGGTTCTGTTTTGGGGCACAATGGCCATTGATTTTTGCCATCATTTCAGAAATCTTTGGCCTCAAATACTATGCCACTTTGATCAATGTTGGTGGTGCTGCTAGCCCTATTGGGGCTTACCTTCTGAATGTGAAAGTGGCTGGTAATTTATATGATGCAGAGGCCTTGAAGCAACTGAAAGCTTTGGGTAAGGTTAGGGAAGCAGGTGAGGACTTGACTTGCGAAGGAGTGCATTGTTACAGATTGGCTTTCATTATAATGGCTGCAGTGGCTTTGTTTGGGAGCCTTGTTTCATTTATTTTGGTGATCAGGACTAGAAAATTTTATAGAAGTGATATTTACAAGAAGTTCAGAGAGGCAGCTGAGGCAGCTGAATCTGATGTAGCTGCTTCAAGTGGCATGGTGCCTTTGACAGAAATAGAGGCCAAAACTGCTGCTGCTGCTGCTGCTCCAAGTTCAGCCTCCTCTGCAGCACCACGAGGTTCAGAGACCAACTTGGATTTGAAAAATAGGGCAGGGGAAAATCAATGAGGTAGCTAATTAATTGCTCAGAATCTTCTTGTAATTTTCTATGGAAATCATTTACAAAGGAAAAAAAAACATGATCTCTCTCTTCAAACATTGTAATTCAGATCATTAATATATTTTCTTAATTAGAATTTAGTTATGGCAATAGAAGCAAATAAACTATAGGGATGGTTTTTCAAGAGGGTGCTTGTACTTCTCTTTTCCAAAAAGCAATTAAAATGGTTTTCTTTTTAAAGTGCTTTTGTATAGCAATTTAGAACATGTCACTTAAAAATGATATAGCTAGCCTCCCTCCAAAAGATTAAGTATTGTTGACTATGCCACTATGGCCTTGACCCATTTTGCCAGCTGTATGACAGAATCTGAATTCCTTTTGTTCATTTCCTCCTTGGCCTCTTGTGAGCCAAACCCACCGCATAGAAGCAATAGATTGCCCAGTTCTAGGTTTGGCTGGACCAAACTATTACTCTATTTTGTCTCTTAGTTAATCTAACTTCAGGCAGTCGTCACCTTTAGCTATAACAACATTTGCCCAACTTGTTCTCTTATTCCACCATCCTCACAAGTCTCTTCAAATATTTGCAGAAACCTCCAATTTGATCTCTTTCTTGGTTCAAGTTGGATCAAAAAATCCCAGCTGCCACTCATTAATTTGTGACAGCAATAGTGCTCCTTTTCTGTAGGTTGTTGCCATTCATCAGTGTGTCGTTTATGTGATGCGACGAGTATAGATAAACACATAGTTGTACACAACCAGTTGTGATATAAAAAAAAAGGAATTGTCCAAATTCGGCCGGTGAAATATGCCACATAAAAGCACACAATAGGACATGTAACTTGTAAGCGTGCAATTATAGCTTTTTGACGTTTTGGGAAAAGTAGGGTATTTTGGAGGAAGGGACAAAGGAGCTTTCGCCATTATACTAGGCGGAGTGCTTTGAATTCCTTGCCTGGGTTTTGTATGAAAACAAAAGCTGTGCCCACCATTCACTCTCGCTGTGCTTAATATCAAACCATCAATATTTTGGGGGCATCTTTTCGGTGCCTCAAGTTCTTAATTTGTAACCCCACAGAGCACCAATAATGCATAAGACAAGAAAACAACTCACATTCACATTGCTTTCTGTCATATGAGTTATCCCCACAGCACCAGCTTGCGTCTTTGTGAACAATTCTTTAATTATACTTTTTTTGTTTTTGGGAACTCTTCAAACTCGAAGCAGGGTACATTGTCTTCGTCAACTAAATTAGTTCATATTTGCGTACCTACTTATTACCTGAAATTGTCAAATTAACCTAATTATAATACCATAAATTAATTTGCCTAATCACATCTCTGGTAGGTAAAATGTCCATTTCCCATCTATGCATGAAATTTTACCACTTTTAACAAGAAAGGGATTTTCTCTTCTTCAACTCTGTGCAATACCATAATGAGCTGCCTCACTCCATAGACGAGTGAGTAAAATCTACCTTGGCCCTCTTACAAAATAGACAAAGCAGTTCTCTCAGGATCAGCTTTCCCTTCTTAGCTCAAAAATCTACAAGCTATTGTTCACCGTTTTTCTTTTTTTTTCAATTGATATGAAAATAGTAGTTAAAGTGTTTTCAGTATTGCAAGTATAAGTTTGTGTTGAAAAATGCAAGAATGCTATTCGGAAGCTTAACCAAATAAAATACAATGTATAACGAGTAAGTTCACTACTAATAACGTCGATGCATTTTGTGCTAAATCCAACACCGATAGTAGTGGACCATTTGTCAATCTCTCTCAAATCTTAACACTTTGGGCATGATTTATGAACATATGCATAATATACATACAGATATATTGCCACTACATATCACTAGATCAGATATATAGAATTTTTGAATACATTAATCGTGTTAAAATAAGTGCTGGATTTTTTGGGGACAAAAGAAAAGTTTCTGATTGATGGATGCCAAATTTTGGACAAAAGAGGATTATCATTAGATGCATAATTGGCCAAGATTAACCACAAATCCTCAAGCCTAAACACTTGCTTTTTCTCTTTCCTTTTGGTGCAGTAAGGGGCCCGAGGGCCAAAATTAAATAAAAGCCCGCAAAAGAATTTTCCTGGCCCTAGCCCACAACCCAAAATGAAAAACCGACTCCAATCATGATTTCAGTCTGGCTTTGGACGATGTGTGTGGTTTCACATCTATATACAATTACATCCGCATGATCTTGGATTTTTCCCTTTTCCAGATTCTGCTGAGATGAAAAAGGTTCTAATTCATGGTTTGAGGTGGTTGGCCTTATAATCAAACTAAAATTCCAATTTCTTAGCTGACGACTTCTAAGGGGACCCGGGGAAGAGGGCGCTCTGTTTTCTCTAATCACTATGCAGGAAGAGGGTAGGTTATCGGGTAATTTGATTACCGAACCCTTATATGTAGAGATGCTCGCCTAATCTCTTAGGGCCTAGTCGATTCTTTGTAATGATGATTCCATCTCCTAAATAAAATCCTAAAGTTTCAACCAAAAAAAATTCCCAATTTTGTTGTATGCTTCCTTTTGTGTACCATAATCTGGAGTTTAATTAATAATGCATTTCCAAAACAAGGAATATCTACTAAAGTACTAAATTAAGAATCTTCTTAGCTTGTTTAGCCTTTAACCAACCAATTTATTAGATAAATATATCCAACTAAAGTGGTTGTTTCTAACCAATTGATTCTCGCACAAAGATAAAGAATATTAGCCAACGAAGTTTAGCCCAGTGAAAAAAAACATTGACTTATAGTTTAAACTATTGCTTATATTCAAAAGAATAAAGAAAATTATGCAAATGACCAAAGCTTATGACCAAGTCTTCACATAATTGGGCGAGAAAATTGACTCATTACAATTATCTTATCTACTCTCAATAAATTAAAGACTTGAAAGTCGCATCCAATCAGTTTTTGTCAAATTTGGGTCCACTTTAGTACTAAAATTCATTTCCTAAGCACTTTGACAAAATGAGGAGTTTGATTGCGGATTATAAATCTGAAACAAATATAATCCTGCCCCAATAAATGATTAATTAAAAATAAAACCTGCCCCCTTTAATCACTAAGTCAAGTCCTATAATTGAAACAATCATAGCCGCGTTAATGTGGATGGTGTTTATCTAATCTAACAACTCTTTTGGATTAATCATTTCATTGAAAAAAAAACAATTTCTTTAGTAATGTTGGGGTGACAATACTTGGGTCCAATTTAGGACCACGATATCCTTACTTTCTTATGTGGGCCAATGGCATGAAAAGTAGAGAGGGCATGGGAAGGTCTAGGAGGGTAAGGAGGGAACGAGGAGAGGAATGGAGGCCACCGGCCTCAAGGGGGATTTAATTGTGATTTTAATGAATTTTAAAGAAATTTAAAAATTTAAAGTATTCAACTCGAACTTTTAAAGAATCTATAAAAGTTTAGGTATATTCAACTTACCTTCGTTATATTTCGCGTAAGGAAAAAAATTATGCTAATTGAATTTCCCTATGGATGATATAATATATCCAATACAAAAGATAACAATAAAATTTGGAGATGCTTGGCTTTTTTTTTCTTTTTTTTTCCTATTTTGGGTACCACCCAGCAAATTACACAAAATTAGAACCAACCTAAAAATAGGAACTTTACTATTTTTTGCCCTCAGCATTATCCTCGAAACAGTGGGGGCCCACCAACATCTACAAGGATCCAATCCAAACTTCCATCCTAGGTTAAGGAAAACATAAACATGGTAAGATCTCCCCAACCTGAAAAACAACAAACAAATCTCAGATTTTAATACAAAAAATTTTAATTTAAATTATAAAAAAAAACAACGAAATAACCGAAAACCTAAAAAACTAAACTAAACTAATTTTTTTTTGGTTAAACTAATTCCAACAAAAAAGAAACTAATAAATACAAATTATTCCTTAAATAAACAAGTGTCAGTGTGTTTTAAAAAAAATATATATTTATAAAGGGCGTTTTTGCAATCATTCCCATTTTTGCTGTTTTAAACTTTTCTTGGTTTTTTAATTTTCTCATTTTCCTTAATTATCCGGCCTCCACTTCCATACACACACACACACTCTCTCTCTCTCTCCCCTTCGCTTTCTCTCTCATCGGGTTGATCGCCGGAACCACCACCGTCCGATCAAGTCGCCGGCATTCCGGCGATCCGACTCAGATGACTTTCATTTCGGATCCACCAACCACCACCCGCATCCCTCTCCGATTCAAAACTCCAAAGACGGTTCATTTGTTCGCTTCCCCACGTCCCTTTTCAGTTTCAATTTCGTCTTCCGACGCAGAAATCACAAATTGAATAAGAGTTTCAGGGATTGATTGATTGATTGCGAATCTGGGGTTGTTGTTCCATGCATGCTGAATCTGATCGCCAATCGTTTTTTTTTCAACATCGCCGAGCTCGTTTTGATTCCAATCCGATCCCCACCCCCAATTCTAGGGTTTAGGATTCGTTGCTGCATTGGGAAAATTGGGAAATTATGTTCAAGAAGATCATCAAGGGAAACAAGAAGCCCTCCAAGTCCGATTCTCATGATCCTTCGTCGTACGGGTACGGCCCGCCGGGGACCCGTAATTCCGGGGCAGTTGCGAATGTGGTCGTAAACCACGCGTCCCGGGCCGGGCCGGCTGCTTCAGGTCCCAATTCGGGTGGGGCTCCGGGGATAACGGCGTTACCGCCTTCGGGCACCATCGAGCCTCTCCCGTTCTTCCGTGACGCTCCCGTCTCCGAACGTCAGACCCTGTTTCTTCGCAAATTGCAGGTTTGTTGCTTTCAATTTGATTTCTCTGATACCCTTAAGACCCCTAGAGAAAAGGAAATTAAGCGTCAAACCCTTTTGGAATTGGTTGATTTCATACAATCTGGGTCGGGTAAGATCACCGAGACATGTCAAGAGGAGATGATCAAAATGGTTTCTGTTAATATATTTCGTTGCTTGCCCCCTGCGTCTCATGAAAACACGGGCCAAGAGAATGCCGATCCTGAAGAGGAGGAGCTTTATTTGGAGCCATCATGGCCTCATTTGCAGTTGGTTTATGAGCTCCTTCTTAGGTACATTGTGTCATCTGATACTGATACCAAGGTTGCCAAGCGTTATATTGATCACTCGTTTGTGTTGAAGCTACTCGATTTGTTTGACTCTGAGGACCCGCGTGAGCGTGAGTACTTGAAAAACATTCTTCACCGAATATATGGGAAGTTCATGGTGCACCGACCCTTCATCAGGAAAGCTATCAATAACATATTCTATCGGTTTATTTATGAGACTGAGAGGCACAGCGGCATTGCTGAGCTTTTAGAGATTCTTGGGAGCATAATTAATGGGTTTGCACTACCAATGAAAGAGGAGCATAAGTTATTTCTTGTTCGGGCACTTATACCGCTGCATAAGCCGAAGTCAGTTGCAGTTTATCATCAGCAGCTGTCCTACTGCATAACCCAATTTGTTGAAAAGGATTACAAATTGGCAGATACGGTTATTAGGGGTCTGTTGAAATACTGGCCGCTGACCAATTGCCAGAAGGAAGTTCTTTTCCTTGGAGAACTTGAAGAAGTTCTGGAGGCTACACAAGCTGCCGAATTTCAGCGTTGCATGGTTCCTCTTTTCAGACAGATTGCTCGCTGCCTCAATAGCTCTCATTTCCAGGTTTGGGAATTTTTGCAAATTTTATTGGGTTTGCTTCATTTTGCTGAAGCTTTAAACTAATTCTTTAACTTCTTTGTTTAAGACAAATGGTTCCCAATGATATATTTTTTTTCACTGTTTATTTTATGAATATAACTTACTGGCATTTTTCTGTTTCTGCTTGGTCCAAAGTTTCACCTTTCCATTTTCTTTTTCTGAATTCACAATTTTTTATTTTGTTTTGCTTTCATTGTACTTATATTTTGTTATGCTTTCATTGTACTTATATTTTGTTTTCATGTTATTGATGGATTGAGCTGTTTCTTCATATGACATGTTCCACAAATGGAAACTGCTGCTGTTTGTGAAAGGTGCCATATTATGTTATATTCTCGCATTTGCTTATGCATAGAGAACATTTATTGTAACCCAAATACGGGTTTCCAAAATCTTTCTGAAACTAGTACTCTTCTCTTTCTGCATGAGGCTGCAGCCTTAAACTGTTTATCCTTGTTTGATGAATTTACTTATTTCTATTCCTTTTGTTGCTGATAATGTGCCTATGAGAGTTCCATTCTATTATAGTGGTTACCAAATGAATGTTTACTTGTGTGTTTCTCCCATGGGGAAAGATCTTTGATATGCTAATTTCTTAGAAATGCCCATGTAGTACGTTAAAAATGCTAGTGTTTTTGACATTTTGGATTTCTATTGAATAAGCAGATGGGCTGCAATAAAGTGGATGGAATGATAGATCAACTTGTACTCTGTCTGTAGGAATAGATGCCATATAACTTGATATGGGAGAAGTAGTTAGATAATTATCACATCAAGAACCATTATAAGATAACTGAAAGCATGCAGTGTCAACATTAGTGGGGAAAAAGCACAAGATTACTAGGTGGGAAATATCCTAGAATGGTTCACCTTAGATAACCTAACTTTCGATGTACTAATGCAAATGCTTGCTGTATTTGTCATTGTTTTGGTGATTTCCGTCCATCCCTATTTAGCTTTCTGCTGATAAGTTTCCTGATCTGTGAAATACGTTCTATATTGATCCATGCATGAATTGTTATAAATAAACCTGGCACCAATATGTAATGATCCAATGAAACAGCCCGACTTATTCTTATTATAGCATCATCAGCAGTAGGTTTTCTTTTTCCCTTTACCATTGATATTTATGCAACTAGTTTTTCTAGACTGCAGCAACGATTTGAACCTAAAGTGCTCCACTTTTCATTTTTATGAATTATATATTTTGGAATTTTTTCAACTTTTGTGCTTGCTGTTATGCATGTGCTTAGTGCTGCGCGTGAGGCTATATTTTGGTGTTCTATTAAACAAGTTACAAATGTCAATGAAAAGAATTAAGGAGGTAAAAGATTGGAAATTTTTAATTGGGTTCCTGTCTTGTGTTATGAATGTTGTTGGCTTGAAGCAAGTTTTCTGATAAGAGTAATTTGTGTTAATTTGGTGAAGGGACATGTTGTTAGGACTATATAAATGTAATGTTTGTTAATTTTGCGTTAACTTGTGTTGATCTGATAAGAGTAATGTTGTTAGGACTTTGTACTAATGTTTCCAAATGTTCATCATTGATGAATTGGTGAAGGGATCAGACTCCAAATCAAAACTTCTAAAGTTGTATTTTACTCTAAGAATATCCTTTCTTGAAAATTTTGCTTAGTCACATTTGCAATGCAGGTTGCGGAACGAGCACTCTTTCTGTGGAATAATGAGCACATTGTGGGTTTAATTGCTCAGAACCGGAATGTCACTCTACCAATTATTTTTGAGGCATTGGAGAGGAATATCCAAAGTCACTGGAACCAAGCAGTTCACGGGCTGACCGTCAATGTTCGAAAAATGTTTTTGGAAATGGATGCTGACTTGTTTGAAGAGTGCCAGAGGCAGCTTGCGGAGAGAGAGGCGAGGTCCAGAGAGGTGGAAGAACAACGGGAGTTGACATGGAAAAAACTGGCAGATGCGGCAGCACAGAGAGGGGAAGATGATATGGTTACAGCCTAAATGATCAACCAGGGTTTCATGTGCCCCCGCAATTGGAAAATGAATGGATGGATTGAAGATAAATCCTCTCCTCTCATTTTGGTGGTATTCTTTTTTAATATATAATTTTTGTCTTTTAATTTTTTGATCTCTGTTCCAATCATTGAAAATATCAGAAGAAGCAGTGGTAAATGTAATTTAAGATGTACGGAATTTGTTAGCAATATGCTGCAGATTAAGAATTATTTGTGAAATATATTGTGCACTTTCGGCCCCCACATTTTTTTGAGGTCTTTTATTTCCCCCTCCAAGCGTTTCAGATTAATTAGGTGAAATTATGCCAATACACTTAAGAGATAAAGAAGCGTTCCAAAAGTTGTGTGATTTTTTATGTTATTTTATTTAGGACATTTTTTATTGAGAGGGGCAATAATATATTAAACTCACACATATTATATGAATGCTATGATTCAAACTCAAGACCCTACCTGAGGAAGTAAATACTCCAAATCAATACACTAGTCGGTCCTTTGCTAAAAATTGTGGGATTTAAATGTGTGTAATTTTGTATTTTTGATATGTGTTTCAAAAAGAGCTTAAGAGAAATAGAAAGACTGGAGATAAACTAACAGATTAAGATATGATCCAAACACAGATTGGGTATTTTCCAAAAAAAGGAATTTTCTTCTAGTCTTCTGAAAATTTATATAGGCTTTGACCTGTTCTATGCAAAGTTGCAAAGTTTTTCGAAAGAACAATTTATCTAGATCAAAATACTAAGAAGAAATTCCTGATATAAAGCAAAAAATATAATGAAAAGAAATTAGGAATTGAAAGGTTTTAATTTTTATTTCTGTATGACAAAAAGCAAAGCGTCTAATAAAGATATATCATTTTCCCCTATCTCTTATTCACAAAATAGAAAACCCCGCAAATCAAAAACAAGAAAAGGAAAAAACAGAGGCCGCTCCAAAAGATACAAACCTCAGGTCCTGAGCGATTTATCCATCATCTTGTGGCTTCTTCAGCATCGATTCATCATCTCAAAACCAGACACACAGACTCTCTCTCTCTCTCTACGAAAGAAGGGCATGTCCCGTAAAGGAGGAGGAGGAGGTGGTTCTTCACTGCCAAAGGACGTGCCTTGGAGGGCCTCAAACACCAAACCCATACCCAAAATTCACCATTCCCCTGTTCTCCGAATAACCCAGAACCCTACTTCCAATTATGCCATCTCTGTCATGAAGGTTCCTTTCCTCTATCTCAAACACCTCACTCTCCTTCTCCACTTGTAATTGCTTTGTTTGTTTGTTTTTTTCTCTTTCTCCTCTGGGTCATCGTAAAAAAGTTTAATTTTGCAGCACCCGAACCCGGTAGGAAGTGGGTTAGCAATGGAAGCCATAGTGGAAGCAGCAGGCCCTGAGTGCATTGTCCCGGGACAAGTTACACCTATCAAGTTACTTGGTGTCAAGGTTGCCTTCTCCTCTTCCTTTTTTTTTCATCACTAAAATATATGCAAACTTATTTGGTTCATTCTGCCTTCAATAAGTTTCTTAGTTTCCAAATTTTGACTAATAGTTTCATGGGTTAGTTCAATTTTCCTCATTTGTATGTAAGTAATGCCATTCTTCAATTATGTTCACAAATAACTTAAGCATTATGTGGGTTGTGTGTGCAACTATGGTGGCATATGCGAATAAGTAGTAAGTACACGCCAATAGTTGCTGGCTGTAAGTTCTTGGTAGAGTGCTATGGCCGTTATTGTATGTTTTCCTCGTATACATGTTATGCTAACTATACACATTTAGGATAGAAACTTCCTCGTATATATGTTATGCTAACTATGCACATTTAGAATAGAAACTTCTGCTTCTTCTTGGCGCCAATGTTGTTAGTTTGCCTATTGTTCTTTTTTTACCTTTAAACCAGGCGTTCATTGTAAAGTTCGAACTTTGTAGCATATGACATTGCCTTCATGTTCTAACTAGGGTCTATCTTTTTTCTCTATCTCATGTTACCCATAAAATTTTATTACTTTATTAAAAGTCTGGAATTGTTTTGTATAATTATTTATTCTGCTTTTCTAGAGGTGTATTTAGTCATGTATTTCTACTTTTAGGAAGGCAGATCCTCTGCTTGAATGGTATGTTTGATAGATGGTGTTTCAAAATGCAAAATATAGAGAAATCTTAATGCTTTGATTTGCATATTGTGCCCGTGTCATAGGTATATCAAGTTTTTTCTTATTATATTATGTATACCTTGCCTCTTGTGCTTCTTTGTTATTATTCTTTTAATTGATCCCTGATTTTCATGCAGGTATGGCCTATTGAAGTTAACTTGAAATTTTTGGAACCAGTTGGACGAGAGCTCAAGCAGCTTGGAAAGGTAAATTTCCATGTTTCATATCTGTTTTCACCTTTTGGAGTTAACATTCTTGACTCGGTAATGAGAGCAGATAGCTTTAGACCAAAAAGAAAGAAAGAAATAAATAAAGTGCAAATGCCCTTGAGAAATGGTGTTGTCCCCAACTTAAATTGCTGATGAATTGGTTCCCAATTTCATGGAATGGAAAAAGTACGAATGAAATGAAATTTGCCCAATAATAAAACCAGCTTGTGACAGAACATTCCTGGTTTGCCTGGTTGGATTTGCTGAAAATAATATCATGCCATTTTGTTCTCTTGTATCATTTGAAGAAATAAAAATTAATTCTCGTGTCAAATTGCCATGAAAATTCTGAAAATGATCTTCACACAGCACCATAATGAAATTCAAAACTGGATACATGCATATATTTCGTTGCTGCCAAATGTTTTCTGTGGTTAAGCATTCTGTAAATGAATCAGCTTGTCTTTTGAGGCTGTGGCCTAGTGTATGCAGACTAGACCTGGTTTTCCCAAAAAGTTATGATTTTTGTTACAAAGTGGAAGGAGGTTGGGTTTTAGTTATAGCTGACTAGTGGAAGATTTATAGTGCTAAATTAAAAGTTCTCTGTAAATGTTATGCCTTCACTTGTTCTGAAGTGAATGAGCAAGAAAATACTTTATGCTCCACCCTTTCTTTGAGTCCTCAGTCTTAAATTATAGTTTCTACTATTTGTTGTTGATAATTGGTGGTGTACTCTTGTTTGATTCTTGTCAAGTACTTAGTTTTGACGGGAAACAACAAACTATGCTTTCATACATAAAACATGAAAATCCATATTTGCACAGGACTTTTTAATTAATACATTGGTCATGTCTATGATGCAGTTCATGGATGATGCTGTCAATCTCATGAATAAATCATTCATAGATCGCTAGTGCATGCATTCCTGTTATGAAGAGGACAAGTACTTGCAGTCAGCAGAAGCCGGTTCAGGAAGAATGACATAATAAGATCTCCCCTTGTGTCGTCTTCTTGCTTGTTCTGCAGTTAAGGTGTATGTACGTAGTTCCTAGTATCTATAGATCAGATGCGGGAGGTTTCTTGTTTTGGATTGTGGCATGAGGAGTTCCCTTTTTCAATGTTGTTTTGGCCCCAGAACTCTACTGCTTTTAGTTCAATATGTTACATTAATACTTTAAATTTAAATTATATGAGGTTTTGAGTAATGTGAAGTTTTATTATTTTTGAACGCTTTCGCTTCACTGTACATGCACTACACGAATGTATGCATATAAAGTTGGCACGCAGCTTATGCTCTTGACCCTTGAAGCTTGTAAAATGGTTTTGAATTAAATGAAAGCCCCACATCAAGTTCTTTGATCCAATCGCTATCATCAACACAATTCTAATGTCTCTATCAAATTTGACTATCATTTCTGGTTTCATTTGAGAACAAACCCATCCTCCTCTGTAGGATCAAGTGATGTGCAGCCGGTCGAAAGTTGTTTCCAGATATGCCAATGAAAGGTATCCACAAGATCTATTAATCTATTTCAAAATCTTGCTTCACTTGGCCACCTTCCAAAACATTATCTCTATCCTCTCTTTTTTATACAATCATATGGTAATGTTGCTCTGCTAACTTTCTAAAATAGGCAGAGACAACAAATATCTATATATGCTGCAGTAAAATCAATAATATAATTTTCATAGAAGGACAACATCTGCTTATAGAGACAAAAATATGTGATGCAAGAAGGGAGATAGAACAAGAATTATCAACTGTTCACCTTCATGGATGACCTAATTGTTGCCTTATTAGCATGAATTTATGTAAGCCAATGGTGGAGTTCCCACAAACTAGTGATGTGTCCACCTAGTGTGGCATGAAAGAGGTTCTAATCACCCTCTCTTTTTTCTCTTTTCTCCAACTCCTAGTTACCTTTGCTTCTCGTATATAAAGGTTTAATGTCTCTTGGTTTGTCACACCAATAATGACTTGTCAAGCAGACATGGAAGGAGAAAAACTGCGCAAAGGTCCATGGCTTGAAGAGGAAGATGAACGACTCACATCCTACGTAAATCTAAAGGGGAATCGGAGGTGGGATGCTTTAGCGAAAGAATCAGGTATGTACATTACATGTGATTCTTATTAGTTAATTTTGGAGATGACTCAGTGTACATATATGGAGAACAGAAATTCAGAATCTGTTTACATGCTGCAGGTCTAAGGAGGAGTGGTAGGAGTTGCAGGATGAGGTGGTTGAACTATCTCCGTCCAAATCTTAAGCATGAACATATCACTGTCGAAGAAGAGAAAATAATCCTTCATCTTCATGAACGTTGGGGCAACAAGTAAGGTTCTTAATTTTCTTGTCTTTACCTATTCAAGTTTGACATTACCACCTTCATGCTGCACTACAAGCACTGCTGCCTAAGTGCATAAGTTATGTTTACCAATTTTGATAAGTGGTCCTCTAACTAAATCCGTCATGTAGGTGGTCGAAGATTGCTCGAATGCTTCCAGGAAGAACCGATAATGAGATCAAGAATTACTGGAGGACATATTTAAAGAAGAAAGAACCAATTCAAGATGGTACAGAACTTCATCATTCTTTTCTGCTTTCTGATATATGTTACTGCTAAGGTTATTTATCTACTTACAGTTTTTTCCTCTGCATTACTAACACTTGCTCTGTCCGCAGGAAACTTCCAATGTACATCAGACAAAGGCCAGCACAGTCTTTTCTTTCAGGAAGGTGATATGAGTGCTGAAAAACAGTACAACTTTAATCAACACCATGACTCTGTTTCAAATTTATGTGGAGCCAAGGATACTTGCTCTGATGATCTTGGTTTATCGGAATTTGCATTGACAAATTCTCCGTACGAAACCAGGTTATCAGATTGGATATCCGAATTATCAAGCGAACAAAGTGGAATAAACTATAATCAGGACTGTAATAGTGGAGAGTCAGATTTGTGTCATCAAACATGGACTCCAGATGATAGCAATAGATGGGAGTGTCCAAGTTTCCTCTGGGACATGAACTAACAGACACTTAATATTTTGAATTGTGGATCGAATGACCTCCGAGCCTCTAGATTGTAAATCGCGTTGCTGCTACGAGAAACACAACTTCTTCCTTCCAACTCCAGCATGTCTACATGAAACAATTATGGCGCAGCTGATGGCCTTACAAGAATGAATGGGCCAGAGTATGAATGGTGAATAGTTTTTGTCACTTCGATCACTTAGAGCCTTCAAATTGTAATTCAAAATGGCATGCATGTATGTGATGTAGAACCATCTTAATCAAATTGAAATTTTCTCAAGTTTCTCTTCTAAACTGTTTCAGTTTCCTATCATCATCGTAAATGCTGGTAGATATAATCATATAAGACAAACAGTTTAGGAAAAAAACGACCAAGCTTAACTAAAGCATCCAAACTTTCCACCCTAAAGAGAGAGAGAGAGAGAGAGGCACCCAACTTGAAATTTCGTAACCAAATAATTCAAATGAACGAACAAAATAACCAATCTTGGCATATATATATACACTCTTCACTTCAGTAATGTGCTTTCTGTAAAGTGGATTTCAAACTGGCAGAGCTTATTTCTTGTTATTCGAAGGTCATCTGATATATGATTAAGCAGGCCTACCAAGGTACCGTAGCTGCTAAGTAAGAGTTAAAACAGTGAAGAAGAAAGTGATCGATGACCAATTTATTTTGTTAGAGAAATAAGATGCATGGTGGGAGACAGATTTAATCAGCAAAACAAACTGCTAATAGAGTTGAGATCAGTAACAAGAACTAATCTAAGATGGCTGTGATTTAACCCTTCAAGTTTAACTGACAAAAATTCTGCAGCATTTGGGAGTAAGAAAGCATCGCCGTAAATTAAGTTGCTCTCCAACATTGAATTATAAAGATCAGTTAACCAAGTAATTTTGGTAATTACATGAATCTCTAAAGATCCAAGATGTGCAGAGGACCCACTAGTGTAGTGGTTGGGAGTAATTGCTCCTCATGCAAGGTAGTGTGTGTGAGTTTATTATATTATCGCCCCTATCAACAGGAAACGTGTCCTTAAAATAAAAAATAAAAAAAGGATCCAACAAGATGTAACTTAAACCTATCAATTGGTCAAAAAAGAAGAAGAACCAAAACAAAACCAACCTTGTGGCAAACCATCAATGGATAATAATAATATATAGTTCTAAACTCTTTACTTTTCATTGCTTCTTCATTATAGTGAGACAATATATATGCTGCTTGTAATCTTGATGAGCAAAAAAGTTGGTCAAGCGTAAGCAAAAAGCAGAAGATAACATTATCCATCTGGCAACTAGATTATGAGGTGGCATTGAATTAAAAAATTAAACATGCCTACCCACATGAACTGAACAAGAGCCTCAGTAGACGTCACATGCTGGCTTATGATGACCTAGAGAAAACAAATATCACAACCCAGGTTCTTAATTCCAGTTTTAAATTCTCAGAGGCTGAATATCTATCTGGTATCAGAACCTACCACCAATACCTCATCACCATTCTGTCCACCCAGCCAAACATTAGTATTTAAATTGGTAACCTGGACTGAATGTTCCAATGGATATAAAGAGCTGTTCAACTTCAATATAAAAAAAGTGATTTGGAACTAGCTGGGAACTGCATCACTCTTCGTCCATTTTTAGTATAGCTAAGGTCTCGTGTGAGACTGCTTTTATAGGAAGCAGTTATACTTATAAGCATTTTTTTTAGAAGTGCGTAGTGTTTTTATTAGAAGAACGTTGAAATTAATTTTTATTAAAAATCCAAATACTTACTGGAAAAAAACTTCGAAATGATTCATGACTTCTTCAGAAAGCACTTTTGGTTCTTTCAAAAATAGTACCAAACATGCCCTAAGAGTTAGATGCATATGCTCCAGAAGACATCTCATCCTAATTAAAAGTAAATTAAACTATACTTATAATTAGCCTAAAGCAAAAGGCAGCAGATTATATTGCTCTTATGTCTTCTCTATCTTCTCTCTTGTGTACCAAACATGCTTCTTAGTCAAACGTGATTGAATATGCAGAGACATTGATGATATAAATATAAAAGCAATTGAAACCACTGATTATTTTCTCATTGTGAAATGCATGTCCGGGATAATATACAAAATAACAAGCATGACAATGAGATCAAAAAGGAGAAGAGAGTGGATGTGGATGAAAGTGGCAGTGGATTGTTCCTGCTGCTACTTCCCGACATGTCATCCGTATAGTCTGGACCTGACCCTAAACCGTTTCCGTCACCGTTGGATCCGGAGCTCCACTTCCCCAGGTTGTTGTCCCTGTTCATTCAAAATTGCATCATGCATTGCCATAACTTCCAGAGTATAACATTGCACAGGTTTTACCATTTCAACCCAAGAGTTTACATATTCACAGCAAAGTACGCGCTTTTTGAAAATTTGTCTACTAGATAATAATGTTTCTTTGACTGCAAAAAGCACTTCTGTTTATTACCAAACATTATCAAAAGCGCTTTTGTAAATTCAAAAGTTCGTTCAGCATTAAGAAAAACCCTACCAAACACATCCTACATAAATTGAGTCAATTTCATTTCTCTTTTACTTGGGCTCATTTTCATGGATGCAGAGATATCAAAGAAGTGAAACATTGTGATACAAGTCCTATTTGGTACAAAATTAAGCAAAATAGAGGCCCAAGATTACCCCAACCTAAAACCTAGTAGATCTAACTTCTTCAAGTTTGAGCTTAGAATCAGCCCACCATAATTTGGGCATGAACTTAGTGGAGATAATCAAAGTAGTCCATAGATAATTAAGAAAAGTAAAAAAGAGGGGAAAAAAGGGAAAAAGAGAGCATAGAGAAAGAAAAAGATACAAAAAAGAAAAAGAGAGAGACCTGCCACCAACTCCAAGGGCACCAGCATGCATGATGAGCTGGTCAATGAGAACAGCAGACTTGGGCTCCACACTGTAGGCCTTCTCATAGTTAAACTCAACACCCTTCCCTGAAGCCACAAAGAATGCTCCGTTTACCAAAATGTCCCCCTCTGATCTCCAGTTCCAATCCTTCCATTTCCCTTCTGCTGTCTCCACCCTCTTTGTCACCTCCTTGGCATTAGGGTTTGATGGAGCGGTATATCTATTGCCTTGGCTATTTATTGTGGGATTTCCACTGCCCCCAATTGCATACATTTCCCATTGAGTAAAGTCATTGTTGACCACATGGATGTAGCCTCTTCTGCACCTTGGCATTCTCTGCACCAGTTCTTCACCAAAGTGATTGAAGGCTATGGTCACTTGCATGCCTGAGTCAGGCAAATAGTCATCACTGTGTCCCAAAAGCATCACCTCATTGTGGTGGGAAAAGTAGTTGTTTGATATTGTGATCCCTGTGGACCCCATCACTGCATCTACCAGACCATCCTTGCAGTGTGATAGGCTGCAATGGTCTATCCATATGTCTTTGGATCCAAAGATGGAGATCCCATCACCGTCTGATTTTGTGCGGTAGCCGTAGTGGGATGGGCTGGAACGCACATTAGCGTCACCTGCATGGAAAGGAATCGAACTCTTAACTTATTCTAATCCTAACCAATTTTTCTCAAACTCCTTCTCCGCTACTTGAGCTAATTCCAAGAGCGTACACCGAAATTATTTTTGAGTAAAAACAAAAACAACCCGGCAAAGGGTTTAAAGGTAAATCTAAAGTAAATCTTGGTACACTCAGTCTCTTATTTGTAAGTCACATATATTAGATAAAACTAAATATGTGCAATCATTCGTAAATCAAAAGTATCAAGTAAATCTGAATAAACTTAAACTACGAGCAAACCATTCGTATATGGTAAATAAAAATTCATGAAATGAAGTGGAAAACTCATGCACCTGACGGATAACAGTGGTGGATATGCACATTGTGGATGATGACATTGCTTATGAACTGCAATGTTATGCAGCCACCACCCACAATGTGGACATTGGCTCCACGGCCATCAAGGGTCTTGTAGCTGTTGAAGATGAGCTCTTGGGAGAGCTTGATGAGCATGTTGCTAGGGAACACAATCCAGAGAGGCTCAGTCTGTATCACAGCATATCTCAGTGTGCCTGGCCTTGGATTCACAGCATCATCATCAGAGTCGTCTGTGACAATATAATACTCACCACCTTTGCCTCCAAGAGCATATTGGCCAAACCCAATTGCACAATCTGCTAAGCTCTGCCTGTTGTTTGGCCAATTTGGGTCACATTTCCAACAGTCATCTATTGGGTTTCCTGTTAGGCATGAAGAGTCCTGGTATTTTATGGTTCCTTGCAGCATTTGCCTTCTTGCCAAAGAAGCATTAACCTTCCTGAAAAATAAAGGGAAAAAAGAAGTTAAGATTGACAACTCAGATCTGCAAAAGGCTGAGAAACAGAAGAAAACAGAGGAAGAAAAAACAGAGGAGGTAATTAAAACTATGTATTTACCTATGAACTTCTTGAACAACTTCTTCTGGGTTGGGATGTTGGCCAGGAAGAGTGAGGTTGAGGAATGCTGTGGCAAGAGAAGAAAATGAGCAGAGAAGAAAGAGCAGGACAATGCAGGTTCTGGGAACCATTTTTGAGGAAATGTTAGGATAGTTTTTATAATTGTTAGGAATTGTATACCAATTTGGTCCAAGAATCTAGTTAGTGTTTCAGTGATTGATCTGCATTTGGGAAGACAATAAACAGTAATTGGAGTGAGTGGAGTGAATGGAGAAGACGGTCACTTGCCTTCTTCTCTCACACTCCTTTCTTTCTTACTGTACCCATTAGTGTCACTTCAGTGCTCTTCTTTTATAATCATTGATATAGACTTTTAGGGAATCCCTAATGGAGGTAAAAAGAAAAAGAACCACACAGAGAGACCGTTCGAGGAGCCAAAAATCTTTATTGTAACGGAGATAGGATTGTTTTTCTATCCGCAGCCAATAATGTAATGACACTTGAAAAAGTTATTCCGAATGTCATGGAGCTATTGGCCGGAAATAACAAAAAGTATTATCCAT